CTGAGAGTTCTAAAATACTTACTGGCATTAGAATTGACGAAACCTAGCGACCTAGCGAAGTGTGAATCAGTTAATAAAAAACGAAAGAAACGGAACAGCTTCATCTCAATTCGAGTTCACAAAATGAAATGAATTCCGTGCCAGTGTGTCAGGATGTAAATGGATAGTTTTACTAATCCTTCTGTTTGGTCGTGAATTTTGGATTAACTTCTCCAACACTAAACTAAATAATATGGAAATATGGTAAAAAAAGCAGTGCGACAAATTAAAAATTTTGTATATATAATTTTGTTTTCTTTTCACTGTGACTTTAATTGCATTTTGTTTATTTTGAAATTAAGTTTAGTGTCATGATTATAACTACTGCAAGGAAGATTATACAGGTGACCAGAAAACTACAACAAAGCCACTGACTCATGTTTAAAAATCATTATAATCAAAAGTTGTATTAGTTACACAGTTAGGACATGTTAGTTTTAAATATTAATTTGGAATGACTTATTTTACACCATTAACTTGAGTAGAAGAAAGCTATGGTTTGATGATGCTTGGTCACATATTAACAATGTGTAAGACTAAGATAAATAACTGATACCTGCTTTGCGCACATCCATGATCAATCAACGCAAATGTTTTCTGTTGATAACATTTATTTATAGAACATAGACTTAAAATTTTAATATTGCAGTTACGTATTTTTGAATCAAAATTACGAGCTACATAAAAAATAACTAGCGTTAAAATCTAACCTTCTAGATTTTCAAGGAAGTTAATTTCTTAACTGAATCATTAGAGCTATGGGCTTCCTTGCCTTAAATCGGCCAGGAAAATTGAACATGAGAAGGCCGCCCAGAACACCAGTCTTTGGTAGTAGTACGGGGTTTACAAATTGATATACCATTGATTATGTATCATTCACTTTGTGGGTACTTACGCTTGAACATATTCTTCATCACAATATTTCCTTCGTTTTTGTCCTATCTGTGTGGCGTCATTCTAGTGTATTCACATAAACACATAGTGACGTCGCATGGCTCTGCAACCTCGCTAATAGTGAGTGCCAGGTGTTCAGAAGGAGACGTATACAGGTGTGTCTCGCCATTAGCCCGTACAATAGGAAATATACTTCTTACAGTTCACGTACATTTGTATTCAGATTATTTGATCTCATTTTTGATGTATTTTGCTGTATTCAATATCAGCAAGGAAGTGTAATTTCCAAGCTTGTTACTCGGAATTATATTATAAAGTATTTCATTGTTATATTAGTAAATAACTAGTTAAATTATATATAGTTGCCTAAATTGTATAATCTTAATTATATCTATGACAAGAATCGTTAGATAAGGTTAGTCTGGCATATTTGTCACTTTTATTGCTTTAATGCTAAATTATTGTCATGTTCGAGTTGTGTCCCTTGAATGTCCAGGCGATCGTTAGATGTGTACGGGTGATATAGTAAGTGAATATTGTATTCATTTGTTGTAGGGTTTTTTTAACAAGAATAAACAGTGAATGAACCAAAAATCATTTTAAAACTTTTTTTTTTTTGAATCAATTGAACCACCGGTAACAGTCAACTCATTCATTTGTCGCTCTTCGACAGGTTGAAACAAAAACAATTCTGCAGAGGCTCAATCTAATCCTATCCATACGTACTTTACCGTATTAGTATAGATGTTCACATCTTAATGTAAAAACCACAACATATCGTCATGGCATCAGGATGGTGATGATGACGGGGGAGGTGACATGGACTGCCAATGTTGGTGTCCGTCATGAATAGAATGGTGGAGGAGACACCCCTGTATTGTGCATGTTGAAATCAGGCCCTTGATACTAGAGTACAGTGGGAGAACTGTTGGCTGCTGCGCGGTGTTTGTGAGCGCAAATGCAAATATGTCGTGCTGGTCATTCACGGCATTCTGTTCTGTTTATTTGTGTATTTTATATTGAGCATTATCATAATACCAGCTTTCTCATTTAAATTCCAACACTGAACAAAGATAAGCAAAAATTTGTTCCTGGCTCGACTTCCTGCCTCGCGAAGTCTATATAAAAAATGATCACAAAAACTGTTCATCGATTCCAGTTAATGATCTGCTTCCTAATGTCTCCATCTATGTATTACTCCAGAGAAGACAATTCGGTTAGGTGCGTATATTTTACTATTTTACTGTGCCTGTTGAATAACCACTAAAGACGCTCATCCTGGTGAGAAAGGCAATCCATTGAGACAAACCGAAACCTTTAAAATACATCATGCTCTTTATTTTGTAAGTAGTTGGAAGCACTTTCAGTGAGATCTTTGAATTGGATATATCATCACAGTATTTTTTATGACATTGGACCAACCAAACTGCCTTCATAGAGTTCTCAAGACTGCTATGAAACATAACTGCCATAACATATACACTTCCACTTAAAAGAGATAACATGATTGGATTGATTATAACTATTAGAATTAATTTCTCTTTTCATGATTGATGTCTGTATTATTTTCCGATTTTACAAAGAGAAACTATCAGTCCTACTACAGTCACTAATCCTAATATGTTACTGGTTCAATATCATGACCCAGGGCGTCTTAGTTCTTCAGAATGATTAGAAAATTTATCGAATTATGGGGTTGGTGCATCTTCCTATCTAGATTTTCACATTTCTTTTGATCATTTATAGTTCACCTCATCTGAAGGACCGGCGAGCTTACAGAGCAGAGCAGATTTTGACCAAATGGTATGAAGTATCACTTGGGAAAGAAAGGAGTAATTTAATATTAATAGAATGTAGAAAAGATTTATATATATATTTCCCTATTGAGCCCCTCCTCCTTGTCCAAAGCAAATCAGATACACCGTTTATACAAACTTGATACCCCTTCATCTTAGGATCCGAAGAGCTCATCTTGGCAGATCTGGTGGTGAGCTTAAAATGTTCTATTTTCCCTACTGCCCCCCCCCCCCCCCTCTTATGTCGCAGGGGACTGGGACCTACCCTTTATTAGTTAGGGCTTATGTCCCTACTGTTTTGTCTCCTTATATATACTTTATAAAATACTGTTTATTGAAACTCTACAACAGACTGTTTATCTATAATGTACAACAAACCGCTTAGTCTTTGAGATCCCAGCCCGTGTTCATTTGTAAAATATGTAATTGTAATACTATGAATATTCAAATAAGCTTATCATACCTTTATATACCTTTCTTTTACCCAGTAGTAATGATAGAACATTTGTAACTCAATTTCAGTGATGCTTGATCATCTATGATTTTATTACCGCTCAAGTATGACAAAACAGTTAAATAATTTATACACATTAATACAATACAATAATAGTTAGATATGTAAAATTGCAAGAAAGTTACTATCAGTAAAATAAATCAAAACCGGTGATAGTGCAACCTCACTTCGATCATTAGACTTCTAAAATCATTTTGGAGATTTACTATTATAGATTAATCAGGGCCTTTTACCAACTGGTGAAAAGACATATTGCTATTGTTCTGTTTCTTAACATTATTATACTTATTCTTCTTCCATGATTTTGTGGCGTCGAAATTTTCGAATCGTTAAGAGATATGTTTATAGTCTTTTTAAAAGTCTCTTATTATTACTTTAGAAGATATGCTGTGCAAAGCAATCAGTCATTCAGGTCACAGCTGCCTCATTAGATATTTGTGGAATTAGTTGATAATCAAACTTAAGAGTGCATCTCTTTCTGTATGTTTACAATGCACTTTATACCGACGTGCAGTAGGCTATACTGGTATATAGGATATTAAATTAGTGTTTTCATTTTGTATGATATATCAAGGCTCGCAAAAATATATAATCTTCACTTCACCTAATTTCGCGTGGGTTCGGGTGTGTGTCTTACATTCCAAAGACGTGGCTGATTGCTACTTTGTTTGAAAAAGTTTTAAATTTCCATAATTTTGATTTTAAGATTAAATCTACCGAAAACTAAACTCTCGCGAGACTAGCGGCAAAGGTATGTACGAGGACAAATCTATACGGATTCCATCGTGATGGCCATTACAAAATAGGTGGAAAGTTTTGGATGACCATGAAAGGAAATACTAAGTGTAATTTCAAAGAGTTCATCAGCAAGAGTTTAATTCGATCAACAAAGCTGAAAGCTCATTTAAATTACAAATCATAAGTAGTATTTGTACCTGCCCCTCTGTCATTTTTAGCACAAACATCATCGCTTATATGTTTCGAGGAGAAAAATTTCGATAATTAATCATGATTGTAAATCCAGATTTCAACAACATTAGTGTAATATAATTTCAGTTCATAATGTATTGCCTACCGTTTTGTATTTGTGTCTGTGTGTACCACTGGCTGTCTCTTGACACATAATATGCACGTGTAAAAATATATTGAATTAACACAATCTGTAATTTTTTGTAATTCTTTTTATCATTTTTTTCCAAAGTATTTGATTTATAGAACCTATTGACGATACTAAGATATTCTCTATTTGATAACACACTGCTATTAAAAGTTATTAACAATAGTTCGTTGATATCACCATTATTGACATTGAATTGGAGGTTGCGTTTCGTTTGCGTGTCATTATTATGTATTTTGCATTTTACATTTTTCTCAGCTTTTTGCCTTATTCTTTGGTTTATATTATCAAAATCATTATGTACATGATGCTGATCTTGGCAATACTTAATAAATTGCTAATTAACGGAAACAGAGTTTAAATTTTTTGACCTAGCTTGAATAAATGTTAAAAATGTGTGTCTAGTTTTGTTACAACAGAACATATTGTATTTGTTAAATATAGCCAAGGGTCATGAGAAAGATTCCATATTATAATATTATTACTCTGGCTCATATTTCATTGTTATCTGGGAAATTCAATACAGCCATCCTTCCAATGATTTCAAGTTTATATTTTCAACTGTCTAGGAATTCCAGTGACAGGCTATAACACGTTCAAAAGCTGTCACAAAATATTAGGTAAAAGTGTAAAAGCTTACCCAGATATGTCGTGCAGTTCCATTTTGTCTGGTTGCTCTGTTGCACGAGACTGGCAATGTGCGAACGCACGCACATTCCACGTAATGTTGAACATGTGCCTGTCATTTAGCTATGTGGATGTAAGATTAAGATAGGATTATCACTAAAAATCAGCTGAACTTCTATCTGTACCAGCTATGTGATACCATTATTTCTACAGCCTATTTATATCTATTATCTATGTATCTATTTATATTTTGCGGTTCCTTTTGACGTAATATATGCAATGGTGACATATGTAGCGAGTGTCAGGATCCACTGGGGAAAAACGTTCCCACTACAGCTCCAGTCAGTTACTTTATAAAACATTTTCAAAATACAGTCTTATGTATATTGTTAGTTGTTGATTAGAATAATGTTATATTGAGTTTTTATTGTATCAATAATCATTGTTGTGTTGATCACGAAGTTAAAGATTCAATTAAAATCAAGACAGCACAGGAAATACATTACTCAGTATTCTGGTTGCAGTTATAATATGACAGAAAAAAATTAAATGACCAAAACAGACTAAAACTTCTGCCAAAATGTGTAATGGACAGTTAGTGACGCAATGCTATCACTGAAAGTATCAGTTTCTCTGTGATAATTTATGAAAAGAGAGTAAAAATCAATAAAAGGAGTAATATATCTATCCCTGATTAATTGCAGTTATTATTCCTGTTCATGTGAAATGGACTGGTAACCTTGTAAGTAGTACCATATGACAGGTTAATTTCCCCATAAATGAGCCAGTATCGATAAAGAAATTCCAACCTTTGGAATTAGCCAGTCAGCAATCCGTCACCTGGAGTGGAATGTCACCAAAACTCACGTCTACAGATAGGAATATAATTGATACATGACATGCAGACATTAATGGTCATCAAAAATGTAATGATCTGATAAGGGGAGACAACTCTTGTAAAAAAAATTGGCTTCTGAACAGCATACACAATAAGATATGCTACTTAAGTGTATATGTAGTTGTGAGCAAGTGCCCTGGCTTCTGATTTTCAATAATGATTACGGGAGCCTAAATGGACAATAAGATATTTTGTCAGTATTAAAAGTTGTATGTCGTCCGCGCTTTTGGAGCCAACGATCACTCCACAAGGAGTGTGCTGACATATAACTATCAAGAAAAAATAGAGATAGCCCAAATATACTTAACTGCAGGTATTAGGAAACATCAAAGAAAATACCGGTATGTCACCAAAATCTTGTTTCAAATCAAATTCGATGAGACTAGCGCAAAATGTGAACAACGGTGACTCCTAAAAATTACAAACAGAAAAAGACCAGATGTTCCGGAAGGTTTAAGAGTTTCTGATTCAACGGCGAAAATCGCCATGTAAATCTTTATAAAGGGACGTCTTGTCATATTATCAAATGAGATCAAGGTAAACAGCAACGGAACTTCCAAACACATTAACGAGGACCAAACACGTCCAATTTCATATCGCACAAGAAAGATTATTATGTACTGTTAAACTTCCCAATAATCTTCATAAGCCGGTATCTCTCGAAACCTTTGGATATCGAATCAACAACACAATCTAAACACAATAGACTGGCGATTCCAAATGCCGTTATCAAGATATGGATATCTAACAGTACGGATGATGAAATCGTCACGTTTATCATGCAGATTGGTGGTAAACTGTCCTTATTGGTATTGTTTTAGGACGGCACTGAGGTAAGCTGTATATGTCTTTCGTTAAAAATAACCTCTTATACGAAGTGATGCGACACTGATAAACGACAATATGAAGTAAGGGAGAAAAATATACTTCTATTAGGTATATCAGTCTTCGGAGGAACACAAGAGGACAAAATACTGCTTAACATAGATACGAAGTACGGGAGAAGAAATGACCGAAAGGTCAACAGATTAAGATCATTCAATTAGTACTTACCAGCTACCTACTCGCTAATGTCATTTTTAATGGTTCAAATTACGTGGATGAACCAAAAAGGGATTCACGTTTCACGGAAGTCATCAAATGATGTATTCTTTTCTCTATCTAGGTTATGTTTGAAGTATTTTTCTCGATTTCATGCCATAATCGAAAATTGCGATAGAAGAACCCAACAAAAATACCAACCTTTACAGAATAGCATCTAAACATCGGCGACCACACGGTTAAATATGACACAGGACAATTTATGTAAGTGAATGACACGAATGGCATACCCTTGAACTTTGGAAACAATGATAACGTAAGATAGCTTATGATATCTTTTGATAATGGGACGATGTCATGTTCAGTAATCACCAGCAAACAGGAGGTTCTCGTGATGAAAGATTCATTGACGGACGTCACTCATTACCAAATTTAGATGCTCCTACGTTTAAAAACAAACTATGACTCTATAAAGCAGTTCATACTTTGTTGGCAGAAATCTATGCACTATGCATCGTGTATAGGTAATACCTCCATTCTAATGCGCTACAGTAATATAAGACTATGGAGATAAACATGTAAGATGTCTAATGTTTCCAACTATTTTATGTTATCTCGCATATTCACGACTTTTCTCTGCGATGTATTCTTATGTTATTTAGTCAACATGTTCTTGCAACGATTGATTTTCGCGACAGTTTGATATCGAAAATAAATATGTTGTTTGAGAGTATGTTATATCTGATATATTATATAGAATCTCATGACTGTAGAAACTTTCATATAAACCAAAGTCATGTGACATTAGCAGGTCACCTGTACACCAAAGCACGGCACGCCATCTAGTCATTTTCATCATCGAAAATTTCTATCAAGGCCAATCCTCCGAACCAGCAAGTGGACATTTGGTTCTAGCTTTATGTACTTGTTCATGCGTAACACTATTGAGATGTTACGCCTAACAAAACCTCATATACATAGGTAGACACTGCCAAGCAATCTTAGCATAATAAAATAGATAATGCGAGAAAATTCAACAGGTCCTATATATTTGCTGAATGCTGCCAACAGATAATTCGATCAACTTTTTATCCGTTTAGAAAACAGTTGTGTGGTCAAAGGGGAGGTAACCAGAAATTAGCAGTTGAAAACTATCAAAGTCATTACGTGACAAGATAATCTCGTATAAGTAGTGGAAGTTGAGGCCACTGACATCACTCACAAGTTCTACACGTGATAGTTGAGTAATAGTTTCATTCATCGTTTGGCTGTATTATATCTTAGTCTAAACATGTATTTCAAGGTGCTATTCAGTTGCGTGTCTAATGGACATGCATATCGAAGTCAATACATAATGTGAATACATTTCTTCGAATAAAAATAATTCCATTTTGATAATAGATTTCTCATAAAACGATCTTAAATCTGAAAATGTCAATCACAGTTCTTAGATATAATTGCTTGCTTTAAACCGTACAAAAATAAAGCATTTAAAATTAAAAAAAAAAGCTTCAAAGCAATTGGAAATACAGAAAAAGGACATTTCCTCTGTAATATGATAATCCAGCCTTTTGATTTCGTTTGCTACATCAATACAAAATATCAGTAAATATATAAATATCATATGAATAAGTGCTTTTGTTATTATGCACGTCCTGTCTCATCAACATCATCCTTCCTGATCGATTTAAGCCCCCGTAGCTGTGGAGCACACAGTTTGTCCACCACGATAGTACACGTTACCATATGTAACATATTACATGACGTCCGCATCCGATCTCTGAGAAATAAACGAATTTTAAATTTAAAAAATGCGATAACGGTTGTATATACTTTAGGCTGATATCTTGATCCTATAATAAGAGTGTATGTGAAAGTGATGATTGGCCGAAAAGGACATTATTGGACACGAACTTTTAACGATAAGCACTAATTCTATAATGAAAGGGTTGAAGGTACTTAATTTGATACATTGCACATCCTCTTAGTATGACCAATGTATATACCTAGTTTCATTGCCCTAGCTTGAATAAAAGCAAAGTTATGTCCTGGACACAAAAGGTTAAAACAGGGGGCAATAATTCTGTAATCAAGGGGTTGCAGGCCCTGTGTTTGTTACACTACACATCCTCCCAGTTTTAATACAAGCAAAGTTACACTTCTGACAAGATTTTTTTTAAGCAAAACGCAATAACGCTATAAACGAGGGGTTAAGGACCCTGAATTTGGTATAATGCACATCTTCTTAGAATGATCAATAACTGACTAAGGGATATTAGTGATCAGAATCTGTGTTGGTGTTCTTGGATTTTTACTGTGCAACACTGAGGATCCTACTAATTACCTTAGGTGGTAAAAATTATGCTTCTAGCAGTTATCTCCCATATATTTATGGCTAGCGATGAATATTTAAATGTTGTGTAACAAACCCTATGTCTAAATTAAGTACTCTATATGTTCAATGTGTGTTTTTCTGTTAGGAGAGTTCTACTAAAGGCATTGCCTGTTGTTCAAGCCTCTTGCTTGTAAACAACTATTGTTTGTAAACAATGGAATCGTAATCAATGTATACATTCAGTTTCATTATCCTGGGTGAAATTAAACCAATTTATAATTAATCTCTGGACATGAAATTTCACCCAAGGACAGTAACTATGTAATTAATGAGGTTCTTGCCCTGAAATTTGTACACTGCACCTTACCTTTGTATAACCATTGTATACAACATGATCCTAGCTTTACTGTAGGCAAAGTTATTCTCTGGACATAAAAGGACGGGCGAGACGGCGACTGTATACTCTCCCAAAAGATCACTAAAATCTCCCATAAAAAGTATCGCGAAACACATCCTGTTTAAAACGACCGCTTCCCTAAGTTAATTATATCTTAACGTGAAGAAAATGAAATTTCGTTGTCATTACGTGCCACAAATATCGCCATTGATGTGAGTTATACTTCCGTATACCATTCCAGTGTCACTAGTACCCCCACTGATGTGTGTTATACTTACGTGTAACATTCCAGTGTAACTAGTACCCCCACTGATGTGTGTTATACTTACGTGTAACATTCCAGTGTACCTACTACCCCTACTGATGTGTGTTATACTTACGTGTAACATTCCAGTGTAACTACTACCTCCACTGATGTGTGTTATACTTACGTGTAACATTCCAGTGTAACTACTACCCCCACTGATGTGTGTTATACTTACGTGTAACATTCCAGTGTAACTATTGCCCCTACTGATGTGTGTTATACTTACGTGTAACATTCCAGTGTAACTACTACCCTCACTGATGTGTGTTATACTTACGTGTAACATTCCAGTGTAACTACTACCCCCACTGATGTATGTTATACTTACGTGTAACATTCCAGTGTAACTACTACCCCCACTGATGTGTGTTATACTTACGTGTAACATTCCAGTGTAACTAGTACCCCCACTGATGTACGTTATACTTACATCTAACATTCCAGTGTAACTACTACCTCCACTGATGTGTGTTATAATTACGTGTAACATTCCTGTGTAACTACTACCCCTACTGATGTGTGTTATAATTACGTGTAACATTCCTGTGTAACTACTACCCCTACTGATGTGTGTTATACTTACGTGTAACATTCCAGTGTAACTACTACCACCACTGATGTGTGTTATACTTACGTGTACTATTGTAGTGTAACTACTACCCCCACTGATGTGTGTTATACTTACGTGTACTATTGTAGTGTAACTACTACCCCCACTGATGTGTGTTATACTTACGTGTAACATTCCAGTGTCATTGTACCCCTACTGATGTGTGTTATACTTACGTGTAACGTTCCTGTGTAACTACTACCCCCACTGATGTGTGTTATACTTACGTGTAACATTCCAGTGTAACTACTACCCCCACTGATGTGTGTTATACTTACGTGTAACATTCCAGTGTAACTACTACCCCCACTGATGTGTGTTATACTTACGTGTGTTATACTTACGTGTAACTACTACCCCCACTGATGTGTGTTATACTTACGTGTACTATTGTAGTGTAACTACTACCCCCACTGATGTGTGTTATACTTACGTGTACTATTGTAGTGTAACTACTACCCCCACTGATGTGTGTTATACTTACGTGTAACATTCCAGTGTCATTGTACCCCCACTGATGTGTGTTATACTTACGTGTACTATTGTAGTGTAACTACTACCCCTACTGATGTGTGTTATACTTACGTGTACTATTGTAGTGTAACTACTACCCCCACTGATGTGTGTTATACTTACGTGTAACATTCCAGTGTATACTTACGTGTAACGTTCCTGTGTAACTACTACCCCTACTGATGTGTGTTATACTTACGTGTACTATTGTAGTGTAACTACTACCCCCACTGATGTGTGTTATACTTACGTGTACTATTGTAGTGTAACTACTACCCCCACTGATGTGTGTTATACTTACGTGTAACGTTCCTGTGTAACTACTACCCCCACTGATGTGTGTTATACTTACGTGTACTATTGTAGTGTAACTACTACCCCCACTGATGTGTGTTATACTTACGTGTACTATTGTAGTGTAACTACTGTGTTATACTTACGTGTACTATTGTAGTGTGTGTGTTATACTTACTGTACTGATGTGTGTTATACTTACGTGTAACGTTCCTGTGTAACTACTACCCCCACTGATGTGTGTTATACTTACGTGTAACATTCCAGTGTCATTGTACCCCCACTGATGTGTGTTATACTTACGTGTACTATTGTAGTGTAACTACTACCCCCACTGATGTGTGTTATACTTACGTGTAACAACTGTGTGTTATACTTACGTGTAACATTCCTGATGTGTGTTAACTACTACCCCTACTACTGATGTGTGTTATACTTACGTGTACGTGTAACTACTATTCCAGTGTAACTACTACCCCCACTGATGTGTGTTATACTTACTGTAACGTTCCAGTGTAACTATGTGTGTTATACTTACGTGTAACTGTAACTACTACCCCCACTGATGTGTGTTATACTTACGTGTACTATTGTAGTGTAACTACTACCCCCACTGATGTGTGTTATACTTACGTGTAACATTCCAGTGTCATTGTACCCCCACTGATGTGTGTTATACTTACGTGTAACGTTCCTGTGTAACTACTACCCCCACTGATGTGTGTTATACTTACGTGTAACATTCCAGTGTAACTACTACCCCCACTGATGTGTGTTATACTTACGTGTAACATTCCAGTGTAACTACTACCCCCACTGATGTGTGTTATACTTACGTGTAACATTCCAGTGTAACTACTACCCCCACTGATGTGTGTTATACTTACGTGTAACATTCCAGTGTAACTACTACCCCCACTGATGTGTGTTATACTTACGTGTAAAATTCCAGTGTAACTACTACCCCCACTGATGTGTGTTATACTTACGTGTAATATTGTAGTGTAACTACTACCCCCACTGATGTGTGTTATACTTACGTGTAACTTTGTAGTGTAACTACTACCCCCACTGATGTGTGTTATACTTACGTGTACTATTGTAGTGTAACTACTACCCCCACTGATGTGTGTTATACTTACGTGTACTATTGTAGTGTAACTAGTACCCCCACTGATGTATGTTATACTTACGTGTACTATTGTAGTGTAACTACTACCCCCACTGATGTGTGTTATACTTACGTGTAACATTCCAGTGTAACTACTACCCCCACTGATGTGTGTTATACTTACGTGTACTATTGTAGTGTAACTACTACCCCCACTGATGTGTGTTATACTTACGTGTAACATTCCAGTGTAACTACTACCCCCACTGATGTGTGTTATACTTACGTGTAACGTTCCTGTGTAACTACTACCCCCACTGATGTGTGTTATACTTACGTGTAACATTCCAGTGTAACTACTACCCCCACTGATGTGTGTTATACTTACGTGTAACGTTCCTGTGTAACTACTACCCCTACTGATGTGTGTTATACTTACGTGTACTATTGTAGTGTAACTACTACCCCCACTGATGTGTGTTATACTTACGTGTACTATTGTAGTGTAACTGATGTGTGTTATACTTACGTGTACTATTGTAGTGTAACTACTACCCCCACTGATGTGTGTTATACTTACCCCCACTGATGTGTGTTATACTTACGTGTGTGTGTGTTATACTTACGTGTAACTTCCTAGTGTAACTACTACCCCCACTGATGTGTGTTATACTTACGTGTACTATTGTAGTGTAACTACTACCCCCACTGATGTGTGTTATACTTACGTGTACTATTGTTCCAGTGTGTGTTATACTTACGTACCCCCACTGATGTGTGTTATACTTACGTGTACTATTGTAGTGTAACTACTACCCCCACTGATGTGTGTTATACTTACGTGTACTATTGTAGTGTAACTATTGTAGTGTAACATTCCAGTGTAACTACTACCCCCACTGATGTGTGTTATACTTACGTGTAACATTCCAGTGTAACTACTACCCCCACTGATGTGTGTTATACTTACGTGTACTATTGTAGTGTAACTACTACCCCCACTGATGTGTGTTATACTTACGTGTAACATTCCAGTGTAACTACTGTGTTACCCCTACTGATGTGTGTTATACTTACGTGTAACTATTGTGTTATACCGTGTGTAACTACTACCCCCACTGATGTGTGTTATACTTACGTGTAACATTCCAGTGTAACTACTACCCCCACTGATGTATGTTATACTTACGTGTAACATTCCAGTGTAACTACTACCCCCACTGATGTGTGTTATACTTACGTGTAACGTTCCTGTGTAACTACTACCCCTACTGATGTGTGTTATACTTACGTGTACTACAGTGTCCTACCCCCACTGTGTAACTACTACCCCCCCCCACTGATGTGTGTTATACTTACGTGTACTATTGTAGTGTAACTACTACCCCCACTGATGTGTGTTATACTTACGTGTACTATTGTAGTGTAACTACTACCCCCACTGATGTGTGTTATACTTACGTGTACTATTGTAGTGTAACTACTACCCCCACTGATGTGTGTTATACTTACGTGTAACATTCCAGTGTAACTATTGCCCCTACTGATGTGTGTTATACTTACGTGTAACATTCCATTGTGTGTGTGTTATAACTACTACCCCCCTACTGATGTGTGTTATACTTACGTGTGTAACTATTCCAGTGTAACTACTACCCCCACTGATGTGTGTTATACTTACGTGTTGTAGTGTAACTACTACCCCCACTGATGTGTGTTATACTTACGAGTACCCCCACTGATGTGTGTTATACTTACGTGTACTATTGTAGTGTAACTACTACCCCCACTGATGTGTGTTATACTTACGTGTACTATTGTAGTGTAACTACTACCCCCACTGATGTGTGTTATACTTACGTGTACTATTGTAGTGTAACTACTACCCCCACTGATGTATGTTATACTTACGTGTACTATTGTAGTGTAACTACTACCCCCACTGATGTGTGTTATACTTACGTGTACTATTGTAGTGTAACTACTACCCCCACTGATGTGTGTTATACTTACGTGTACTATTGTATTACCCCCACTGATGTGTGTTATACTTACGTGTAATTTTCCTGTGTAACTACTACCCCCACTGATGTGTGTTATACTTACGTGTACTTCCAGTGTAACTTGATGTGTGTTATACTTACGTGTACTATTGTAGTGTAACTACTACCCCCACTGATGTGTGTTATACTTACGTGTACTATTGTAGTGTAACTACTACCCCCACTGATGTGTGTTATACTTACGTGTACTATTGTAGTGTAACTACTACCCCCACTGATGTGTGTTATACTTACGTGTACTATTGTAGTGTAACTACTACCCCCACTGATGTGTGTTATACTTACGTGTACTATTGTAGTGTAACTACTACCCCCACTGATGTGTGTTATACTTACGTGTACTATTGTAGTGTAACTACTACCCCCACTGATGTGTGTTATACTTACGTGTACTATTGTAGTGTAACTACTACCCCCACTGATGTGTGTTATACTTACGTGTACTATTGTAGTGTAACTACTATGTGTGTTATACTTACGTGTACTATTGTAGTGTAACTACTACCCCCACTGATGTGTGTTATACTTACGTGTACTATTGTAGTGTAACTACTACCCCCACTGATGTGTGTTATACTTACGTGTACTATTGTAGTGTAACTACTACCCCCACTGATGTGTGTTATACTTACGTGTACTATTGTAGTGTAACTACTACCCCCACTGATGTGTGTTATACTTACGTGTACTATTGTAGTGTAACTACTACCCCTAACTACTACCCCCACTGATGTGTGTTATACTTACGTGTACTATTGTGTGTTATACTTACGTGTACTATTGTAGTGTAACTAATACCCCCACTGATGTGTGTTATACTTACGTGTAACATTCCAGTGTAACTACTACCCCCACTGATGTGTGTTATACTTACGTGTACCATTCCAATGCCATCAATACTCCCACAGACTGATGTGTGTCGAAATAAACGAAAAACAACTTGTCTACAATTAATTACCCAATCATTATGACTTCAGAGACGGAAGGATATTGCCCGTTCATAGAGATGATAAACAATGCAGAAAGGCTGATGAAATAACAGCTTCCGGCTCTACACAGTGTGACGCTGAATGGAATGGCAAAGCTGGACACTCGTTTGTCAACGTGATGGGTTTCCTCGCAGACTGTGATCATTTCAGGCATACCCACCATACTAAATGGAAAGAATTCAACTAAAATAATACTTATAATCAAATTGGTTACCTAAATGAACCAGGACCAATTGTAAACAAAATGTCGATTAGAATTTTAAACTGTTGATAATCTAAGCGTAAATGTATAAAGGAGGAGGTTATGTTCTCTTTTGTATGGCAAGCTATCACCATGCAGGTAAATTCAACAGGTTCCATATATCTGCTGTTAAATCTGTTATTTCCCTATTACATCTTCTTGATTCAGGCCACTGCCATCACTCACAAGTCCTAAATGTGATCATTGAGATGCAGTTAAATCCAATGTTTGACCCTACTGTATCATATTCTATTTCGATAAGAAAACTACACAGAAGCTCCGAATAGCATTCCGGAATATCTTTAAGCATGTTCTCCTCTCTCAATATATGCTACGTTTCTGGTAAAACCATGGCAACAGAAAGCCAGTCAGAGAACACTAACTTGTAAACTAAAATCACTTCAAAGAATTACAGCGGTATTTTGAAAGTTCGGGCGATTAGCTCAGTAGGAATGTGAATTGAATTTCCCGTTCATTATTCTTACTTACGAGCTAGGAGGACCGAATACTGCCATCCAGGGCCGTGCTGTACTCAGGAGGAATGTGAAAGGGTTCTTCCGTATTGCCAAGAAGTAGATGGAAGGTATGAGCAAGAGCTGTTGTATGAGGTTCCCAACTGTGAAAGTGATGAGGTACATGCCAAGGCTTCTAAACGTGTCCTCCAAGCTCTCCACCCGGAGTACAGATACACAAATCAGACTGGCCACGCCCACAGGGGTCGACCTAGATCAAATTGACATTTCCTTGTACAAAAGAGCCGAAGACGTTTCATTTTGATTTCTGTGAAAGCGACAATTCAGGATGATAATGACATACCGTTCTCGTCTTTATCACAAAAAATCATATCATCCGATTCATCTGTATTTTTGCATTTATATTGTTCATGTTCGGAGAGCGTGACATCCTCACAACATTTCTAAGGATGATGAAGACCTTGTCAGTATGTCAATCGATTGGTCGATTAAAAGTTACCGTGAGATAAATACAAGGAGATCAAATGTGATCGTAAACTTGTATGTTTTTTAAACTAGTCACTGTCGCAGACATCAGAAGGTTGACAAATTGTAATCTGGTGTAATCCTTTCAAATACGTTGTATACAGACGTAAAATATAGTATACGGTTCTAAAACATCGACTTTCCTCATAAAGCAGCAATAACACACTTAACTTTTGTTTTAAGGACAACACGGTGACGTTTTAGTGAAGATAAACCAGGATTATTCACACTGATATATGATAATATCAATAAAAAGTTATATATATATATAAGACTGATCACCTTGGAGGTTAATCCCATTTTACTACATACACACGTGTTATTACGATTCTTTCAAGGAAAAAAGTCATGAAACTGCTTACCAAACAAACCATCTCATGATTCGGATGAAGATATTGGATGTGGCCTGGAAGAATGGAACAAAGTTGGTGGATGATTCCTTTACGGTGCTGGCGGCCAACCCAACCACAGCCGAGATCAGGATCACTCCTGGGGACCGAAACGATAAAACGTCATTATTATATACATCATACACCTGGTGCAAGATACCTGAACAGCTGCAGTGTACAAGGTTCACATTGGGGTATTGGTAGATGGATGACCTCAAAGACAAATCTTTCTCAAACATAAAACGCCTGACGATTCATAGACCGATAACCACAACCGCCTGGTGTACAAAACATGTATCATTTTTCATAACATTTTTTCACAACAGTGCTTCACTTAATATATGTAGGGATGACCGTGCCGATCTGTGTGTACAAATTACCACACTTAGCTAATCAGTTTTGCCATTTAAATTATTCTTATTATAAGCTGATGGTAAGGAAACAGACACTCCTCCTTTATATTGGATCCTTAAACTTCATTCTATATAGACAAAATTTATATCGGGAAGTTTAACTAAATCTATATATTTCAACTGATTACTACTGTTCCTGGTATGATTAAATCAGGATTACAGTCCTATTGTGATACTGTAATCATTTGTGTCCTAAAATTCGAATTAATAGCATGTATTTTAAAGAATTCAAAAGAAATTTTTGACAATCTTGAACATCTGGTCTGTTAAAGTTTCCCTTCCACAGCAAATATACCAGAGTGTTTCTCTTTATATATTACATAAACCTAATCCCAACGTAAGGAACGCATTCATTTTCTGCTAATGCGAGTTTTCTTTACAAAGAGAGTGAAAGCCATCTCTAGTATACCGTCTGAAAATCAGCGAAAGAAAAAATCACAGGTCCCTGTGCATAGAAAATAAGACCAGGTTTTTCGGATTGGTACGTAATGTCAGGTTCCCAAATAAGGCAAGGGTAACAATAACGAAATAACTAGGCATACTAACGAATTCGAAAATGTTCAACTTCATATCGCGCAAGGAAATACAATAAACCATTGTCAATAAGGACCATTTAACTTCGCCATAAATTTCCTTCTGCATCTCTCGAAACAAAACAAAATTAATGAGATAAGCAAGATAATTTCAATTTACGTAATTTTCTAATTCAACCTTACCATTCATGTTTTCCTAATCTTTCCGTGTCACATTTTATTCAATATTCTTCATGTTTTTCACGATATTACAATTACCACGAGATGTCGATAGTCAAACGACAAACTTACCATACAAGGTTTGTAACTAAAGAACACTCTCACGTGATATATTAATATATGTACCGTTACATGTGTATGAATATGGCTCTAAGACAATTGACTACTTACCTAATACATTTGTGCTGTTGGCCACTCCCACATGGCGAACAAAGACCTGTACTGTGACGTTTGTCCCGTTATTTTCCGCCACAGAGACTGTACTAGTGTATCGGGTCTGGGCCTTTATAACACAAAGTCGTTAAGGTCAAATTTAGAATATTCTTTTTATCAGAGAGGATTTGATTCAAAGAGATGTATGAAGTTAAATCAAATTTCACACCTTTATAACAAATAAAAAAACAACAATCAATTCCTACTCAATAAAAATTGTTGTGGGGGATATACTGGAATCAGTCTGTCTGTCTGTCTGTCTGTTTGTAGAAAAAAGAATTGTCCGGACAACACCTGAACGTGTTAACTAATTTCTTCTTGTGTGTGATGGGATATGAATGGAATCCATTTTATTAATATTGGTCAGAAGAAGAATCTTGTAAGAATCAGATTTACATTTGATCGCATGAAGTTATGATAACCCATTTAAAGTGTGAGTTATCTGTGGTCTACATACCATGGTACAGAGAAAGACGTATGCCTTTAACAAGCTGAAGTAAAGTACTTACTTTTTGAAAGGTCGTAGTAATGATATTATCCGGTATAATATTTCTGTAAAGAAATAAATCGTTTATTTATGTTGATTGAAATGCTTCTAACAGCCGATGTCAAATCATGACAGCTTATCGGCGACAAACATTTGAACAACAAGTAAGCGAATATGTCTGAATAACAATTTATGTGGCATTATGAGGTATTATCATATCACATTACTGTCGATGGTGTACCGTAGTAAGTCGGCGAACATATCCTGTGTTTGTAGGTGTTGAGAATCTGGACTGGACCTACTGTGGACATTTGGGCTGGTAGTGTCGCCACCTGACAAGTTTAGCATAATAATATTAAGATAAAAATATTTCGGCAATCACTGTAGGTAGAGACAGGTAGCCACCTGGCCAATTAAAGAACATAATGATATTAAGATAAAAATGTTTCTGCAATCACTGTAGGTAGAGACAGGTAGCCACCTGACCAATTAAAGAACATAATGATATTAAGATGAAAATGTTTCGGCAATCACTGTAGGTAGAGACAGGTAGGATGAAGGGATATTGATCAAGCTTTATGATATACAATGGTAAAATTTGACACATTGATCATAACACAGACGAAGGAATAGCGGGGGATATGATTAAAACAAGGGATACAATGATGCCGAAATCAAAGGTATCGAAATTGAGAGCAGTCTCTGAACATCAGACAGATAATGACTATAATCAGGATTGGTTTCAGTGATGGGATTGTAGTTGATTGTCCTATGACTACTTACCCAAACTTAAAATGAAGTAGGCCAAGATTCCCATAATAGCACCAAACAAGTTGGCCATCACGATGAAAGTTATAGAGAGGATGCTGATTCGACCGTTAGATTTGGGATCAGATGTTGCTGTACCTGAAGGTAAACTAGTATACATATCATGTCTTAACCATATTTGTAGAGAAAACTTCGATCACGAAAGCTTAACTGATCACAAAGGATTTCACCATTAATATATCAGTAATGACGAAACATTATGATAATATTCTGATTTTCGTTTCCTTGGTTATTCTCTTATCGATAAGATGATGACATAACGATTAAGAGGTGTGCTTAATACAGGTATAACTTGTTACCACACAAAACTTTACCTGCTATAATGCTGCCTGCGATGAGAGGTATTATGGTCATTTTAAGCATGTTCATGAACATTTCTCCTGGTAAACCTGAATAAACAGAGTTCAATCATAACTTAATCCTTCTCATGTAGAACATCCAAAATGTATCGACAAGAATAAAACTATTTAGAATTTTTGGTTTGTTTGGTAACTTTCTAAAAGTACTTCTTTTGTCTTATTCTAAGATTATTCTAAGCACAATTCGTATACGAAAAACATATATCGGTATTCGATAGAATTCGGTTAGATATAGTAATGTATCTGCAATACATCAGTATAACAAGTTCTTAGGTCATGTGTCCTTCACAGTAATGTGTCTGCAATAAACTAGTGTATCAAGTTCTCAGGTCCCTGTGTTCTAAACATTAATGCCTCTACAATCCACCATTGTTACAAGCTCTCAGGTTCCTGTGTCTTACACAGTAATGTGTCTACAATGAACCAGTGTTACAAGCTTCTCAGGTATCTGTGTGTCTTACACAGTAATGTGTCTAACCAGTGTAACAAATTCTCGGGTCCCTGTACCCTACACACCAATGTGTTTACATGAACCAGTGTCAAGATCTGGTCCCTGTGTCCAACACAGTAATGTGTTTACAATGAACCAGTGTAACAAGATCTCAGGTCCCTGTCACCTACACTGTAATGTGTTTACAATGAACCAGTGTAACAAGATCTCAGGTTCCTGTGTCCAACACAGTAATGTGTTTACAATGAACCAGTGTAACAAGATCTCAGGTCCCTGTGTCCTACACAGTAATGTGTTTACAATGAACCAGTGTAACAATATCTCGGGTCCCTGTGTCCAACACAGTAATGTGTTTACAATGAACCAGTGTAACAAGATCTCAGGTCCCTGTGTCCAACACAGTAATGTGTTTACAATGAACCAGTTTTACAAATCCCCGGGTATCTGTACCCTACACACCAATGTGTACCATGATTTCGGGTCTTTGTGTCCAACACAGTAATGTGTTTACAATGAACCAGTGTAACAAGATCTCGGGTCCCTGTGTCCTACACAGTAATGTGTCTACATTGAACCAGTGTTACAAATTCTCGGGTATCTATACCCTACACTGTAATGTGTCTACAATGAACCAGTGTAACAAGATCTCAGGTCCCTGTGTCCAACACTGTAATGTGTTTACAATGAACCAGTGTAACAAGATCTCAGGTCCCTGTGTCCTACACAGTAATGTGTTTACAATGAACCAGTCTAACAAGATCTCAGGTCCCTGTGACCAACACAGTAATGTGTTTACAATGAACCAGTGTAACAAGATCTCAGGTACCTGTGTCCAACACAGTAATCTGTTTACAATGAACCAGTGTAACAAGATCTCAGGTCCCTGTGTCCAACACAGTAATGTGTTTACAATGAACCAGTGTAACAAGATCTCAGGTCCCTATCACCTATACTGTAATGTGTTTACAATGAACCAGTTTTACAAGATCTCAGGTCCCTGTGTCCTACACAGTAATGTGTCTACAATGAACCTATGTAACAAGATCTCAGGTCCCTGTGACCTACACTGTAATGTGTCTACAATGAACCAGTGTTACAAATTCTCGGGTATCTGTACCCTACACTGTAATGTGTTTACAATGAACCAGTGTAACAAGATCTCGGGTCCCTGTGTCCTACACTGTAATGTGTTTACAATGAACCAGTGTAACAAGATCTCAGGTCCCTGTGTCCAACACAGTAATGTGTTTACAATGAACCAGTGTAACAAGATCTCAGGTCCCTGTGTCCAACACAGTAATGTGTTTACAATGAACCAGTGTAACAAGATCTCAGGTCCCTGTGACCTACACTGTAATGTGTCTACATTGAACCAGTGTTACAAATTCTCGGGTATCTATACCCTACACTGTAATGTGTCTACAATGAACCAGTGTTACAAATTCTCGGGTATCTGTACCCTACACACCAATGTGTAACATGATTTCGGGTCTTTGTGTCCAACACAGTAATGTGTTTACAATGAACCAGTGTAACAAGATCTCAGGTCCCTGTGTCCAACACAGTAATGTGTTTACAATGAACCAGTGTAACAAGATCTCAGGTCCCTGTGTCCTACACTGTAATGTGTTTACAATGAACCAGTGTAACAAGATCTCAGGTCCCTGTGTCCTACACAGTAATGTGTTTACAATGAACCAGTGTAACAAGATCTCAGGTCCCTGTGACCTACACAGTAATGTGTTTACAATGAACCAGTGTAACAAGATCTCAGGTCCCTGAACCAGTGTAACAAGATCTCAGGTCCCTGTGACCTACACAGTAATGTGTTTACAATGAACCAGTGTAACAAGATCTCAGGTCCCTGTGTCCAACACAGTAATGTGTTTACAATGAACCAGTGTAACAAGATCTCAGGTCCCTGTGTCCTACACTGTAATGTGTTTACAATGAACCAGTGTAACAAGATCTCAGGTCCCTGTGTCCAACACTGTAATGTGTTTACAATGAACCAGTGTAACAAGATCTCAGGTCCCTGTGTCCTACACTGTAATGTGTTTACAATGAACCAGTGTAACAAGATCTCAGGTCCCTGTGTCCAACACAGTAATGTGTTTACAATGAACCAGTGTAACAAGATCTCAGGTCCCTGTGTCCTACACTGTAATGTGTTTACAATGAACCAGTGTAACAAGATCTCAGGTCCCTGTGTCCAACACAGTAATGTGTTTACAATGAACCAGTGTAACAAGATCTCAGGTCCCTGTGTCCTACACTGTAATGTGTTTACAATGAACCAGTGTAACAAGATCTCAGGTCCCTGTGACCTACACAGTAATGTGTTTGCAATGAACCAGTGTAACAAGATCTCAGGTCCCTGTGTCCAACACAGTAATGTGTTTACAATGAACCAGTGTAACAAGATCTCGGGTCCCTGTGTCCTACACTGTAATGTGTCTGCAATGAACCAGTGTAACAAGATCTCAGGTCCCTGTGTCCAACACAGTAATGTGTTTACAATGAACCTACACTGTAATGTGTTTACAATGACCAGTGTTACAAATTCTAGATCTCAGGTCCCTGTGTCCAACACAGTAATGTGTTTACAATGAACCAGTGTAACAAGATCTCAGGTCCCTGTGTCCTACACAGTAATGTGTTTACAATGAACCAGTGTAACAAGATCTCAGGTCCCTGTGACCTACACTGTAATGTGTTTACAATGAACCAGTGTAACAAGATCTCAGGTCTCTGTGACCTACACTGTAATGTGTCTACAATGAACCAGTGTAACAAGATATCAGGTCCCTGTGTCCAACACTGTAATGTGTTTACAATGAACCAGTGTAACAAGATCTCAGGTCCCTGTCACCTACACTGTAATGTGTTTACAATGAACCAGTGTAACAAGATCTCAGGTCGCTGTGTAATGTGTTTACACCAGTGTAACAAGTATCTCATGTAATGTGTTTACAATGACAAGATCCAGTGTACACAAATGTGTTTATCCAGTGTAACAAGATCTCAGGTCCCTGTCACCTACACTGTAATGTGTTTACAATGAACCAGTGTAACAAGATCTCAGGTCCCTGTGACCTACACTGTAATGTGTTTACAATGAACCAGTGTAACAAGATCTCAGGTTCCTGTGACCTACACTGTAATGTGTTTACAATGAACCAGTGTAACAAGATCTCAGGTCCCTGTGTCCTACACAGTAATGTGTTTACAATGAACCAGTGTAACAAGATCTCAGGTCCCTGAACCAGTGTAACAAGATCTCGGGTCCCTGTGTCCTACACTGTAATGTGTTTACAATGAACCAGTGTAACAAGATCTCAGGTCCCTGAACCAGTGTAACAAGATCTCAGGTCCCTGTGACCTACACTGTAATGTGTTTACAATGAACCAGTGTAACAAGATCTCAGGTCCCTGTGTCCTACACTGTAATGTGTCTACAATGAACTAGTGTAACAAGATCTCAGGTTCCTGTGTCCAACACAGTAATGTGTTTACAATGAACCAGTGTAACAAGATCTCAGGTCCCTGTGTCCTACACTGTAATGTGTTTACAATGAACCAGTGTAACAAGATCTCAGGTCCCTGTCACCTGCACTGTAATGTGTTTACAATGAACCAGTGTAACAAGATCTCAGGTCCCTGTGACCTACACTGTAATGTGTTTACAATGAACCAGTTTTACAAGATCTCAGGTCCCTGAACCAGTGTAACAAGATCTCAGGTCCCTGTGTCCTACACAGTAATGTGTTTACAATGAACCAGTGTAACAAGATCTCAGGTCCCTGTGTCCTACAATGAATCAATGTAAATCAATATAACATGTTCTCAGATCTCTGTGTCATACATAGCAATATGTCTAAAATACACCAGAGTAACAAGTTATCAGGTCTTTGTGTCCTACATATCAGTATATCTACAATATATCATTGTAAGTTCTTGGGTATCTGTGTCATACACCGCAATGTGTCTACAATACACCTTGTAACCATTTCTTAAGTCAGTGTATCATACAAAGTAATGTGTCTATAATACACCAGTGTATCATCGTTTCGAGTCTCTGTGTCCAACACAATAAACCTTTGTTCTCAGGTTCGTGTGTCCTACATATATCACTATATTTAGAATGCACCTGTGACGAATTCGCAGGTTCCTGTGTACTATATAGTATTATATCTACAATACACTTGTCTTCATGTCTCTATGTCCTATATAAAAACGTATCTACAATTCACACGAAACTGATTCACATGTACCTATGTACTATATAGTTATATATCTGCTATTGACATGGGACAAGTTCCCTGTGTCTATTGAGTGATATATTGAGTATATCTACAATACACTTGTCACATGTTCACAGGTCCCTGTGTCATGTAATAATGTATATATGTAGTTCAACTGCCGACGTACCAAGCCACATTAGAGCGTCGGCTGATAAGTCTGCTGATCTGAGTCCGAACCCAAGTCCGAACCCTGTGGCAACACCAATAACCACCAGTATTAGTAGAGCATTTCTCCTCAGACAGGTTCGGTGTTCTCCTTCATCTTCATCGTCGTCGTTGATACAAATAGACATGTTATCAGGGTTTCCTTCGGTGGTTGAAAAAACTCTGCAATCAAAAAGTTAGGTGAAACCTATTGATTTAATGAAACGTTTAAAATGTTCCGACAAGTTTCTATTTTTTTTTCACTAAACCAAACCGTGGTTGCAGCCCTTATTATTATAAATATAACCACAAAAAATCGATATACGGAATCAAAACTCAATTTATGGATAAGACATAGGTACAATAAAAGTCATGCAAAAGTACAAGGAAAATACTAACACATGTTCCTAAACGGTTAGCGTCCACCCTTCATTCAAGTAATGTCACGTTCTCAACTGAGAAACATGTCGATAATAATAGAATATTACGTTAAAATACACGGTCTGTATCAAAAGGATCAAGTTATGGATGCCTTATTTGCAGGCACGATAACATGTTACCTTGGGAAACGTAGAGTATAAAATCAGGATCAATATGGGATGTTGGCTTTGACAGATTCCTAGTGTAAAACATTACTAATGTTAATAGCTTCCACTAACTTATTTTCAAACACGAAATTACCTATGATGTTTACACACAATTTATTCAATATGATCAAGTGTACTCAATTCCATAATTTTAGCGCAAGATGTCGGTAACCGGAAAACGCACAACACTTGGTTTCGAGAGATGTAGATTGATGAAAGTTGATGACGTCATTAGGAAAAATATGCGGCCTCTAGAGATGGTCAAGCTATTGAAAACTGAAACATTTCATATGACCACGTGACTACTGATAAAATTCGGTTGTCGTCAGATCAACATAGATACATCTACCAAACTGTTTACATTACTACACTGAAAATACTTGGACTCTTTATTTGAAATGATCTCTTTCAGGCATAATGGAATTTTGCCCACGCACCAAATCAAATACAAAATGGTGGTTCTGTAGCACCTTGAATAACTAACCATGTTATAGAGTTAAAAAAATTCAAAAGGTCCATATGGCCTGTGTCATAACCATAGGCGTATGACAGGTTTCAGTTTTTCATCTGAAAAAGGATTAAAACCTCCGCGATATTCTGGTTGATTAACAAGTATCAGTTTGACTATATGGTGGTAAATATGTATCAAAATATTGCAAAATAAATGATATAGTTTCAAAGTGAAAACGTATAATTTTTTTTTTTTGACATTTTTAAAAAAAAAAAATTCAACTTGGACAATTTATCCAAAAACTAAAATATGTACTTCCAGTTTGAGTGCCCCAACATCTTTATATATTATTTTGCCCTTGATGTGAAGAATATTTGGTGAAAATTTCAGGAAAATCGAGATCCGTTAAATGTGTCATTTATACAGCCAAAAGATTAGTATTTCAGTTTTAGTCGATTTTGTTGGGGTTCGACAGGGGTCAATATTTCCTAAACAAAAATCTGTTTAAACGATGGTGTAAATAGACATAGGATGTCAGTTTTGAATAAGTAGATTATGCTGCATGTTTCCATGAAAAAATAAATATAGATATTGTTAACTGATAAAAATTAACAATCTCGAACTTGAAAAAAATATTCAGCAGTTTCTCAGATATGAAAAGTTTTCTTGAAAGAAAAAAAAAATTTCCGTTTTCAGTGCATTAAATATGAAGTTCCATATCTGAAGCGTATACAATGAAAATTGATAACAGTAAGCAAAATTCCATTGTTCCTGAAATAGAATTTTTTAAGTTAAACAATTCATATTTCATGCCAAGTGAAACAAAACATTGAAGAATTTGTATATTTGATATCATCACGCCACTATAGTCAAACAACATGTCCGTAGGCCTGTGTGTAGGTTGTGTTACAGCGCTACATAAAGCAGTGTCACTGTTCATGTAGCTTATGATAATGGTCATGGAGAGCGTCTGATCATGTTTCATTTTTACTTTATTTTGCAATTTTGAGACATAAATAGATTATTGTGTTTACTGAACCAATAGCTGTTTCATCCCAAATATTTGTTCTTTTCAAAGTGACCAGAAAACTACAACAAAGCCACTGTTCTCCTGTTTAAAATTCATTATAATCAAAAGTAGTATGAATTATGAAGACTAAATATTCATCGTATACAGGGACAGTAATTAGCTTGAAGCTTCGTCTGTCCTAAAGAAAATAAATTGACCTTGATTGATAGGAAATGTTTATTCTAAATATTAATGCAATTTGGAATGACTTATTTTACGCTATTAACTTTAAAACAAGAAAGCTGTGGTTGGATGTTGCTTGGTCACATATTAACAATGTGGAAGACTAAGATAAATAACTGATACCTGCTTTGCGCACATCCATGATCAATCAACGCATATGAGGAGAACATTCTTCATAGTGCATCAGCTTAAAAGTTTTAATGTTGCAGTTATTCAAAATGTGTTGTTAAATCAAATTACAAACTATATAAAATTAACTAGTGCTAAAATCTAACCTTCTAGATTTTCAGGGATTTAATTTCTGACCTGAATCATTAGAGCTATGAGCTTCCTTGCCATAAATCGGTCAGGAAAATTGAACATGTTTTTTCCTAGAGAAGTCTTTGGTAGTTGTACGGTGTTTACAAATCGACATACCATTTGTTACACCTCACAGAACTGTTTTTACTCAAACCATTTTTTAATATCGAGTATCAAAAATTGGAATCTTTTACCTCACGAACTTAAGGGGATCAATTGTTTTACTACTTTTAAAAGACTACTAGTCAAACTTTTACTTGATTTGTAGACAATTTTGCAAGATACTGCTGCTTTTACTATTTAGAGCAACCAAGTCTTTTATTTGTACACTGTATACTTTTCAATAATGTATGTAATCATGTAATTTTTATCAGGTATCCAACAGATGAAGTTTATTGTTTACTCATACATGTTGTTTTTACTAACCCATTGATATGTACTTTTACTAACAAGAGGACCATGTGTTAGATAAGCCTTTGGCTTAACATGTATTTATCCTCTAAAATAAAGATTTTTATTATTCACATGGTGGGTACTTACGCTTGAACATATTCTTCACCACAATATTTCCTTCCATTTTTGTCCATTCTGTACGACGTCATTCCTGTGTATCCAGGTATATATGTTAACACATAGCGACATCGGGTTTCACTCTGACCTCGCTAACACTGACAGTGTCAGGTGTTCTTACCGTAATGTAAAGAGGTGTGTCTCGCAATCAGCCCGTACAATATGAAATATACTTAATGCAGTTCACGTACGTTTATGTTATGATTCTTTCGAAATGACACGCATTAGAACATCGCAAGCCTACTCTTTCACGGGTCACACGTGCTTTACCATATTAGTATAGATGTTAACCCGTCAATGTAAAAACCACAACACAAATTGACCTTCCTTCTCTAGAGGGTCAGTTTTAGGTGGACCTGTAGTAGCCGGTGTTTTAAGCTAGTTCAGCAAGGGAATTTGTCCGCGGTGGTCACCTCACAACTTGGTTGCATTCTTATACTGGATACCGCTCATGTTATTGAGGAGGGCCATAGATGTACCTGAAAGCATCAAAGGTCCCGTTCTTCTTCACCTTCTGACAGACGTGTTAATTAAAATGGGATAAAGTGAAACATAGGATGGAAGTATTGATCTGCTCTGTCCAAGTTTTCTCGTTTAATGTGACATTGTCCTTTTTAGACCAATGACCCAAGACCTATACAGCAGTGACTTGGTTGAAGTATCAGTACTACTTAACGGTCGAAGCCAAGCCATGTCTCGGTTATAGCGAATGTTACAACAGATGCGATTTGGACATCCCAGGTACAGAGGATGTCTCCCTTGCTTTTCGCAATAGGTGTGAAGGCGAGCGGTCTTAGCCATGTTATATGCAAATCAATCCACTGATGGAACAGTTCTCATGAAGCCAGTCTCTGACACTGCATTTTATCCAGATGCGATTACAGGTTGCTCGTCCATTTGAGCTTGGCTGGCGCTGGACAACCATCATGTTTGGAGATATTGGAGTGATGACGTAGTGTCAGATTGGTCTATTGGTGATCGCTGTCTGATTACTGTAACATCTAGTCTATTGGTAATTAGTTTGGAGGTCGGTCATTTAAAATGAGTATTCTTTGACACGGCAAGGGGAGGTAGCAATGGACCGCCAATGTTGGTGTCCATCAGAGATAGAATGGTGGAAGAGACACCCCTGCCTTGTGCATGTTGAAGTCAGGATTTTGATACTAGAGAACAGTGGAAGACTTGTGGGCTGTGCGCAGTGTTTGTGAGTGTACATGCAAATATGTTGTGCTGCACTACACGCTATGATTGATTGATCGTAAGCAACGCTTGTCATTCAATGCATAACACTGTTCTGTTTATTAGTGTATTTTATATTGAGCATTATCATAATACCAGCTTTCTCATTTAAATTCCAACACTGAACAAAGATAAGCAAAAATTTGTTCCTGGCTCGCGAAGTCTATATAAAAAATGATCACAAAAACTGTTCATCGATTCCAGTTAATGGTCTGCTTCCTAATGTCTCCATCTATGTATTACTCCAGAGAAGACAATTCGGTTAGGTGCGTATATTTCATTATTTTACTGTGCCTGTTGAATAACGACGAAAAGCGCTCATCCTGGTGAGAAAGGCAATCCATTGAGACAAACCAAAACCCTTAAAATACATCATGCTCTTTATTTCACAATGAGTTGGAAGCACTTTCACGTGAGGTCTTTCACGTTGAATTGGATGCATCATCACAATATTTTTATGACCTAGGAACAACCAAACTGCATTCATAGAGTTGTCAAGATTGTAATAAAACATCATTGAATGTTTCCACTATTAATTAAGGTAGAATACAATTCTCTTTTCATAATTGGTTTCTGTATTATTTTCCGATTTTACAAAGAGAAACTATCAGACGTCCTGCAGTCACTAATACCAATATGTTACTGATTCAATATCATGGCCCAGGGCGTCTTGGTGAATGACCAGATATATAACAAAATTCGAACTTTATTGAATTATGGGGTTGGTGCATCTGCCTATCTAGATTTTAATATTTTTTTGATAGTTTACCTGATCTGAATGACCGGCCGGCGAGCTTATGCCATTGGAATAGTCATGAACGACAGAGCAGATTTTGACCAAATGGTCGGAAGCATCCTTTGGAAGAGAAGGAAATAATTTGATATTAAATGAATGTCTAGTTCCAAATTCTTTAAAACCGTTCCTCTTCTTGTCCCAATTTAATACCAAACATCCTTTGATGAAGGAATAATTTTGTACAAGAGGCTCACAAGGCCTGTATCACTGTTTTAATTCCTTGAAATTGCTTCATCTGAACTAAATGAAAAGCATATAAAAAGATTTACGTCTATTTCCCCTATTGGGCCCCTCCTCTCTATCCCGTGCAGATCAGATGCACTGTTTATACCTAATTTATTCCCCTTTACCAAAGAATCACAGAGTCCATGCATTCCTAAAGAAGAACATCTTTTTTTTTAAAAATGCTCTACTTCCCTTTTGGGCCCTGTCCCTGGAGGGGCCCAAAGATATTCCATTGATACTAACTTGATTAATCCACCGTTTATTAGCTCATCTGGTCCAAGGACTGGTGAGCTTATGTCATACTGTGTTGCCTGTTGTCCGTTTTTCCCACCATACAGTTGAAAATTTTACAAATCATACATTTCATATCATGAAATGATAAGACAAAATCTTTCTACACACAAAATAAATGTCAATATTTTTAATGTTTTGGAGATATATTCAATGGCAATGTAGTGTACATTTGATATCAACATTTGTAATATATCTAATTACATCAACACATTTGTTTGTCTGCTACATTGTATATTTGTCAATTCTGTTAAGGCTCGCTTCACAAAGTCAATTATAAAAATAACTGTTAACTCATAAGTCTGTGGTTAAAATTTGACAACCAACATGTACAAGTTACGGTAAACCTTTTCCATACATCATTTACATGTATGTTCGAGATGCTGCTCAGGTTTAATTTAATAACAAAACTGAAGTACATTGCAGCGTGGGAATCGGCATTTCCCTTAGGATCAAAAAGACTTTCTGATTTTTTAAAAAACCAGTTTATTTTCCCAAGTTATCCATAGCACTGTCGTAACATTTCCATTATTCTACCATACCGTTTGCATATCATTTTTGAACATTTTTGTACTGTTTGCATTTGAGATGGAACAGCAAACGTGTACAGGTCTGTAATTCAAGTATACTGCTTTCTACTTCTTTAACCTGCATTGTATTGAGTATAACAAAGACAGGGTCCTCAGCTCACTGGCCATTATCTGATCAACATAATGAAAACGTTTCATACCCTAAGTTTTCTCTGTATATGTGTGACATAGCCTTCAGACCAAAATATACAATGCAAGTAATGTACATATAATAAGAATAGTATTTTTAATTTATCGCCATCAGCTAATTTTAAATAATGCACCTGCATGCGTGATCTATCGAGATTTGGTCAGAGGTGAACACATTTGACAGATAGTGTATATTTTTACCAGAACACAAAATGCAGCTTGTGGTCAGTGTTGAATATAACTGTAGGATATTTTTGTATATTAATGCCTGATAACGGTAACTAAACTGTCCGTACTGTAAATATCAATGTAGATGCACCATATATGAGGTGTACCTGTGAGCTGTTGTCCTTGTTTACATACAGGTGTGCTATTGATGGCAAATGTTGAGTCTAATATCAAAATGCCTGAAGATAATATTTGATAAACAGTTGGTAATATATCAATCATAATAAGTAGGCTAGACTAGCATATACAGTTTTGAAATTCATGTACATGTATTCCTCACCTCGCTGGAATGTTCTCAATATAAAGGGTCCTTGACCCATGTTTTTAAGAAAATATTTTTAAAGTTTGATCTTAATTATAATGACATTTTATTGATAAAATGATGTAATATACCTAGTCATTATTACTGAAAAATTAGACTTAATTTAGGCATTTCAAGTGATTTTTGGGTACAATTTTGTCTTTTGTTGTCTGAACCCAGCACATACCCATCTGTATGATAATTCCCCTCTCATCAGCAATCTGGTTAATTATGCCAAATACTCCTCTGTGGAGAGAACCATATGATCACACTGCTATTGGTGATCTGTATTAGCGTACGTGTAAGATTTTCTTTGCAAAACTTTGATGTCAAGATTCTTTAAGGAACCTTAAAGTACGTTTTATGTTGAGGAAAATATTGACACTGAATATCTTCTGCAGGTTACTAGCTGTGGTAAGCATATCTTCCAAAGATACTTCGTAAATACGTAGTTGGACAGTGACCTGTGGTACTGCCTGACCATAGATATTGCTGAAGATCTGTTAATGAACTGTTGTATGATAATTTAGTGTGCATAGTATTGTGTAAATACTTGTTAAGTTTTGTAGTATTAAGTGTATACTGTAAATAGATTCTGTAAGTAATGTATCTCAGTGATTGTCTCCTTTCCTGTTTGTAAGACAATATGCTCGTTTCGTAACAATATGATATGGAGCTTGTTTCAGTCCAGCTTCAAAAGCTTTTGTCTGCAAAGTGGATTTTTCACAACTTCAGCTTCCAAATGTATAAGTTTATTCTGAAACAATGACTTGAACACTACTTTGGTCTATCTTTAAATGGTGTCATTTTTTTCTGTTAACTCATATACCATCAGTTCTTCAGCACACCCATCTTCCTCAGTACAAACACAACATACGAATGCTGACTATTCCTTCAGTTTCCCGCTGGCAGTGTATACTTAGGAATACAATGGCCAGACTTTTTCTCCATCTCTCACACAATTGTGTTCCTCAACAAACAAAGCATATCCAGGAATATTTGTGTGGATTGCAATTTCCTATGCAGTCTGTTTCAAGTTAGCACTTCAAATAACTCCACAAGACATTCACTATTTGATAGGAGCCTGTGGTAACTGTGAGGCGTCCACTGTGTCCAGAGACTTTAACAGTCTAAACAGTCCAGCTGCTTCACGAATTCTACTAAACTCTATACAAAATGCCTGCACTTCGATGAATATATCCTGAAAATTAAAACACTGAATGTTAAGATCCACTCTTAAATTAAAAATTAAAACAAGAGATCCCAGAGGGATCCTGGTGCACACTATTGTTTAATCTTTATTTGCTCTTTGAAAATCGGACCTTTTCCCTTTTTTTCTCTTCTCTGTTTTTGCTCTTAATGATAAGAAATTTGAACAATTCTTTGCACAAACAGCCAAAGATAATCTTCAACTGCAAAATCCAAAATGGTCGCCTGGAAGCCAATTTGTTTCCACAAATCAGTCCCAAGTAGAGACAAAAGGGAACATATGTATGAAATTTGAGTGAGATCCATTCAGTACTCCTTTAGAAATAGGGATAACAACCTATACTAGGCGAAATCCAAGATGGCTGCTTGTCTACCATTTTGTTTTTCTGATCAGTACCAAAATCAAACAGGCACAAACAGGGACCAAGAGGAACCTAGTCATTCAATTTGAGACAACAAACTTTCAAAGTCAAAATCCTAGACAGCAATTTTGTTTTTTTCTGAATAACCCAAAATCAAATGGGCACAACAAGGTACCATGGGGAACCTACATATGAAATTTAAGAAAGATCTATCCTGTACTTTCTCAAGGAATATTGATAACAAACTTGCAAAGTCAAAATCCAAGATTGCCACCTCTCCTCCATTTTGTTTCTCTGACCTGTCCCAAAATTAGACCGACACAACGAGAGACCAAGGGCAACTTTCATATGAAATTGGAGAGATATCCATAAACCACTTTTCAAAACATAGTGAAAAACAAACTTCACTGACAAAATCAAGGACGGCTGCCTGTCAGTCTTTTTGTTTTTCTGATCAGTCCCAAAATCAAATGAACACAACTAGGGATCAAGGGGAACCTACATATGAAATTGAAGAAAGATCCATCCAAGATCCACCCAAGAAATAGCAATAATAGAAATTGTTTTTGGATAGACGGATGACGGACGACTGGCCACAGATGTATGACAATTTGAATAGCCCACCACCTCATGATGTTGGGCTAATATTCAGATGCATAACACTTCAAATTTAGCGATATTTCAGAAATAACATACACACCATCAAATACTATTTCTTTTCAATGCATGCTGAATTAATGTCAACTTTAGAACCTGTCAATGATGTATAAAAAGTATCATTTTACAACTAAATATCTTGTTATTTGTGTTACAATGATGTTTACTCATTATATATTATATATGTGGAAACATTCACCCAGGGTTCTTTTCACCCTTCTCTTCACCCTAGGTTGAATTCATCTAAAGGCATAACAATATGAATTCAATCCTTAACTTAAAACTTCAGACAACATTTTTGCCTTGATGACGAAAAGAGGAAAGTTGAATTGAGGTGAAAGTTTCTCAATATACAGTGTAAAAGACTCTTTTTCAAGTACAATTTTAAATGTATTTGTGTGTCACTACACTGTCATTTGTGGATTCAATATAATAGATTGGTCTTGTGATAAAACCACAGAAACATAGAAATATAACTACGAGGATGGGAAGAGAGTTTCAATACCTTGACATCAATGATTTTGTTTCTGATGAGTGACTGTAAGAAGACACAGACAAGGCGGACAAGTCTATTCTGTAGGTACCGATCACGTATCGTCTCACACGTTGATATACAGTTAGAGATATATAGATGGATAAACTCAGATGGAAGCTCTACTGCCTACAACAAAAATGTTGTATACATGTATATATAATACAATATCATAACAAGAAGACAATGCTATCTCTATCTTATCTACAACAAGCCAAGTGTTGAGTATTGTGAATAGCACAATCATATTATTACACAATGGGCACTTCTGCACTCAAACAATGCAAAGCAAATATTTTTGATGTTGCAAAACAGGGGTGAAAAAACGAGGTCTATAAGACTGAACAGTCACCCGAGCTGAATGTTGTTTTTAGCAACCTGTAGGGATATGTTAACACTAACTTCCGCCAATATACAAACAGAAATGTGCTTTTTACGGGCTGGTTTCTTCATCAAATTCCAAAGTTATGAAGATCAAAATAAAACCTGTGATTTCTTAACAGGTGATTAACATGTATTGATAGTGTTTTAAAAGATTATAATTCTATGATAGAGCTCTGGGCCTTCCAGGTTATTGAGAAGAAGTCAAAAATGTAAATTGTTTATGATGGATGATGCATGACGACAGAAAAAATGCAATCGCAATAGGTCAACAGGTGACATAAAAATTTGCTTGTCGGCATTAAGTCTTTAGCTATATCATTCAATGCAGTGTTTACTGTTTACAAGATACAGAAAATACATGAACAAACTTAATCTCACAGGTCACAATCAGCATTAATTAAAAACTAAAATGAGAAATGAATATTCAGGCCTTGAGCAGAGAACTTATTTCAAAACAAGAACAGCTGAACAGATTGATGAAAATTGCTTTCAATTTCTACAACAATTAACTGTGGCATAGACAAATTGACTTACTGTAGTGAGTCGGTTGACAACCTCCATGGAATGAAGAGACATCTCCATATTCACCAGCACTGAGAAATACCTTAATGGCAAAATATGATACATGTTAACCACCTTCCTGATATATATCACTAATGAAACTGAAATTTTAAAATATTTGTATGACTTTCTACCCTGATATTCATATCTGTATCATTGCTTAACCTTGCAAGGTATTTGTCATCTCTGTATCAATGTTTAACATGAAATTTGATCCTAGTCAGATATCTACTAGCTCTGTATCAATGTTTAACATGACATTTGATCCTAGTCAGATATCTGCTAGCTCTGTATCAATGTTTAACATGACATTTGATCCTAGTCAGATATCTGCTAGCTCTGTATCAATGTTTAACATGACATTTGATCCTACATGACATTTGATCCTAGTCAGATACCTGCTAGCTCTGTATCAATGTTTAACATGACATTTGATCCTAGTCAGATACCTGCTAGCTCTGTATCAATGTTTAACATGATATTTGATCCTAGTCAGATACCTGCCATCTCTGTATCAATGTTTAACATGACATTTGATCCTAGTCAGATACCTGCTAGCTCTGTATCAATGTTTAACATGACATTTGATCCTAGTCAGATATCTGCTAGCTCTGTATCAATGTTTAACATGACATTTGATCCTAGTCAGATATCTGCTAGCTCTATCAAATCTTTTAGTGACTTACTCTGTTATTTGATTGGACTGCATCAGCCTTAATAAAACTTCTATAGCTACAAGGGGGTTCTTCTCCACCAAATCTGGCAGCTGTAAAACAAACAGAGGATAATTATACAACTATGTCACTACTATCTTTCAAAAACCATTTGTACTGATATTAGACAATTTTTAAAACTCTGACTCTAAATAGAACTCTTTTAATTTATTTGATTCAGTCAAACAAAAGGATCTTTGAATTTTTATTTTTTTACAGTCACAAATTCAGGATTACCATCATGAAATATGAAGGGTGCAAAAGATTGTGATTAACATGGAATCAAAACATGAATCACAGGAGGTTGGATGGTGCAGTGGTAATGTACCCGCCATTTACATAGCCGTCCGGGGTTTGATCCCCGGAATAGACAAGAAAAGATAAGGGGTCACATGCCCAACCATGTGGGTTTTCCCAGGTTACTCTGGATAATAAGACCCCTAGTGCATTTACATCCGGGCCATCAAGAGTGATTAGTATAAGTTGAAATAACTTGTTTTGCAATTGTTGTAATATAAATAAAGTTTATGTTATATATATATCAAAACAAAAACCATTCTTTTCTTGAAGAGATTTTCATATGGTCTAATATAGCTACCTTTGCAGGGGTAAGACCTATGTGATACACCAATTTAGGGTCTTTCTCCAGTTCCCCTAGGAGCTGCTGCTGTTGTGAAAGGACAAGAGGGCCCTTGAAAGCCTTGGACATCAGTCTCTTGACCTCAAAGCCAGCAGAACTGCTGACACACATTGTTGTATCCCAAGCGATGTTGTAGTCTCCCTCTACAGGATTTAACCAACACAACTGAAATAGATTTTACAGATATTACATCTTGTTTACATAGACAAAATGTTTATAAAACTTGTAACTATGACATTAAGATTTCAGAAAATGAAAAACAAGGATGTAGCATGGTTAGGTATATACTTCCTTCAGCTGGAGGTTCACATAACAAGAGGTCCATTGACCGTAACAGTCAGCTGACAATTAAGTCCTTAATATAACAGCTGTAGTAGTATTAGTCTGTAACAGCAACAGTTGTAGTGAGAGCAATTGTTAAATAATTGAAACAGTTCACAATATTTTATTTTTGCAGTGAAGGCAAACAAGGAAACAATACTACTACAAAATTTCAGCTCAAATCACACAAGTGCAACTTGATAAAAATTTTTAAAATATGTTTTTCAAGATACATTTGGTAAGGACCATTTCAATCAGCATTTCAGCTGAATCCCACTTGTGGCAGTTAAGAATGTTTAAAGTATAAGCAAGTGGAATGGTGCAAGACAAGATGAATCATCATGGCTATTATTAAAAAGTTACAAAACCGGTAAAAAATGAAATGTCATTAATAGCAAAAAGCACACCTAGGGCACTAACTTAATATATATAGAAAGTTTTGTTGAGATGAGTGGAACGGTTTTGAAGGTGTAGCCTGGAAAGAAAAGTAAACAATAATAAAGAGTTTTTTGGCTATGTTTCCATGGAAACACAAAAAATATTTCAAAAAATGAAATATCGTCAATAGCAAAAGGCACAACTAGGGCATTAACATAAAATATATAGCAAGTTTCACGAAGTTGAGTTGAACATTCTTGAAGTTTAAGTCCAGAAAAGCCCTCAGACATACAGACGGATGGATGGACGGACAGATGAACCATCATGGCTATTATTAAAAAGTTACAAAACCGGTGACAAATATTCCAGTGAAATTATTAAATATCTATGTTCATATCTATATTCCTGCCGTTTTAAATATTGAGACTCCTAAATAACTATGAAGAAAAGTGCTTACTGTTTGATGAAGTGATCATTTATCATTCATATTCATTTACATATTTCATTATGTAAATGAAATACCACATGCAATTTATTTTCCCTCCAATGCATATTTAAACTGAAAATGTTTTTTAATGGAAATCTTTATTTTCTTTAGATTTTTACCTAGATTATTCTGCTTATTCTAACTTTAACATAAAGTACAATAAAGCATACACTGATAAAGGAACCATGTAGGTTATTTTTGCTTGCGAATAAAACTGCTCATATATTGCTTGGTGATAACTTCATCCTCAAATATTAAAACTATATCAAATTTACACTTGAATACTTTTTTCTTATTGGTGACCGGTTGAAACAGGCAGAAGTCAAACTGACTTGAAAATTTTCTCCATTTACAAAATACACAATCTAAGATTTCAATAATGTTAGACTCACCTCATCTTCAGCCACATGTAGTGGTGGTGCCAGTCTGATGAACTCTGGCATCATACAGTTTTCAACAGGAGGCCGGAGACCAGTTAGTAAGGCTTCTATAGTTTGTCTCTGTACATCTGGATTGATAACACCAGGCTTTCCAAACTGGTCAAAACTGAAACCCAAAAAAATACTGTAATGCTGATGTCGTCATACCCCACCATCAACACCAGTCTTACCAAGTCAGTCAAAAAACTATAACAAAATACTGGCATACACTTACTGAATGTCCCACCATCAACACCAGTCTTACCAAGTCAGTCATACCATACCTCAACAAAATACTGGCATACACTTACTGAATGTCCCACCATCAACACCAGTCTTACCAAGTCAGTCAAAACTATAACTCAACAAAATACTGACATACACTTACTGAATGTCCCACCATCAACACCAATCTTACCAAGTCAGTCAAACCATACCTCAACAAAATACTGACATACACTTACTGAACATCCCACCATCAACACCTGGCTTACCCAACAGCTCAAAACTGGGCCTCAAAAAATACTGAAACAAATGGCTTCAAAGTTTGGCATTATCCCCCACACCCAGCTGTTGGTGTAAATCCCAAATATGATATATATATACCCGTATAACAATTTGTGACGTCACTTAATTATGTACCGCTACTATTACCTGACGATCTAAACACAGTGAAAGCACTAGTGCAAAGTGTAATGTCTCCTTTTGTCAATTATCAATTTAATTTCCTTACATCTCCTCAACTTCAACATTTTATATATATATGTATGAATTAAATTTCAACCTTAAAGTAAGAGTTTTGATGTTGATGTAGCTCCTGTGTGTTTGACTGCTGATATTTAAAAAGAGCTTGGTATTGTCCATGAACAATTTATGTAGAGCTCTTTAGCTCTGGAGCAATACAAGAAGTAACAAGAAATTGGAAAATTTGAAAGTAAATGAAAAAAGATAAATAACAAAATGTTTTCAATAAATAAAGGCACAACTAGGCACTAACCTAATATACGAAAAAAAAATTTGTGGAGTTGAGTGGAATGGTTTCAAAGTTGTTTCCCTGAAAGGAAAGTTAACACTAATATTGTGTTTTTTTATTATGCTTCTATGGTAACACAAAAAATATAAAAAAAATGAAATGTCTTCCTAGCAAAAAGCAAACCTAGGGCACTAACTTAATATATATAGAAAGTTTTGTTGAGATGAGTGGAACGGTTTTGAAGTTGTAGCCTCGAAGGGAAAGTAAACAATAATTTTGTGTTTTTCACTATTTTTCCATGGTAACACAAAAAATATGAAAAAAATGAAATGTTGACATCGCAAAAAGCACACCTAGGGCACTAACTTAATATATATAGAAAGTTTTGTTGAGATGTGTGGAACGGTTTTGAAGTTGTAGCCTCGAAAGGAAAGTAAACAATAATTTTGTGTTTTTCGCTATGTTTCCATGGTAACACAAAAAATATGGAAAAAATGAAATATTGACATCGCAAAAAGCACACCTAGGGCACTAACTTAATATATATAGCAAGTTTCATGAAGTTGAGTTGAATGATTTTGAAATTAAAAGTCCAGAAAAACCCTTGGACATACGAAAGGATGGATGGACGGACAGATGGAGTCCAAATTAATATCCCTTGCAAATGTGTTTCCCAGGGAATGATAATGATGTAGTTATAACTCACCATCCACATCAGGCTTACCAAACAGGTCAAAGTCAAAATAATAATTTGTCACAACAGGAGTTTTGTTCAAGGTACAGTATGACAAATACATCAGGTAAAAGTTCTTTACCTTGTTGGTTTATTGTCTGGATCAGGTACCACACATGGCATGGCTGATTTACTCTGGGCAGGCATCTCAGACTGTCGCTCAGCTAATGCCAACTGTAATCCACTTACATCAAAATTCTACAACAAAAACCTCAATCATAGGTGACAACATACTATGAGATGTTAACTGAAAAATCACTGAATCCTAATCATAAAACAAAAAATGTCACCCAATACGGAAAATAAGCAAAACACTTACAAAATACCAAATGAATAAAAATAGTAGTCAGAATGTGTTCAATTTGAACAAGAGGCCTAGTTACCTAGTACATAACATAAAAACTGTCACCCTATACTAATAATTCTAACATGTTATTTTCAATAGGAAATAAATAACGTTATGTACAAAAATGTAATTTTTCTAAAAAAAAAAATTTCCAAAAATAAACTACAGTTAAATTCCTCCCCAAGGAGAAATGTAAGACCCCTATTGGTAAAGCACCTTAAAACGCTTCCATCAACGAAGAGCATTTGATTCTACCATACCTGAGTGTTGAGAAGGTTTTTTAAATTTAAGTCTATTTGACCACTTTTGGCCCAGCCCATCAGCCCCTGGGGTTCAGTCAGGATCAGTATGTGCATACCATCAAGCTGTCATCCTTTGCTCAGAGTTCTAACCAAGTTTGAATTATTTCTAATGGAAATTAAACAAGTTAAGCTCAAAAAAGGATTTTTTTCCTATGTAATCTACAGTAAAATTTACCTCCTCACCATGGGGTAATCCGAGACCTTGGGGTTAATTTTGACCATTTTGGCACCGCCCCTCAGGCCCTTGTGGGGTGGGGACCATAAAATTCACTTTTTTTATTCGACTTAGCTTTCTGCAAAATTTCCTTGGAAATGGTTCAGGAATTTTTGAGAAGAAGTATAAAATGTTAAAAGTTTATGGATGCACATAAAGATTCCATCACTACATTTTATGATTGCTTTAAAAGGTAAATTCATGGAAGTAATTTCCTCATTTGAGAAGTATGTATATCAATTAGCCCCTCATTAATCATCATAAATGGTAACTTCATTGACAAGTCAGTGCTAACAATAGACTGGCTGTTAAGCCATTTGATTTAATCATAAATAGGTTCTGTTTTAGGCCATGTCTGGACAAAAGCTTTACACAACATACAGAAGATCAAGTGATAATCCATTAACAAAGGAAAATTGAAAACATACAGCAGATCTAGTGATAATCCTCCATTAAAGGAAATGTAACTAAATAAGAGGATAATAATATTGGTCTCGGACATCTGCAAATTTGGGGATGACATTGGCAACATACAACCATATTTTCATTGAACTTTGTGAATTTCTACTTGCAGTGAAGAAATATAAAGCATATTTTAAAAATCTATACCACTCATGATATCTTTCATGTAAAAATACATTTTCAATTGATATGGATGATCAAAAGAAATGTTTCCTCTTTTTCGTTATGGAAATAAAAGACTCAACATGTTTACCTGCATATTTAATACATCCATCTGTATAATATTTGTTGGAGTTTTCTTGAACATCTGAAATTAAAAAAGAAAGTGTTTTCTTTAGAATAAAGTATGCTGTTCACAATAAAGGACATGTCTACCTGCCATTAAATTTGTATTACTCTATAGCTTTCTCTAAGTCCAATGGGCTTACACATTACTTATTACTCAGAGACATGGGATGGGCTGATTACAAGGAGCTTACACATAACGTTTTACTCAGAGACAGGGGATGGGCTGATCACAAGGAACTTACACATTACTTATTACTCAGGGACAGGGGATGGGCTGATCACAAGGAGCTTACACATTACTTATTACTCAGGGACAGGGGATGGGCTGATTACAAGGAGCTTACACATTACTTATTACTCAGAGACAGGGGATGGGCTGATTACAAGGAGCTTACACATTACTTATTACTCAGAGGCAGGGGATGGGCTGATCACAAGGAGCTTACACATTACTTATTACTCAGAGACAGGGGATGGGCTGATCACAAGGAGCTTACACATTACTTATTACTCAGGGACAGTGGATGGGCTGATTACAAGGAGCTTACACATTACTTATTACTCAGAGACAGGGGATGGGCTGATCACAAGGAGCTTACACATTACTTATTACTCTCAGGGACAGGGGATGGGCTGATCACAAGGAGCTTACACATTACTTTTTATTCTGAGACAGGGGATGGGCTTATTACAAGGAGCTTACACATTACTTTTTATTCTGAGACAGGGGATGGGCTGATGACAGGAGGTCACACACACTTTTTACTCAAGAGACAGGGGATGGGTAGATTACAGGGAGCTTAAACATCACTTATTATTTGAGAGACAGGAGGTGATTACAGGACAATTAATTAATAGGTTTGTATTCTAACACTCAGCAATATATGTATATGAGTGAGTGTACTTCTAGTCTAATTGGCTTACAAAAGGGGGTGTGATTCTCCATACTGATCAAAACAGACTTCTGTTACATCAAAAACATGTGGTAAGTGTACAGTAATTTACAGGTTAGCATCAATGCTACTGTAACAGAGGTAATTTTTCATCTCAATGCCTCCGCCAGGAATTGAACCCGGGACCCCTGGCTTACTAGTCTGACGCTCAACCAATCGAGCTAAAGAGAAGTTCTCTCTAGCCGAGTGGTATATTGCGACTAGTATTTTACCAAGCTACATACTCCTCCTCCAGGAAATTACTCGTCCTCGAGTTTCGGGGGGTTACAGCCATGCTGATGGGGCATGGCTAAGTATTATTCCCAGGTCCCTATATGGGTGCCAATGTAACAGAGGTCATTTTTCATCTCAATGCCTCCGCCAGGAATTAAACCCGGGATCCCTGGCTTACTAGTCTGACGCTCAACCAATCGAGCTAAAGAGAAGTTCTCTCTAGCCGAGTGGTATATTGCCGCAAGTATTTTATCAGGGCTACACTACTTTCATAGAAAGTTAAACAACAACAAAGACAAAAGGCTGTTTCTCTGTGATAAAGGCACATGTGTTGTCTATTTAGATGTAACGCTGAAACTAAACTATAAATTGTTTTAAGACTGAAAAAAAATCATCATGATATGAAAAGTGTGATCATTATATTTGTAAGATACTGTATAAATGGACAATACCCTCTGTCATTATAGTAAGCATGAAATCAAATACCCAGTTAATATTCTATAGTAAATCTCAGGGAATGTATGCTATATATCTGTATATATGAGTACCATTGTTAGATGCACAAAATTCAATACCCATGAACAGCTGGCTAAAACAGAGACAACTTCGAAATATTTGCTCTATAATACTAATGAACTGGTTCAAACCAAAACAATTATGAAATATTACCTCTATGAAATCACATCAACTATACAGCAATATGGACTAAACTATCTATTTTCACAAAATAATTCATCTTGGTATACAAACCTCTTTAGTAGGACTGGAGATGAGCTGTGACAAGAAATATCGTTCTGATGGTGAAATAGCTGGGATAGCCCAGTGCAGGTCAAACTGTCCAGCGTCTTGATTCTCTGTGGGTGGGTTCTAAAGATGCAATAAATGTTCTACAGATAGGCCAACATAAAGAGAATTGATTGGTTGTCTATATCAGGTCATAAAAACATCACTTGGCTAGTATTTGTTAGAATGTACAATAAACATTTTAAAAATTCTATTTTACCAGTCTATTATAATAAGAAGTCTGAAGTAATTTTGTAGTAATTGGACCATCTTCTTTGTAACAGGTTGAAAAAACTTCATTCTTTTTTGTCTCTACCAAATAAATATGCTAAACCTACACCTAAAATCTACATATAAACAAACTAATTTTATGTAAACAGAATCCATTAGTATCCTGACATATTATTTATATATTATTTTATATTTTTGCTATCTTGTCTATACATTTGATTTTTGATAATGTCTTTTTTCATCTTCATTCTCTCTGAAAACAACAACAGACTGACAGTACCTTGCCAAAATATTGGTTCTTAAACACAAATAGACAACTTATTTGCTAGTTTCCATACCAGTAAGTGGACGAACACAGTTGCAAATGGATTGACAGCTATAGGTTCAGTTCTGTACATCTCGTAGAGCAGAAATATAGCAGCCAGCTTTTGTGTTGGGTGAGGGAGCAAGTCTCTGTTTTGTAATAACAGCACCTAAAACAGTCAACATTTTTACCTATAATTGAAGACAAAAAATCCTTACATTATTGTACATCCCCCTCCTATATTTGCTCTATTTAAATCATAAAGACAGGTCCTGAAGAGATGTTTTTGTATGAACAGTTCGTTTAACTTTTTATCTTCTATTTCCAGAATGCTACAAAACTGGCCAAATAATGACCAGTAAAGTAGGAGGTTGAGCCAAGATAAGATAGTGAAAGGATGGAAGGATTGTGAAACTGCTATATTTCCCATCCCCCTCTGTATGGTTCCTGGTAGAGGACTAATAAACTATATATAAACTTATCAAAGATTTAATTACAATATAATATATACAATATAGCAGGGTTTTCCATAATTTTGTTAGTAGTAGGCTGTGTAGTGAAAGTAGGAGGCTGGCCTGCCGTGTATGTGTGGTCATGTACGAAACATTATTACGAAACTGGATTGGTGTAGGCGGCCAAATGATCAAAGTAGCTGGTCAAATTGGCCGGCGACCGGCTCTTATGGAAAACCCTGAATATAGCTATAACATAGCCAACAATAGGCATAAACATGAAAAGAAATTGATGTTAAAAATCCTTTTTTCTTGTATCAAATTATTTATTGAACATTTTTTTTCGAATGAACACAAGGCCTAATCCTAGTCTAATAGTGCTTCCCATATTTGCAATGAACTGATTTCCATAGCTAAAAATTTCAACCATATATCCAACACAGCTTTTTCCAAACTGATTTTGAGAGCTATAATACCTATTGGCAACACATTTTAAAAGTACTGGTACGGACGTGAACTGTTATTTTATCAAGCAAGATTACCAAAGCTGATCCAACTTTGAAATGGTCCTGTTTGGTGAAGTAGTGATGGAAGCTTGATGCCAAAGCCTCAAATGACTGTGTCTGGGTTGCATCCTCAGATAATACACTGGAAAAGACAATTCATAACAAAATATAACATGGGGCAGCAGATAGTCTTCTTAATAAAATCATGTAGTTGATAAAACATTATGTATATGCATGCTAGCTGGTGAGTACTGACAATGTAAAACTTGAAAATACAGGTCGCCTTACCAGTCTTGGCTTGTGGGATATTCCCTTTAGTTAAGTAGTAGAGTGTTTGACTAGAAAGTGATGGGTCATTAATTGAAACCCCTAGGAAGGACAGGTTGCTTTTTTATTACTCTTTCCTATTACAGATCAAGTGTCATGACTAGGATTGTGATAATCTCTGAGGGTGAAGACTTTTGAAGGATTGAGAATTGTAGAACGTTAGAGTACAGGTCAGCTAATTAGCTTCAGCTAGTGGGAATTTCCCTCTATTGGCTTTAGTCAGTTATTAAAATGACCACCTAGAGAATAGTGTTGCTTTTTTCAACTCCAGAAGGGGCAAGGTATTTAACAATACATTTCCCTACTAATTTGGTTCCATTAACCACTTCAAGGGTAGAATCTAGAGGAGACGAGATGCTTCCCTGGATATATCGAACCTGAGTAATTGTCATCTTTCGGATTGAAGACTTGTGAAGGAGATCGTGTGAAAGTAGAGAGAACAGGTCACCTTACTGGCCTCGCCTAATCATAATTCCCATTTATCAATCAGTATTGTGTCAAAATAAAGACTGAAGGGCATCCTTGATACGTCAGGCATAACAATCACTTTCTTTCTCCACAATGACCTGATATGTGCATGAAAACTGTATTATACCTTAGCAGAGAAGCAAGTTCCTTCAAAGTAAGCGCCATCTTGAATTTGATCTCTCGCCAAATCTCGTTGCTTAAATTCTGTTCTCCTGTAAATTAATGCATGAGATGTGTATCTTTACTGAAGGTTTGATGATTCATCTACATAATCATGTATTTTTTATGGACTGTCTATTTCATTGAAGCATGTATTGGAATTTTTGTTAACTTTTTCAGAAATTCAACTCTCGCTTAAAACGAGATTTGACACTGTTGACATTCTGAACGACGAGAAGCTGCAGCTGCAGAATGATGAATCCTGACGGCCAAACAGGCGGAACGCCAAATGTTCGGTTGATTATATCCGTCATTATAATTGTGGGATGTTTTACTGTGATATATCCTCGCTTTTTTCACCCATTAGTGTTGAAGGCGTTTGGGATGGCACCAGAACCACCAGTCAAACATCAGCCAGGTTCGTTTGTGTACACAGTGCACTTGGTGCTAATTAGTACAGCGAGATTTGTCTGAAAATATGCTTATTTAGATAGTTTAATAATTTTGCAATACAAGGTTACCCAATATACTTTTTCATACTGTTTTCTTTGATATAAATAGCATATATATATCCCTGATAAACATATATTTACCTGTTATCGGTTTGCAAAGACGAAGGGAGGGAACTCTCTGCTGTCATAAAAAATGAATTGTTTATTTTGATTTAAACATATTTTTATTATATTAAATAAATGCAGTGGGGATCTTGCACAAGTTTGCCAACTTTGTTAATATTTTTATAGAAAGATAGGTATGGTAAAGTTGGGGTGTAAAGAAATAAGAAAATGTATGTAAAGGGGAAAAGTGGAGGTCTCATTCTTGTTCACTTTTAAAGAATACAGAATTTGTGAATAGTTCAATAAATAATGTTACTGGTTTAGGAAGTTAATCTTTCGCGACACATCAGGCACAAGTGAACTTTCCTCTATTCTGCTCTTAAAAGGGTATGAATCATGCCGTGTTTATAAATCTGTTAGTTGAATTCAAGTACTGATTTCTTTTTTGTACCAAATTTTCGTCAGCTTTACTGTGTTGTTGTCTCACATATGATAGTTACCATGTTTTTTTACAATCTATTGTAAAGTTTTATATAAAAATTTCACTTCTGATATGAGATAAATTTCATTGTCAAAATATTCTTAGTTTGAATGTAAGAATGTGTATTCTGGTATGAAGGAAGTTTTAGCACATCCTAATCAAGTAAAAGCAGGATACAGTGTGCACAATAGCGATGTTTGTGGTACGTTCATACAAGGGAGGTAACTCTAATCTTATTCACCCAGCTGGTTGATTTCTTGACTTTTTCTCCATTGAAGTACTTCTTCCAGTTTTCAGATTATCCAAAGATGAAGGGTAATACATATTGAAAAGAAGATAATTTGGTCCAATGGCTGTTCAGTTCCAATAGTCTTATCTTTGAAGAGCTCCACTAGGGCATAGTTGCACAAGAGCTCAGTTTCATTAAAAGGAATGAAATGGTCATTTAGAAAAGGGGCATTTTGTTATAAATGTTTGTTTAGTTTTGAAATTGCCCTTCATTCATAGTTGATTGTACATGTATGTTCAAATCCTGTTGTCAATCTTACTTAGAGGTATATATTGAGCTTACAGTGATCATTCTCAAATTTCTGCAGCCTGATGATGATGTTAAGGAATGAAGTGGTAGTCACTGGAGTTTTTATTTGGCTAGACAGTTTGCTGGAATTTTTAATTTGTACTTCTGACAGATTTACACTGTTCACAGTGTCTTTGTATGCTCTGAAAGTACAATCTTTAAGGAAAAGATATGATATTAACCTGAAAATAACTTTAACCCAGATTTCCCACCTCACAGAGGAGTTGGTGGCCATGGTCCTGGTAGACCCAGTCCTGATGACATCAAACAACACATGCGGGTAAGTAACCATTCTAACAGCATTGGACAAGTACATAGTAATATAATGGGTAGAGATAACAGGTCACATAAATACTAGTCAGGACTGGTGTTAATGTGCCTTGAAGTAGAGGTCACTAGTATATGCCCCAGTGACAGCTTCCTATTACATTCCTATGATTTCTTCATTATTTCAAGTACTTGATTGTCATTGGAATGCAATCTTAAAAAACACAATTACATTTGTATTTCTAAATATTCCATAGGAAACAGAAATGAAATCTGCCACCAAAAACTCATGAATTTCTGCATGTGCATTTTGTTTTGATAGCCTGGTCCTCATCCTGGCATGAGAGCCTCAGCAGAAATGAACAAACAGAAACAATCTAGTGGTGGACGGGGAGGCATAATGGGAATGGTTCTGCCAATGTATGCAGTGGGAATCGTAGTCTACCTAATCTATACTCTCTTCAAGGTAAGTTATTGTACATATTAACTCTCAGTTATAGTGATTACTTATTAAACATTGGTATGCATTAGCACTGTCTCTTTTAGAAAAGTTGCAATTTTGTATCATTAAAGTTGGTTAGTGGCACATGTGTGTACTGTATCCATTATCAATTCACCTGTGTAAGGTCTTAATTTCAAGGTGGATTATGTAATAAATGTATTATACAGCTCTTAAAGTTCAATACTCTGACCTGTTTAGGTCACATAACTTGAGAGATTGCTTGAAATGCTTTAATTATGGTATGTTAATGGATAGGCTGGTTGGAAAGTCCTCTTCTTCCACATGAATTAAAGATTTGTGTGTACATTATGTATATATATATCTAGACAAAAAATAATAATGTTGGTATCCCATATGTGTGTTGTCATTCTTATCACATTTAAACACCAGGTTTTTAATAAGCAAGGGAAGGGAGACATTCGCCGTCGACAACTGGAAGAACAACAGAGACGAGGCCTTGCATACAGGGGTGGTGTTGGAGGCCAATATAGGGATGGGGTTGGTACCTACCCAGGGAGTGAGCCAACAGCACCCCTGACTGACATGTATGGAGAAACACCTGAGGAAAAACTGGCAAACATTGAGGATGTACTAAATAAAGCAGAAGACAAAAATATTAGTAAGTCAGCAATAAGCATGGTTTTGTTTACTACATATATTTTCAATGACTTTTGGGTATATATTAAACACAGTCAAGTGCAATTCATATTATACAGTCATACCAATGCCTAATAAAAAATGAGAGCTTGGATCCAGAGAAAGCAGTCACATGTTATTGAGTTAACTTCCTGCTGAGTTGAATGTTTATCTTTTGTAATCAGGTGAGGTACAGATGCAAGATTTGCAACGTCGTCTACAGGAGACAGAGGCACAGATGGCAAATATACTCAAGGCCATGAATGCTGTGTCAAACAAAGTTGTAGAATCTGCAGCTGAGGATGATAGTGAGCCACATTTGGTAAAAGATAAGGTAAGTGTAGTCACATGACACAGCAAGCTGTGTGGTAGTAATTTTATTGATTATGGTCATTATGAAACAACAGCATTAAAATGGTCTTTTTAGGGATGACTCGTAACATATTGTAATTTTGATAAAATTACTTTACCTGATTATATAAATGTAGTTAAAACCACAAATTAATTTTTGAAGTACTTGTTTTGCACTTTTCTTTTATCATCAAAATGAATAAATTAGATTTTAGAAGCATTTTATTGAATTTTTTTTAAAAATATTGGTTTTAACTAGTTTTATATTGGTATCCTCTCTTTCTTATTTTAGATTCAATTAAATTCTATTACGTTATCTAATCTTAGGAAAAGGACAACAAATCCAATGACTCGAGTCCAGACATTAGTAGCTATGAAGTGATTGACAAATCAAAGGGAGAGAAATCCAAGAGCTCCTCCCCAGAGGTCGAAACATTGACTGCAGGAAAGGAAGTCAATGATGAGGAGAAAGCAAAAACAGATGGAAATGAAGAGAAATCCGAAGGTAAGAGTGAAGAAAAGAAAGAAGAAGATGAAACAGAAATAGAGGAAGTGTTGTTGGAAGATAAGAAGGATGAAGAGGATGAAGATGGAGAGTCAAGTGTGAGGAAAAGGAAGACCCATCCTGTATCCAACTGAAATATCAGTTATTGTCCTCAGTCTTATTCTATATGTTTTTACACAGAAAGTATGCAGAATGTTCAGTACTAGATGTACTGTGTATTGATAATAGAATATATTCTTGTACATTATGAAAATGTTCGGTAAATAACATATTGTTTGATCATTTATTACAAATGAAATCTATTGAAAACAAACTGAATTGAAATAAATTCATGTGACCCCATAAAATATATTAGATAACTTACTTTTTGAATCAGAATTTAAAACTCGTGTAACTACATTGATTAGATGTACTAGTGAAAATATTTTACCAGCTGATTGTCCTGCCTGTAAAATGTGATGTTTCTTCATGTTTGAATAGAAGAATTATACAATGTCCAGCAGATTTCTCCTTACTTTTTTTTATGAATGAAGAAAAAATATACACTACACATTTTAGGAGTCTGCAAGATTTTTAATCAAAATATCAGTTATTGATTCAAATGGAAAACTAGTCAGTTTATAGCCTTATAGTTATAAACAGTCCCCATTATCTCCTGGATTTTGTCCATTTTAGTAAAAATATCTTATTTATTATCTGCCATATTGGGAGACTGGGTAACATTCTACAAACAGAAAATTGATATATTGAATATGTATTGGTTATGCAAGAATTCTCTTTATAACCAATTAAATAATGACTCTTTCATGAATTGTCACAAAAAAACAAATAAAAACATCATAAGTACCAACATGACATTTATAATACATGACATTATTATAGCAACATGTTTGTTATTTAAACATGGCATTTATAACATCAACATTAAATTTATCATTTCACAACATTGATAATATCAACATGATGTTTACAATACCGACATGGCATTATGATTTGTGATATCAACATGTTTATAATATCAACATGTCATTAATAATGTAAGCATGAAATTAAAATATCAACTTAACCTTTATAATATCAACATGATTTATGATACCATCATGACATTTTTGATATCCTCTTGACTTATATAACATTACTGTGGCATATGTAACATCAACATGATGTTTATATATATCAGCATGATGTTGATAATATAAACACGATCTTTTTGATATCAACAAGATGTCTATAATATCAGGATGATTTTTATAATATCAACATGACATTTATAATATCAACATGAAACTTATAATATCAACATGACACTTATAATATGACATTTATAATATCAACATGACATTTATAATATCAACATGACACTTATAATATGACATTTATAATATCAACATGACATTTATAATATCAACATGACATTTATAATACATGTATGAGTTAGTTATGTTGATTTTATCAGATCTGATACTCTTTGAAACTGCTTTGTTGTTAACTTTATTTAGATTAAAAATCTACTTATTATTTAATCTAGAAATCCTGAAAACGACTCCTATTTAAATATTTATAACTATTTATTGTGAAATACATTGTTTCATATTTTGAGTTTGTTTAATATGCTGTCACTTATTGGCAGCCATACTGCTCTACTGAAAACCCTTGTAAACTCATTATTTTTATTAACGAGGGTTTGTTTTGTCCATCAGTGTTTGATGTTGAAGGATATTGAAATTATAAGATCTCATCAATTGGTTGTTTTTTGTTAGGAGTTTGACCTATGGTTGTCAAAATTGGTGTACAACATCAAGATTTTAAAAGATGTTTTAATGATATGTTGTAGAAAGACTCCTCTATGTTTTAATACCACTACCAAAAAATCTCTAAACATTTTTAGCTCACCTGGCCCAAAGGGCCAAGTGAGGTTATGCCATAGCGTGGCGTCCGTCATCTGTCTGTCCATCCTGTGTCTGTCAACTTTTCATTTAAACAACTTTTTCTGAAATAGCGGGAGGCGTAGTTATATTTGGCTGGAAGGTTCCTTTGATGAAGCTCAACAAAGTTTGCAAAAAGAAATGACCTTGACCCATATTCAAGGTCACAGAGGTCAAATGTGTTAAAACTTTTAAGCAACTTCTTCTAAAATACCGGGAGGCCTAGAATCATTGTATATGGCTGGAGGTTCCTTTGATGAAACCTAAGTTTGCGAAAAGAAATTACCTTAAACCATATTCAAGGTCACAGAGGTCAAATGTGTTAAAACCTTTAAACGATTTCTTCCAAAATACCGGAAGGCCTAGAATCATTATATCTGGCTGGAAGGTTCCTTTGATGAAGCCCAACAAAGTTTGTGAAAAAAATAACCTTGACCCATATTCAAGGTCACAGAGGTCAAATGTGTTAAACGTGGAACATATGCACAGATATAGTACTGTTGGTCATAAAGATCCAGGTGAGCGACACAGACCCTCTGGGCCTCTTGTATTGACATCATATGTGTGGGTTATATTTTTCATTTTCTCTTTTGAATATCAGTTATTTCACTCATTAAGATGACAATGTCCCAGTAAAGAACAACATTGTTTTAGGATGACAAGGACCATTTAAGGTATTTCAACACTGTTATGCAAATTGTTGTATTCTGAACACTGACCTGTGATATTTTCTGTTCTATGTTAGTGATGTTTGATATTAACTTTCTTTATGCCCTCATTGTTTTCAATGGGTTTATTGCAATATTTGCCTTGTGCAGAAAATGGCATAATACTATTTATATTGCTGAGGAATTTCATGAGTTGAATCTACTGATGAAGGAACAGATGCATACATCTATAAACATTATTCATAAAGTTTTAGATGTTCCTGTTCAGCAATTACATTTGTGAATAGTGAAGTGTCAACAAAATTTCGAAAAATAAAACCCTCATGACAATAAATTATTTAACATTTTGCTCTGTCTTCAAAGTAAGCTTGAATATTAGTGACATGTTTGATTATATTTTATTGTGTTATGCTTGTACTGATTTTTTTGTATAGTTTTTCCTAACTTTCCAGTTCTGGTAAATGAGTTGTACTGTTGGCCACTGTGAAAATGGTGAAAATACCCTTGACAGAAAATCAGTAATCAAACGTTTCATGTTGAAGATTACCAAAGATGAATGTAAAAAAATACTGATATTCAAAGTAAAATTTGGTTGTATATGTTCTTTAAGAAACTGATGATGACAGTATATGCTAAAAATATATTTACAGTATTCAGATAATTGGGGATATAAGGTAGTATTATGAATTATTTCATTGGAAAACTATAAATATTGTTATTCCAGCAGTTTCATTTGATAGAAGTTTTGTTTGTTCGACATAGTAGCAGTAAAGCCTGATTTGAAGTATGTTTGTGGCAGATACCCTAAAATAGTATTTAGTTTATGGAATGTACTGAATACAAAACAAGGACATAGTTGCTGAAAACAGTGTTTTGTATGTTGAACTACTTCCATTGTCGTGTCATTTGTGAACAGTTTTATTTGATAAATTCTTCCATTGTTTGTACACTGTTCTATTCCATCATACTCTTATATACAGAACAATTGTTGTGCTTGGTACAAGTCATTTGTTGTATAAAACTGTTTTTCGTAGAAAGAAAATAAGATCAATATATACTTGTGTTATGTTAGGTTTCACAATCAAAAAATCATTGAATGGTTCTCAGTTACTTAGCAGTGTATATTTTTGTTGTACACAAATAAATTGTTTACCTACATTGTCACATTGTCTTCTGTGTAGTTTACATTGACCTAGTTTTCGGTAATGGTCTGTATGTTGATGTATATTTTTTACCAACTGTAGGTCACAGGCATACAATGCTGTGTTTTTATCTTTAAATAGAATCTCAGTAAATATATGTATAGCATTATAATGAAGCTTAGATTGATGTTGGAAACTGAATCTCAAAATTTACATGAATTTACTCACAAAAACGGAACAAGAATAAACGTTTTATGTCATTTGTTTTAACAAATATTGGAAATGATTTTATTTTTCAATCATTTTTATTATCCTGTGGATTATGATCACTTATTGTGTACAGGTAACGTTACATGTACAGATAACATAACATGTACAGGTAACGTTACCTGTACAGGTAACATAATAACATGTACAGGTAACATAACATCATGTACAGGTAACATAACATGTACAGGTAACATTACGTGTACAGGTAACATTATGTAAACCTGAAGAAAAAATATTGTCTGTGTATTTAAAGTATTTGGAATTTGTTAACCACACTTCTGAGAGGCACATACTCCAAAGGTCCCACAGTTATCATGAACCACAATTTCATGGCCACTTAGTGTAGTAAAGCAAATTGTCAACCTACATATGTACAAGGTCCAACAATGTGACATTGTTTGTATGTACTTGGATATTCAGGTTGATTAGCAACGAGTCAATTTCAGCTTCTATGCTTAATATTTTGTTGTTGGAGACACAATTTAAAAAATACTATCTCAAAATTATGATGTAGAATAATTTGAACAGTGTATTTCACGAAATGGCATTGTTGTTTTCCAATGTATTGAAATGTATGAAATATCAGTCCATAGGAGAATGCCATCTAAGACAAGAAAGTTGTTGATAATGTGTTTACTTTGTACTAATAATCATAAGATGTAAATATTTCAGTGAGGTTTACACATTGACTGCTATTAGAAGCATTATATTCAGGCATTGATTCTTTGGAATAACAAAAAATATGTTCACAAAATTAATTTAGTAGTGTAGTATTTAGCTTTTGATATTGTCTTTTATTTTGTTTTAAATTTGCATGATGTGACATTATTTTGAAATAAATCTTATTTACATACTTTAACAAGTAGATAAAGGATGGAGTATCAATGCCAGGGATTCTGTGACTATGTAGATTTTTTTAGTTGACATGTTTCGGATGGCTAGGCCAACTGTCATCAGAACTCCATTATCCACCTTTGGATTCCTCTATCGATACATCTACCAACCAGCACCACCCACAGAACGTTGGACTCCTCCACCTCTTTGTGTTATCCTTCCAATTTATGTACTTTGTTTTATGTCTTTCGGTTGTATTGGGTAGGTCAATAAAGCTGTGTTGACATTATAAGTGTAGTCTTTTGACTTCTCCATTGGCATGCTTATCATGCAGGTTTCCTTCTGTTGGTTTAAGGTTGATGTATATAGGAATTTTCTGTGACCTACATGATGTTTTACATCTGTCTTTGGATTTTACTTTGAATCATTTATTCTGAAGAACCACAGAACTTATTTTTATTTGCCCCCTGCTGGTGAAACTGGAAAGAACTAAAGTGTGTCTCTCCGTCTGTCCGCCAGGATGCAGGGGTCCAGATAACTTGAGAAAAGATAGATGGATTTTAATGAAATTTCATTTAACTTAAGGTTGTGAGGTAATACAGAGTGGGATTTAGTTTGAGGTTGAATGGTCAACTTAAAAAATTACTGTTGCTAAAAATAGATATATTTATTTGTAAAATTGTAGTTTCCAGATGATAACTTCAATAAGGATTGATGGATTTACTTGAAACTTGTAAGGTTATGAGGTAATAGAGAGTGGAATTATGTTTGAGGTCAAAATGTCAACTAGGAAGGTCACTGTTATTGAAAATAGACATTTTTTGTCATGTTTTTGCTTCCAGACTTCCAGTTCATCGCTATCAAGGTCCATGTTGTTTAAAAAAAATTTTAATTAACAGCAGGGGACAAGTGTTGCATGGGTGCAACACTAGCTGTAAGTTTGTTTTGTAAGCATATTTCTGTGACAGACTACCATATGGCTTACTGTCAAGGTCACATACCTCAACTTTGGTACTTCCAGAGAAGCAAAGGCCCAGCTGTAGTGCCAAGGTATCAGACTTGATCTGTCGAGAGGTTTTTAGAATTAAGAGTTAAAAGTAAGTAGATACCTACATGTAATAGGTCCAGTTTTGTCGTATACACTGTACAGCTTAATGGATTTCAGGAATTTTTTTTCAAAATGAGTTCCAGAGTTCAATAGCCATTGTGATTTGTCTGTCGTTGTCCGCCATTTGTAAACTTTTGACATTTTAAATTTCAAAAGTTCAACCCGTGGGATTGAACCCCAACTTGCATGAAATGATCCTGAAATGGTCCTGACTAAGTGTTGTTATTTTTCGAGTATGTCTGAAATCCAAGATGGCAACCATGGCCAGCATCTTGAAAAACATGTTTTAAACTTCTTTTCCAGCTCCACCGGTGCCACTGAACTGAGCTAAAAATTGGTGGGAATGTTAAGGAAAAGTAGCCAACAAAGTGTTGTTAATTTTCAACTTTGTCAAAACTTTGACACAGCAGCTAGAGTGGCCATTTTGTTACATGACTGCGCAGCCATGGTTTTTAATTCACAACACCCGTTTCAAACTTAATTTCAAGTTTCACCAGTAGGATTGAGCTCCAACTTGTTTGAAATGATCCCGAGACATTCCTGACCAAGTGCTGTTATTTTTCAGGTTAGTCTGAAATCCAAGATGGCCGTCATCTTGAAAACATACTTTAAATCTCTTCTCCTGCTCTACTGGTGTCATTGAGCTAAAAATTTGTGGGAATGTTGAGAAAGAGTAGCCAACAGTGTTGTTACTTTTTGACCTCATCAAAACTTTTACATGGTGGCCAGGAAGGCCATTTTTGTTACATGATTGCACAATCATGGTTTTCCTGTGCAACACCTATTTCAAGTTTCACCATTGTGATTGAACTCCCACTGTCCAAAAAAAAACTTCTAAATAAGACTTCATCCAAAGTAGAAAAAATTACCGTTCTCCCTGATGAAAGTTTAAGTCAGATGACCCGTGGCCCATGGGCCTCTTGTTAAGATTTAAAGCAAGGATTTGTTTTAAGATTGGTTGGTTGTCTTATGGACAATCAGGGTTATTTTGAGGAAGGGTCCCAGTGAAGTACTTTTTTGAAACATAATGAGGAAGTTTCATGTGTCCCAGATTTACATACCACACTTGATGTTCATGCTGGCTGCCAAAGGCCATTTTCAAATTAGACACATCAATTAATTGTGCATGCCACATTTTAAGTTTGACCATAAACATCTTTATAAGATTGTATACAGCCATGAAATGGATTGAATAAGACATTTTGAATTCATTTCTCAAAAACCATATGCATGAATAGGATCGTCATAATTGTTGATAATGAAAATTCTGTTTAGTAAGGATACCAATATGTAGATCTGCACAAAACTGAATCCCTGTTAACTAGTCCAAACCAAGACGTGTCTATATATCACAACAATCAATATACAATCAACAAATCTTTCATAAGAAATGGAACAGTTTTTATTCCAAAAATTAAATAACCAATATTTACATTATAGTTATATAGCATTCAAGATCAACAACAATATTCTGTGAAGAAAATAGAGTTCATTATATACAGCACACACACACACTCTCTCAAATTCATTTTGTATTATTTATTATAAGTTGTGACTTGTTCATTATATTAATATCTGCCAGTTATACTGAAAGCTTAAAAGCATGATGAGATCTGTCCTAGAGTTCTGAATGACATTTTAGAATGAAATGATGATGCAATTGTATCTATGGAATATATGTTGGTGTGCACTGTATGTATGTCAGAAATTCAACTGTAGAAATGATACCACAGTATTTGAAATCAATGAATGTCAATATGAAGTGTAGGATTACCTGGTAATATTTTTTTCCATTTTTTTTGGAATGTTAAGTTTGAGGGGAATACCCAAGTAATCAGGAACCTTACTCACACATCATTTAAGCAACTTTTATATATACACTTACACAGAGGGAAAACCTGGCAATCTTTCAAAAAAAACTTTGAATATCAAAGAAAATTTTTTCAGCACAAAATAGTATAAGCCGAAAACATTCTAGATTTAACAATAAACTTTGTTGGTTTTGCTTTAGAAATTTTCTTTCAATATACAGAACCAATACTCCTATGCCCTATATTTCTGAATTACACTTCCGTCACTTGTGCAATGGAGCGTACACATCATACCTTGGTTATATTCTTATGTAACAGAACACTCAAAACAAATGTATCTTATACAAAATCTATATCTCAATACCATATATCTGCTGATCTGATTTCACCCAATTACCACAACACACATTAAATATCTGATACACCAGCCATTATATACCTGATTACCAGGTATCTATCGATTTCTATCAATATGTCTGATACCCTGATGTCTTAGATCCAATGCCAGATAGTACATACATTTATCTGAAATAAAAAGAACACTGAAGGATTACTCTAAATTCATGTATGCAAAATATTAGATTAATTGGCAATTCAAATACATGTATCACACTGCAACACAAATAGCAACCCTGATGGAATGATGATTCTAAGTGATAGAATGATAAGGCTATAATACATAACAACATAAACTCTTCATGGCAAACATACCCAGAAACTCAGTACAGCAATTAAAGTTCCTCTTTTGTCATCACATTTACAAACATACCCAGAAACACAGTACAGTAATTAAAGTACCTCTTTTGTCATCACATTTACAAACATACCCAGAAACACAGTACAGTAATTAAAGTACCTCTTTTGTCATCACACTTACAAACATACCCAGAAACACAGTACAGTAATTAAAGTTCCTCTTTTGTCATCACATTTACAAACATACCCAGAAACACAGTACAGTAATTAAAGTCATTTCTGACCTCATTTGTCATCACATTTACAGAATCTTGCATAGCACACATGGACAAATAAAGCCACGAACTGACAGGATAAAATCCCTCAGTGACACAGCTAGATTTTCTACTGTTCATATTTGGTGTTTGAAAAAGCAATGACATGTCTTCCTTCCCTTGACATACAGAAAAGTAATAAATTTGCATGTGCAATTACAATAAAAATGAATATTAAAAAATGTTATTGTTTATGTAACTGTAAAAATATGTGAAAATTCTGAATTGCACAGTAACATGCTTGAGATTAGACAGCTGTGAATTAAATCTATTCATTATACAGTTTGTGTCCGGGCCCACCAATATGCAGGTCAAACTCTTTATGATAGAATTATATGCAATTTTACTGAAAAAGGTCTCTGTATATTATTTCTGAAAGTTTCAAAATGAAACATGTACACAGCACTACATTTATGTATTCTGTGATCGTATTGCGTTGAGAAGGAGGATAACTCTTAATAAGAATAATAATTCGTAACATAGCATTCTCTTTAAAATAAATGACTTATGATATTAATCAGAAACAGAAATGAATACCTAAAGCAAAAACTATGTTGCTTTATATTTTGATCAATTCTTCAAGTATTAACAAAACAAGCGGCTGTTAAAACAATATTATTTCTTGTTAAAACAACATCAATGATATTGACAATTATAAAAAAATTCTGAAGGCTTAGCTTTTTAACACTAAAAACCATCACCATTTTTAGCCCTGTTATCTTACCAAAAGATACAAAAATTACTGTGGTTTTATCAGAAACAACAATTCAAAAAAAGAAAAATTCCCTTTTTTTGACGATAACATTCCAGTGTTATTTTTCCATTTCATGGTAACCTTTTCCCACTTTCATATTGTTGATATATTTTCTGCAAATATTCTTTATAGGCGAAAATATTCAGCTGGATCATAAAATTGTCAACTAATTAGTAGGATAAATGCAGGACACATATAAACGGACAGTGCACAAGGAAATGACAGGTGCTCCATATTGTAGCAGCAATGTTGTAACAAAAGCACACCCATACACAGGACAAAGACAAGAATTTGCACCAAAATTGATGTAAATCTAGTACACAAAAATATCTTCAACATAACAAACATCAAGATCTAACTGAAAAATTTAAGCTTACATCTTTACATTGACCAAACTTCCAAGTGAACATGTTTGCTTTTTTATTTTAAATCCATCAATTCACAGAATTCTCAGCTTAATTGAGACTTTTAAGAATTTTGTTTGAAACTTAGCAAAATAAAGACACATTCAATGGTTTAAATATCAAACTAACAAGGCATTCTTACTCTATATCAATTTGACAATATTTAGGTTGCTATTTTACTTATTTTGAATAAATTAATTTTATACATAATATTAAACTTTCTATAAATTATAAATCTGAAATTTTTATCAAATGTACATGTTTCATTCAATAAATACTTTCAATATAATTTACTATTTCCTAATTATACACGATAAATAATTATAACATCCTATTTTAGTTGAAATAATATCAAAATGATCTAAATTAAATTGCATTATGAATAATTTTGAACAAGAAGTCATCTGCTGAACACTTCAGGGTCTTGTAATAAGTTCCTGGACTATTTCCATATTTTATGGTTAAAAAGAACACGTTCATATCCATCAAAAATCTTTTCATTATCATGTACAGAATGAAAATTTAGGTCGTTCTTAATCTAAAACTTCAATTTTTGCATGCAAAAACAGCTGCAATGAATAAAAAAAACTTAGACAAAGTGATGCGAAACATATCCATGTATCTGATCAAATATTACATATACATTAAGAGACTGAAATAAACCCTGTCAAATAATGTTTATTTTCCCCAGTAGTTAATACTCTCTATGATTTAAATAAAACCTTCACAAAGATTGTATTACACATCTTCAAAGTGAATCATGATTTCACACTTACACTCATCAATCAAGTGGACTTGCTAAAAACTCTTGTTGTGAAATTAATTACAATGCATTTCCAATCTGAAGTAAATCATAAAGTTAGAGTGTTATAGTTTTTTGTAATATGATTTTCAAAATATAAATCAATGCTTTGATGCACTGAAACTTCTCCATAAATTTCCTGTAACTGTTGTTTTATAAGTTTCCATTCATGAGCCAGTTAACTTGTTATTCTTGTTTTGTCCCTGTATTGAACACAAAGAAATATATCTAAAAAATAGCCTGAATTCATGATCATTCACATGTTTGTGAATGCTCTTAATAACTCATCAATTCACATCATACAACTCTACAATTCAAATATATTACGTTGATGTTACATATGTAGGGGCTTCAACAATCTCAAAATTAACATACATTTGTATTATCTGATCATATATAAATATCATATTAAGACATGTATACAATATCAAAGGTGGTAAAGAATAAACAGTTTTATCTGTTAAACGCGAGATTGGCTAGCGAGAGTAGATTGAGAGCCGCCTCTTCTTTCTCTGCCCCTTTAGGGGTTTCTGTGGTTTCAGATTGCTCCTTTGAAGGATTGTCCCAGCTCATTTCTACCTTGGGCATAACATTTTCCGATATATGTTGATTATCCTCTACACCATTAGTAACAGTGGAACCTCCTGGCAGGTGGTTAATGTCCATATTTGTTTGACTTGCACTAATCTTGTCTACAATATTATGAGATCTGAAAGGTGTAACATTATTGTTCAGAACCTCAGCCTTCGACTGTACTTCAGTGCTGTTTTGGGTTGGATTTTCTAACTGAACTGGTTTTATATCTATGGATGACACTGAACCTGTGTTTGTTCCTTGTTGAAGCAGAGCAGTCTGTGGTGGTTTTTGGGACTTTAATAACTCAGCAACATTCTGAGTCTTTAAAACTTTCACATTATCCATGGTTGAAGAAGCATTCTGCTGACCATGCTGTGGAAAAATGATTTGGGTTTTTTTGCCAGGCATCACAATGTACCCCTGGCCAGAACCAATGAGACTACTGACTTGATAGCCTAATTGTGTTTTGTCATCATTTTGTACCTGAAAAGTCTTCAGATTTGTAGTTTCAGCCACATTGTTGACAGCTCTAGCTGTATCTCCTACAGTGGGGTGACCAGATAATCTCACAGTAACATCCTGCACATTGCTTTGCTGTTGGCCAAGGAGCTGGCTGATCTTAAGATTGGAAGAAGAAGCTATTTGGTTGAGATTTCCAAATCCAACATGATCTTTAGCTAGGATTGTCTTTCCTTTTGCCAAGGCAGGAGATACACTGTGATGAGACAACATACTAGAAGTTACATTCACTGTCAAGTTTTTATGAGCTTGTGGGGCATTAATAACAGATTGATGAGACACAACATTTTGGTTCACAATTGAGGGCGACATCACTCCTGGGGTACTTTTTGTTGATACACCACAAACTGTTGGAGAAATGTTGATAGCTGACCCACTTTGAAGCATCTGACCTGCTGAAGAGCACTCCTTCAGAGATTGGTGGGTGAGGATACTGCTAGGGCTAGGAATAGCACTAGTTACAGAATTGGATTTGGCTATGCTAGAAGTCAAAGTTCCAGTAGCAATTAAGGACTGGGTACCATTCACAAGTTTTGAGGGGACTACATACGAGTACCTCACCAAATTAGGGGTTGATACGACTGTCACTGGAGGATTGTTAGTACCCGAGACTGCCTGACCTAGCGATGATGTAGATGGTGATACTATCTTGGTCTGGGGCAGGAGCACCTTTAGTACACCATTGTCAACAGTAACTGGCACGCCTTGAGGGGTGACCAGCTGACCACCAATATTGTATAGGAAGAGTTTTTGAGATCCACCTGCTTGAGAAGTGTTGGTGGCTTTGGCAGGTGACAACAGTGGTCCTGGACTGGGACTGTTGAGGACATCTGGAAGAGTCACAACCACTGACTGTTGAGGTGGCGTTGGTAGGCGAAGTTGTGATCCTGCTGTATTAAACCTAACAACATTTGCCTGTTGTACTGAACCAATGGTAGTTGTGTTAGTCTTTGCAATGCTTAACTTCTGGTTGAGGAGATTGGTGGGGAGGACTGGTTTTTCTGTGACTTGCGACACACTTGCAGGAACAACAGACCCCACTACTGGTGTCTGTAAAAGAGTCTTTGATGCAACTGCTAAACCAGGCTTCACCTTTGCTGTTTGAAGATCAAAGTTCAGTTTAACCTTTGAGGGTTGTGTGGCACCGTGGTCCTGGGTTGACTTAGCAGAGGATACAATGGGTACTTTGATCTGCTGGGTCTGTTGTAGAACAGGAGAGTTGAGTCTCAGGGTGAGCTGTTTCGGCTGCTGGGTGCCTGTTCCAATGCTGGCACCTTGCAGACGCTTCTGTGGTGACAAAAGCAACATTGTTTGGCTTCCCTGGAGATTCTGCTGACCAGGGGGTCTAATCACTGCTTGACCTTTCACCCCTGGTGAGGCAGGAACCTGAAGTACCATTTGATTAGGAATCTGATTGACGAGAGCTGACGATGACTGTCCCGATAGCTGAAGTTGTGCAGCAGCAAGTTGTTTAATAAGGTCTGAGGATGACCCTTGTCCTATGTTACCCAGCACTACTGGAGCCTGGTTTGCCACAGGACTAGTAAGCTGCTGACCAACCATCTGAGTGCTGTTGCCTGATAAACACAACTGCTGACCAATCACTGGAGGTGATGTACTCTGAACATTCAACTGCTGACTTGGAAGTCTGAGAACTGAACCTGTACTTCCAGTCACCTTGACCCCTGGCTGTCCAAGTAACTGATAATTTCCTGCAACTGCGGTTTGTTGACTAATGACCCCAGTCTTGTTGAGGGGACTGGCTATTTGCCCTAAAACTGTTGCAAAATTGCCCATGTTTCCAACTGGGTTAGCAAGGTGACTAAGAAGGGGAGATGTAAGCTGAAGTGGTGACTGGGGAACTGTCCCTGGGGCGGGGGCAACCATCTGGCTAGTCTGACCTGTAGATGATGCTACAGAACTCATCCCAGAAGCTGCTATTGTCACTATAGGGAAGATACGTCCGAGTGTATTACTGGAGCTAACTAAGGAAGCACTGGTTATAGCTGTTGGAACAGATGAGGACACAATTGTAGACAAATTAATAGAATTGTTGCCCAAAATTGTCATGTTATTTCCACCTTCTTGCAGTTTAAGCTGACCCCCAACATTAACTAAGTTCATCCCTTGAATCAGACCCGGCATCAGAAGGCCTTGACCTTGGCCCTGGAGTTTTGAGATTCCCCCGAGGTCTAGCAGAGTCGATGCCCCACCTCCCACAGCCTGAATACGCACCTTTTGTGTGTCTAAAACTGAGCTGGATGACTTGTCAGAACTGACAGATGGTTTCACACTAATTGATGAGACAACACTGGTTGACATTGAAGGAATGGTATTGACTATCGAGCTGAAAGTGCTGGTCATTATAGTATTGCTTCCTACAGTCTTTACGAGTCCAGTAATGAGATTTCCTGCTTGGTTCTGTCCTCCAACTGCCTGTAATGATTTGGCCAGTGTCCCATAAGTTGAGTTGGCTGCTAAGGACCCAGAGTTACTGTGTATAGTGTTTTGTATCACCTTGCCACTATCCTGCAGTGCTTTTTTAATGTTTTGCTTTTGTGTGTTGGTACTGTGAGAAACAATCATCTGTTGATTTCCAGACACTAATGATGTGACATTTCCTCCCTGAATTCCAAGCTGAACAGGCATACTGACAATGCTTTGACTTCCAAGTGCCCCTGGTGAGATGGTTTGGTAACCGATGACACCTGAATTGAGATTTTGATTGTTGATATTCACCGATGTGCCCCCCTGGTTGATTACAGTACCTGAAGTCACAGTTTGGTTGTTGAGAGCTACTGATATCGGAGATTGTGTTTTGAGTATACCCTGAGCAAGTGCTTGATTGTTTATTGAACCAATGTTTAGAGTGCTGGCTTGCTGTTGTTGTAGAGCAGCTTGAGGTATGATCAACCCTTGAGGGGTCAGATATCCTTGCATTACTCCTGGTTGTTGTAAACCCTGAGGCAGCACTTTAAGAGAAATGTTTTTCTTATCTTGTGACTGTTGTTGTTGTGCTGCTGCAAGGACCATGTTTCCGAGTCCACTGCTTTTGTTAAGAGTAGTCAACATGACTGGGCTATTTCCAGTTTGAAGTTGTGTAAGCAAAGACTGGTTTGGAACATTTGACTGACTTTGGCCCAGTGATGGTGAAGTGACATTTACTGAGGAATTACTTGACAATGATGCAGGTTCCAGTCTAGGCGCTGTAGGTATAGGACCTTTCATGCTCTGAATTGTTTTAGTGACATTGTAGCGGGGTTGAATAGCTGGCATTGCTGATGGAGCTGGGACTTTGATGTTAACTGTGGGGAGAGATGTTGGAACATCTGTCACCACGGCCTGAACTGCAGAATCTAAAACTGCCTTGCTGGGGATCTTTAAAGTCTTTATACCAGTGGATGTGGGATGTAACAAGACAGTAGGTGTTGATGATGTAATTTCACATGTTTTTTTAACAATTACTGGTTTAGCGGGTTCTCCTGGTGTTTTTTCTGCATCCTTTCGTGCCTCCAGTAAAGTTTTCACCGTAACATTATTTGCATACTTGTAAGGTTGTCTGTTCGGAGAAGTGGATGAGATGTTTGTAGGAGAAAGAGAACTACTACTGGGTGTCATAGGGGGCAATGACACTGCACCACTTCCTAAACTAGCATTTTCTACACTAACACTATTGTCCATCTTTGTGTTTTGTACCACTTCATTGGATGCCACAGACATCACAGCACATCCAGTTGATGCATTGGTGGCACTGTGAAGGTGCCCAAGTGAAGAATTTACAGAAGGCACGCTCAAATGTATATTAACAGCAGTGTTCATCTGGGGAATTACTTTCTTGATCATAGAACCTGGTGTTGCAGTCACAGCAGATGATACTTGATGACTGATTGGAAGTCTCAACATGGTCTTGGGCACAACAGCCTTGGGAAGTGTCTGTTCTGTTACAGGCACAACAGTCTTCTTAACAGATGTTTTCTGAGCAGTCTGAATCTGTAGTCCAGCAATGGTGGGGCTCTGACTAGAAGAGGTGGGGCCCTGGGGGTTGACTGTGGTGAGCAGGACCATGCCGGACTGGTTAGGGCCTGGTGGGATCTTGAGTGCATTGGATTTAATGAGTTGTTGTAAGACAGAAGGAGGTAAAGTGTTGATGTTGGCTGCATAGTACTGTATCTTGCCACCAGTAGAGGGTATGTTTGGAAGCTGAGGGTCTACAGCACCACTCATCGACAGACCTGTAAATGGAATTCATCAGAATAAATGATAATATCTATGGTATATGTATGTATAAATTTTATTTAACTGTCAAACATAAAAACCAAATTGTATTTCACAATGTTAAACCCAACACCAGTTCAATAATAAATAATATAACTTATCAGAATTGATTCAAATTCTCATTTTTACTTCAATATGTCAGCTTTGACTTTCATGAAATAAAATGGAATACCGACAATTGTCCCAATTATATGTCTGACTTTTTAAACCCTTTGACCTTGACCTTTTCTGAGGCACTTCCTAAAATGATTTCGGTCCACTTGATTTCATAAGGTCATAAGCTGCTTTCCAATTGAAGAGATTCCTGTCAGATCTAGGCTTCCATCGTTATTTGATCTTAATTTGTTCTTTTTTATGTCTTTCCTCCTATCTTTAAGAAATTTGTAACTTCCTCTCAAAAAAACAAAAAATGATAACAAAATTTCGACAAAAGAGTCGAAATAAAAGATTTGACTTTTCTGATCAGTGCCATAATCAAGCGGACACATCTACGGACCCATGAGAACCAGTTAACTCTTTGTAACAAAATTTCAGGAAGTCTGGCTTTCTGTTTTTCTGAGCATTCTCCAGAAATCTGACAGACAGACAGATACTGTGGTTACTTTAAGGAACCCACATTTTGATGCAAACCCTTAACTCATCAAAAACACAAAATCTTGTAACAAAAAAAGTGGGGTTAAGATCAGCTAAAAACCTGTTTTATATATCAAACTGATGTGAGTACAAATTAAAAGTCAAAAACCAAGTTGACTAATTGCTCAATTCTCAAAATTTAATGATTCCCCACCCTCCTAATAAATTGACCCGAGTAATCTAAATTGTTTTAATGGTCCTGATTGTGGCTTACAAACACAAAGATCGAATATATACCAAATTTGGTTGCTTTTTGATCTGAATGTTACAATAAAAAGCTGGTAGAATACAAAAAAAAATCCCTAGAAAATAATCAAATGAAAAAAAAACTGAAGAACACCTTGCTTATTAGAAATGTAGATAATCTGAATTTTTTTTTGAATATTCCAATTCTCATAATACAAAAAACAATGATTTCACCCATAACTTGGGCAGATGTATTTCAATTCTACATCCTTGTTCTGACACATCTGAGAAGCAAACCTTATGATCTAACTTTACACCAAATCTGGTTGCTAAAGCATTGAGATTTTCTAAGTAATTCGGCTTAAAACTTAATGTCAACAGAAAATTGACAACACAGTCTTCATACTTGTTTCAATAGAAGGGACAAAACAAAATGACAGATTGAAGACATTGAGTAACGATGAAGATCAAGTGTTTGGAGAATCATTCTATTTACCTGGCGAGACAAGTTTGGTGATGTGGGGTCTGACAGTGGTTTGTTTATTGGCTGGCTGGAAAAGAACAGTTCTCTGCGGGGTGGATGATGTTGCTCCAGGGCTAGGATGGCTGGATGCAGACAGACTGACATGGGGGTTAGGATGGTGTGATGTTGACAGCAGTTGTTGTATGACTGGATGAGAGGCCTGCTTGGAAGAGAGAGTATGTTGTGACAGGCCTTGCAGCAATCTGGCATGAGAAATTCCTTGGGCGAATGATTGTTGTAACTGGGCAGGTTTTTGTAATAATGACAATGCTTGGGGTTGAAGTATCTTGTCCCCTGACAAAAGTTTCACATTTGAAGGCAGAAGGCTGTGATTTCCAGAACTAGTTTGCAACAGGATCTGACTTGCAGAACTGCCATCCAGAGAACTAATACCACTAGAGGACAACATCTTCCCTGTAGGACGCTGCAAAATGTTTGGCACATGTGGTACAGTTGTTGGCAAAGAAACATTGACTAGCTTGCGTTTCTTAGGTGTTCCAGAATCTTCAGAGTTGTTTGGAATGATACGTCTCTTTCTGATGCGCCCCCTAGAACTCACGTCAATATCATCACAGTCTTCCATGGTTTCTGTAAAAAGAATTTGTCAAGCTTAATGTATCATTTTTTTTTTTACATAACTACAGATATCATCATTTATTACAACAGTACAAAAACACATACGATACTATCATTTTACAAGGAACTTGAGCATCCTTACCACTTTGAGACACCGAAAGGTTATTTGTGGAAGCAGCTACAGCAGTAGTTACTGCATGAATGACCACATCCCTCTCTTCATCCTCAACCACATCTTCATCCCCACTCCCATTAAAATCGGAATTTTCCCCATCCTCAGATCCAGATGATTCAGAATGCTCAGACTCCCATTTCTCCTGAAATTCAGCAAATCTGTCATAACTCTGTGACAATGTAACACCAACAATACTTAAATGAGCATTCAATGGACATCAACAACACTTTAAGGCAGAACTTACTGCTGGAATACCAAGGTGTGAATAGTAGCTTAATCTGTACACGAGTTCCATCAAGTATCTTGTATTTATTATAATATTGAGAAGGGCACAGTGTTCACAGCAAACGGTGACATCAAAGAAAATATGGTGGTTCATGTTTAAGAAATTAAACACCCTGATGTAAATGTGGAAATTCTACAATGTATGAGACATGACAAAATCAAAGGACATTACATATAGACACGGATATAGGTACTGCATACCATAAGTGTTGATTTTGCAATTTCGGATAGATATTTAGGTACCAATTAGAGATAAGAGTATGTTTCAACAGAACAGGGGAATGTCTACCTGCCCATTTCTTCATATATTTCTGAATTCATCAGATCATATCTTGGTCAGTTCCAGGCCAATCTTGTTCATTAAGCACTTATTGGAGATGAACATTTCTCTTACAGGTAGTGTATAATCATGTTACCAATATTGATGGCCCCTTAATGTAAAAATACACAATTTTAAAAAATGTTTCAGTTTTCCCTTGTTAGGAGCTACAACCCTTGTCACTATATATTACCTATATAGTCTGTGGGTTGGGAATTTGTACAAAGTCCCAGTAGTTTGAACATCCTGATGTAGTTTCCCAATATAAGCTATGTTCCATAAAAGGAAAATCAATATAGACAATGTGTAGTGTATTTATACCTCCTGCTGTGGTTCCTCAACATACGATGTCTGCTCCTTATGCATCTTGATTCTGGCCTTTCTTGTTGCCTGGATAAGCTTTTGTTCCCATGGTTCTAGCTCCTTCAATAGGAACAAGAGCCTCCCATGGAGGTCTACTACACAACGCTTGCGAGGAGGTGGCTTTATCACCTGATAAAAAAACCAATGACAGATGACAGAAATGTATTTTTGAATACTTTTCTGTTTGCAATACCAACAAAACACTGAAAACAAGAAACGATTTTAGACTATATGTATGCAAGAGTCGGAAAAAATGAAAATCAATTAAAAAACATGGTTGTAATTGTATGTATTTTATTGGTATCTAACCTATTATTGGCAAGTGTTGGTTCATACAAATTTTACCTTTTGTTTCTTTCCTTTTCCGATGACGATTGGTTCCTGCTCAGCAAAAGATTCCACCAGTTGTTTCAAATCTTCAACACATTCCACAATCAGTTTAAATGGACCTATCTCTGGTAACTGAAAACCATAAGATTGGGTTCAAGGAATGAATGAACTGCTCCAACTAATCATAGTCAGAATCTTATTCTGTCCGACGAAAAATATACACATGAATGTTAGTCTATAAATGCACTTAATTTTAAGTATTGTGTACCATACAGGTACTTCAAAACAGCAACAAAATTTCCCTTAATATAAACACCATTAAAAATAGCAATTGATACATTCAAATAGAGATATATTGTAGATACTAAGTAACAAAATTATTTTATTTACCACTTCCTCTTCCTGTTCAATTTCTTCTTCCTCCTTCTTTACCTCTTGTTTAACCTCTATGCTGTCTGTTGCTTCATCCTTTACCTTGTCTAAATCTGCATGACAGCCCTGTCCATAATCATGGTCAAGGAATTTCCCCATCCCACTCTGCCCCGAGTAGTCATGGTCAAGCACCTGCCCTAACACATTTTCAACATCTTTTTCTCTTTTTTCTACTTTTACATTAGTGTCTATTTTATCACAGCTAGAAGTCAAGGTTTCAATATCACTACTGCTAGTATCCGCTTGTTTCAGGTTTTTTCCAAATGAATGTGGGCTTTGGATTCCTACCCTGCTCAACTTAAAGTCTGACATACCTTCAGGTCGAATAGATGTTTGAGTATTTGATTCATATTTTATGTCAATGGATGTATTACCCTTAGAAAACTCTGGTTCCAAATTGTCTTGTGTGTTATCACTACTTGTGGACTGTTCTGTTAACACTGCACTGGTGGGATGAACTTTACTGAGTTGACTAGTACTGATGCCATCAAATGGCGATTCTGTATTATGAGAAATGCTATCACAAAAAGGAGACTGTTTTTCGTCTGTTGTTTCTCTATCTTGTGGATGGTCTCCCTTGGCATCCATCTCGATACAAGTATCCTGGAATTCTGTTTCACTTACATCCATTGGTTCATATCCACGCATGTCATTTCCTTTTTTCATGCTAATTGTATGTGACAATTGTGAATCTGTATCACTCTCACATACTTCTGTCTCAGTCCTGTCTGATGCAGTTTTATCCTCCATTTTGATATCGTTATCTTTACAAGCACCATTACTATCCTCCAAACTATCTAGTGTGTTACTCGTCTCAGACATAGTTTCATCTTTGACTTCAGAGATTTCATCTCTATCCATGGAACTTTCATCTAGAGACTGTTCAGATACATTGAAGTCACGTAACAAGCCATTCCGCACAAGTCTGCGAGTACGAGACCGCTTGCAAGCACCATCTCCGTCAACTGATGAAGTATCGCTACAGTTATCACTCTCCATCAGTCGGTGTAGTGGTTTGTTTGGAGGTTCATTTTTTCTCTCTCTAGGTGTATCTTCACATATTCCACTATCATTAAGATTTAAGTCACTCTGATCTCCAAAACTTGTTCTGGTATTAGCATCAGATCCATCACTTTCATCCCCACCATCATCATCTGATGAAGACGAGGATGAAGATGATGAATAACTTGGAACCGGCAACACAGTTTTAATTTTCTGAAATATCAATAGAAACAAATTGTTAATTTCAAGTACAAATGACTATGATTGTGTAATGAAACTCATTTTCCAACTATTTTCATGATAATCCAAGTATGGATATGCTTTACCCGTATTTTTAATACCACACTAGGATTTTGTTCAAGTAACTTAACCATGAGTAGGAAAAGAAAAAAATGTAAAGCAAATTAAATTGATTGATAAGTTGTGAGTCTCACATTTAAGGGTTTGTCTTTTGACAGAAATATTGCAATAATTTTCAACATAATCCCCTTCAGTGTCATACACTTTTGCCAGTTCTGGGGCTTCAAAGCCACTTTTAAATAAGTCCTTTACTTGACTGTTCACAAAGTCCCCTACTGCAGGTATGACCTCATTATCCGACTAAAAGTTGGTACCGTAAATAGCCTTTTTCAAAGTAGGAAATCGATAAAGTCTGATGGAGAGAGATCAGGCGAATAAGGCAGATGCTCATTAATGGCAGCCATGGAAATGACAGACCTTTGAACAGTAGCATAGTCCTGGTAGAACAACACACCTTTACGGAATTTTCTGTGACAGTTGATCTTAATATTTTCTCTTTACTGCCTAAGGAGCGATGCATACTTTTTGCCACTGATTATCCCTTTTGCAGATAATCTATTATTAGCATACCATCAGAATTCCAGAAAACAGAGGCCATAACCTTTCCAGCTGATGGAACAGAATTTGCCTTCTTTGGAAGGATTAAACCATTGTTTGGACTGTTTTTTGACCTCTAGAGGTGAAATTATAGACTAATGTTTTATCCAGTCACAAACCTCTGTAGAAAGTTAACAGGATCTGCCTCTAAAAGGTTCAGTTTAGCACGCATTAAAGTCTTCCTCTGTGTGCTTCTCCTCAACTATCAGATGTTTTGGTACTCAACAGGCTGAGAGCTATATCATTGCAAAATCTTCTGTAAGAATGGAATGAAGTCTTTCCTGTGAAATTCCAACTGTACTGGCTTTATATCACTCTCTAACTTGCCTGTCAGCCATTAAAATATCATGGACTTTATTGATCATTTCTGGGGTTGCAACAGTGACAGGCCTTCCAGGAGGGGCGTCATGCCCAAGGCTCTGCCTGCCACGCTTAAAGTCTGCCACCTACCTTTTCCCTGTAGCATATGAAGGGGCATCATTCCCTAGTGTTGCTACCCTATCAATATATATATCTTTAGGTGCTAGACATTTCTTATGTAAATCTTGAATCATTGCTCTTTCAACAACTTTGTCCATTTAGTAATAGCAAGGAAATAGCAGAGCTGAAAAAGGACATCCCTGCTTAACAATTTTTGATACAAGGCTCACAACTTATCAATCACCCTTTGTAATCCAAGTTTTACCTGTCTAAGTCGACTTGGCCTATTTGTTGGAGGAGCAGGAAGTTCCGGCTTTACCCTCTTTTTCTTCTTTTTCTTTGGGCGTTGTGACTGATCCATTTCAGCATTTGTTTCCATAAGCTCCATTTCCTTTTCCTATAATTGAGGATATAAAATTTCAAATCTAAAGGTTAACCTCTATATCAAATGTTTTTAAAACATGCAGATAAAATCTTGCCAGGAAATAGTGAAAGATGGACATAGGCCAAAATTTTAAGTAACTTAATGCTTCTTTAGAAGGGATGAAGGCACATCTGAATAAGAGAGCTGAGTGAAGTTGAAAAAATAACAGTGAGCTCATGTAAAATTATTCACAGTAAGAAGGGTTGAAATAAATAAAAGGTTTTATTTTGAATGTTAGTCCAAAGAAGGATCATTAAAAACTAGCCACATGTAATCTTCCCTAAGCTTAACCCTTTTAGCGCCAATTATCTCTTACAATGTACAGCTCAGCGCCAAATACTTTCCGGAAAATATCCGAAAACAATGGCAGCATTACTGAAACAAGCATATCTTGGCTAATAATAAAGATATTAACTTTGTCTACCAAAGTCGCCTACGGCGGCCTGTCTGCATATCGACTTTAGTCGCCTACGGCGCAGAAAGGGTTAACAAAACATGTTATTGGATAGCATGTAGTCAAGCTGATCTACATATACAAAATGTCAAAATGGGACAACGGTTCAAACCTTTTGTTTTGGTGTGTCTATAAATACTGGAAGTTTTGGTTCAGGGATTTTTTCTTGCTTGTAGATCCTAAGATCTGCCCCACAGAATTGAGGAAAGTGGAGGTAACGTGTTCCATGAGCATCTACTCCTAGTAGGTAATCATGCTGTTCTTCAATGGGTTGAGACTCAATAGCATCCCTTATGGATTCTTGATGCTCCTAGATAAAGATAAAACAATTAAGAATATAATGTGTTACACTCCTAATTGTTAATTTCAAAGTTCAAATATAAATTTCTACTTGTATCATTCAAACTGAAACAAAATATATTATACTTAAAATATACTGATAGTTCTTTCAATACACCTCACTAACAAAAAATAAATAAAAATAAAAACATGATTCAAAATATAAATACACAATACTAAAAAAGAAAATAAATTATCTATTTGTAGGTAAAAGGATTTACACAATGTAGTATGACCAGTTGCCATTATTTTATCTGGCCTAGTGGATCATTTTATACCTGATGTTCTATTCATTGATACTAAAATCATAACAAATTTATACTTGTAGGGTTATGCTGTATATTATTCACATGCAATTATCAATTTTGAGAGACAAATTTATTTTGTGCAATAGTATACAGTTTCAAATATTCTTGATATGCCAATCCATTGGCTTATTTCTGGTAAAAAAAACTATGCAGTGTGATTAAACAACAAATGGTCCAATTATCTAGATATGTACTTAGATTGTAGAATCTTACAAAACTTACTCATGTATGCAAGAATCTTCCAACTTCTACATGTATAATGAATCTTTTGTAAAAACAGTTGTGTAAAACACCCCCTTTCCCACTGTATATGTGTATCATAATATTCCTTACCAAACAGTAGTCACACAAGGACTTCACAATCCAAACTCTTCGGTAGGGACATAGTTTATGGAATTTACGTCGCTCCATTGGATTTCGTTTGCCTGTCAACAAAAGATTCTACTGGTATTATTATGCCAAAACAGAAAAGAAATGAAAACCCTTTATGCTTAGTACAAGTTAAACATTTCTTCATTACAAAACTACAGAAAAAATACATTTCACTGAACAAGATCAGTTCAATACATTAACATTTTATAGTAAGGAAGAGAACATTATTAACATTGCCATACATATAAATATAACTTTTTAAAGAAGCAGTTTTATCTGTTCGACCAATTCATAAAATTGTGGTCATTGTTATAAAAACTTGGAATACATTTCAGCACAGAGCAATTCTTTTTGCCATTAAACATGTCCACATCAGGTAAACAAAGACTTAACAAGAAAATGTTGAAGTTTTGATAGTCTGTCTTTTCAAAAAGAACGTTGCACAATAAATAGAATACATCATCGGTGCCTTCAAATATAAGCTGCATTCTGGTTCAGAACACATCCCATATTTCAAGACACTGACCATGATTTCTCTTTGTATTAACAAACATAAATCATACATTACTGATAGTCACATTTCCTGTCTTTAGTTACTTATAAAGAATAGAGCTTCCAGACAAAAAGAAATAACAGATGTAATGCCAATCAGAAAAGATATAACAAACTTTATCGTGACATGACATACTGTAAAATTTCAAGGTAAACTTCCTGTGGGCTATAATTGCTTTTGCTTAGGGCTATTTCAAACTCTAAATTGCAAAAGTAGGAACCTGCACAGACTATCTTAGCTGCTAGAATGCTTCAAAACAACCAATAATTACCCAAGTTCTTACTACTAAGATATAGAAGTTCACAGAAATGTCATCAAACTCATTATGACTTCCTTAAAAGAACTTGAATGTATTGCTGGGTAATATAGGTTGTACAACAGAACAAACTACTACTTACCAACTATGTCAAAGAAATTGCCATCAATTCCTAGTTTGACTGCAGCCTTTAAAATAAACCAAAATATTTGAATGAATTTTTGAAAAGCAATACATTGCCTTAAATTTAAGGCAACAAGACTTAGTATGTATTCTTAACTACATTTTGTTTCCCATTCATGTTACTACAGACTAATAAAATTTTGATCACTCTTCATTTCAAAGTGAAATGGCATATGGATGTCATGCTGGATACATTTCATTTGTTATAATAATTCAAAAAACTTTCTCTACTGCTGTCAATATTACACAAAATTAAATATTCTGTGTACAATATATAAGTACATACCTTTTGTACATCCTCGTGGCCATCTACAAATATTTTGTACCACTGCCTCAGTTTAACTCTTAATTTTTCATCCCAAATACTGTACGGCATCAAAGTCTTCTTGTCAATCCTGATAGAAATCATTTTGTGATTTGAAAATGTTAATAACATTGATATAGGTTACATGTATGAGCTCAACACTCATACATTACAGTAACATCTACTATACAGTGCTATATTTCTATAACTGTGTGACTTTCTAATTTCAAACCAACTTGCTTCATCAAATCAATAAAGAATATTAACCAATGAACCAAATCAAAGAACGGCTTCTATAACTTTGATCTCTGACCCAGTGATCTTAAATTCTGGTGACACATATTTGGTTAAATTCAAAATAATTTTGCTGCATAACATTATAACAAGACTTTTACCAGAATAACAAATATTGACATTGGTAACCTCAAATTTTGACCTGATTCTGCCCAACAGCTTTAATGATCTGTACAGGAAGAGAATACTTTCTCTTCTATCAATAGGGTCCACCAGTATGCTTACACATCAAATCTTAATATGATACTACCTTTATGCTTTAACAATAAATAATTCATTTGTTCCAATGAAAGTTTTGGATGCTGCAATTCATTGAGACGAAATAACTAGAATGAAGAGCCATATTGATTTGTATTCAATAGTGTTGCCAGACAGATTAAAGACTCTAAAACTAAATTGTTATGAAGGAGCTATGATGGCAAAAAAAACCACCAAAACTTCACTAAGTAAATGGAGTTTAAACTACTTGTACAATGAGGTAATCAAAGGATAAAAACCTCAATCTCTGGAATGGAGTACTAAGTAGAGCCGTCATCACTTTCTGCATTACTACACTCTCTCTAGGCATGTAAAAACACCGCTCCAACTCGAACTGGGGGATTTCTCCGATATTCAGTGCATCCTGACACAGGAATAAGAAATGGCCAATTTGTGGCAGCTGTAAAAATAAACAAAAACCAAGCAAATTACTGTAAGCAATCCATAAAAACAATCACTGAAATTTCTATATACAAAATGAGTAGAGTTTTAATACCAGCACCATATAATGACTTTCAAAAACACTGGCTTCTTACATGTCCAATAATATTCACTGCATGACTATGAATGAGAGTTTACTGATTGCATTTGTTTTAATTGGAATGAAGTCATTTTCTTGTAACTTAAGCAGAAAAGCAGGACTGAAAATGAAATTCAGTCAAATTTTGTTATCTCCCTTCAAATCTAAATTCCTTATTCGTTTTTATGAAAAAGAGGAACAAACTGAACTTCTCATCAAAGCTACAATGTAACATCTATACAAACCTCCCACATGGCTCTCATATAGTCTCCTTTGCCATCTAAGATATTCACTTCCCAGTCCAAGACTTCCTGGAGCTGTGCCTCTTGTACTGCCTTCCTGTCCGTAATCTGCTGTTTACGTTGTTCCCGATCACGACGTAGCTCCTCCTCTCTCAGTTGACTCAACAGGGCAGAGGAATCATGAGGAATTATTGTCCTGGTTCGTCTACGTAAACCTGTAAGTAAAAAAAATCATTTCTATGATAAACTACTGAAAATTCTGTTAACATAGACATACATTTTAAAAAGATTTTTTTTTCAAAAAAAAAAGTCCTTCAGAAAATGATAAATTATGGACATACCTGAAAAAGAAATGTTGTCATCACCATTTTGACCTGATGTTGCAGCAATTGATGTCTTCTCTCGTAACTCTCTGCAAGAAAAAAAAAAGAAAATGAAGTACATGGCAATGCTCAAAGTCTGGTTTAAACATGACAATCTAGGAAGGATGTTTGTGGTCCTGGTAGATCCATGCATAGCCAAAAAATTATGAAATAGTATACAAATTTATTTCAAATACTTTCTTTCTGCCGAGACGCTTCATTATAGCTGTTAGTGGAAAATCATACTTTGATGGTCAAAAAGAAAGAGGTTTAAGAGCATGATGTATGCATCTATTTCTATTTACCTTTGCACCATGATTTATCTACTCTTAAGTACATCATTATCACTCTTTTTTTATTTTAAATGTGCTACCTTTCCACAGTAAAGTGACATATATTTCATTTAAATAAGAATTTGTTTTCAATTTTTTACCTCGAAAGAAGAGCAAGTTTTTGTTCCATCATTGTTTCCAGCTTCTGTCCTCTCTTGGAAACATAGTGGTCAGGTCCATTGTAGCGGTAACAATTTTCCAACATCAGACGGAAATCTGACACAAACTCTGTTATTGTTCCATAAAGACGTTCTTCAAACTTATCTAGCACTGAAACATATTCAATGTACAAATGTAGCTTACAAGTCACTGTGCATTATATCCTTCACAGTGGTGTATATGGTTATAGTATTTCAAAATTAATATCAAAACCTTTCTTTCCTATATGCTGGATAAACAATTCTAACAAAAAAATATCACCATCAATGTCATATTCAGTTTTATAAAATGTGCTGTCTAATGTCAATATTTTTCCACAACAGGTCTGAAATTGTCTTCCTTTCTGTGTGAAATCAAACCAGTAACACAGATCATACAATTGGGAATTTCACTAAATAAATCAAACATGGTGATTGTATAACTGCATACACATGATGGTGAAAATCATGTCAAAACAGATGTTACTTTTAATGTATAGAAAAGATATACTTGAGACTTAATACTGACTAAAAAACATTTAAGTCCACTCTATAAAATGAAATGAAAAGCTATGAAACAAACAAGAAATGGGTATATGAGAATGACATACTTTTCCCCAACCAAACAGGCCTCTTGATTCGTTCGTAATAATCCGCAGTTTCGGGATGACTATCGTCGACTGCTTCCAAAAAGTGCCAGTTCACAGATTTGTTACTATCTGCCATTAGTTCTTTCAAAATTCTATAGCCTTGTTGGAGTTCGGGACTAAGTGCTGTTCTGGTATCGACTTCCTCATCATTGCTGTTAATTTCTGTAGATACTTCATCATATTCCTCTTCTGTAACGGGTACCGGCGAAGGTAATCCTAAATCAGCTGATGAGGTAATCTCCACTTTTTCTGTCATGTTCCCGTCATCTGTTCTGGTTTCGTCCACACTCAAATCAAAGGATACGTTCATAGATGGAACATTTCCGGAAAATTCCCCTAAATTTCCGAGGTCTTCCATTCTATGCTATCAAACTTGAACCATTAACATCAGGAACAATGTCATTATTTTCTAAAGTTTTGCAGTTTTCTGCAAAAGATTGGAAAACGTCATTCAAGTAAATTTCTCCCAATAAACAAAAGCAAATAACATTTGTCTTCTTTATCCTAATTTCAAGAAATAAAATGAGTACATTGATATCATCACTAAAATACCATGCAATGATGTCCCCCCTATCCATCTTCAAAACATAGTAGGACGTCTTCATCCAAATAAAAATTTGGAATTATCACACCTGCATAATTGGCCATTTGGGATACATCGCTGGCTTGACCTTATCACAAGGTTTTGGACATCGGTAATATTCATACACACAATAATATTCTTTTCTAACCTTACGTTATCATGGAGTATTTGGTATATTATTGGGTTTATTACAAACAGTATTCTGATATCAGTCTCGGTGAAAGATTTGCCCATTATAATATAATATTTAACTAAAATAGCTTGAACTATATTATGTACTATTTCCATGCGCACACCGATATGCAAAATAGGAGCAAATAGTTCCAAAGGTTTTGAAGCGTTGTCGAGTGGACGACCCAATTAATATCGTTTATTGTCTTTTAACATGATTATATGCAGCAGCAAAGCATTACTTTGCAGAAAAATACATGATATCAAAAGATATTTGCTAATACCCGTTGAAAAAAGTTCGAGTAGTTCTGCAGTGAATAAAACGTCATTTCCTTTAAATTTACTTCCGGTATTGACTAGTGCTGTGCCGAAATGGCTACTTTCATATACATTTTAGTTTCAGCTATGTTCCTTGTCTCTACAGTTAATCCTTTCGAAATTGATCTGACTGTGGAGATAAATGCAGGTGCTCAAGACTGTTTCTACCAGAACGTAAAAAAACCTGTCGGGATCGAAATAGAATATCAGGTAAAATTGCATGGCAAAGGAGGCCAAGGTTTCTGAAAAAGTTGCAACATTTCATGAACGTGTGCAGCCAATCGGATGCTGACAAGTTCCTTTTTTTTACTAAAAGTAAATTGCCATCGTTTTAACTCTCCGTGTGTATTGGAATTTACGATAATGTCACAATAAGCAAGTTTTGATATTCTTACTGTGATGGAAATCATTAAGAATTGCATTTTGAGGAAAACCATCTCTACTTTGAGAGGGGAGGAGTCAAGTATCTGTTTATTTACATTGGCAACCACGCCCACCGTGCTCATGACACGTTTTTTTTTTCCACGATGTGGATATGAATTTTGAAAACACAACAAACACAGACTGTATCTTTGCTAGGGAATGTTGACATACTGTACATTTTGCATTACAGTTTACACTATACTTGCTCTACGTGTACCATATAAATACGAAAATAATAAAGCATGCATTTTTTTCTATATGCACGGACCAGTTGTAACATAAATATTCTTTTGTAACAATGTTTTTTGCAGGCATAAATCCTTTGGGTCCGAGGGGCACTGGGTTCCTGTAAAACAAATTACCATTTCAGTATCCATTTTTATTTAGTTTTACATAGGATGACATGTGCTATTTTTCACTTCACCTAGAAATGCTGTACATGTTCATATTCCAGGATTTTCCTCGGTAATGTTATCAACACTATATCAATGGTAATGTTATAAATAAAAAGATTTATCAAATGGCCAATCATTTTTCTTATATCACACACATTATTACATTTTTTTCTAAGTAATTTTTGCATAGGTACTTATAAATTCAAAATGTATATACTGAAACAATCACGTAGTAAATTTCTTCCTGTTGTATTTATTTTTTGAGGAGGATGACCACAAGTTTAGGTAACTGACAAAAATATGTCCTGTTCATTGTATGAAGTTTTTTTTTCTGCATTTCAAGGATCTTTTATAACAATATTGTAAAGGAGATAACATATAGCCTGTTATATTATATATATTTGTCATGTAAAAATAAGTAGGCAATACCAACTTGTATTGCCATATTCATTTGGTATGAAAATTCCTCTCACCATTTCATTCCATGATCTTAACTGTGAAGGAAATGGAACACATGATTAAAGTTAATACAGGTGTCAGCAATGTCATCAACAATCAAAGCAAGATGTAGCATTAATATCATTTCAGCATAGAATGGTAACTCCATGTTTATTGACACTGACATCTGAAATGCCCTGTTTGATCACATTACGGTCAGTGAAATTTTGGCTGTTTTAAAGCCGAAAACACACCAATGTCTTGAGCCAGAAAGTGTGATACGTGTAAACATTATTTCCTGACTTCAAATAATCATTTATTCAGAAAATGATAAATATACTTAGAATATTTTCCCAAATTTAGTAAATTAAGTAAATATTACTGTGTATTCCAATATCTGGAGACATAGACCACTGTAAAATACTTGCAGAAAATTAAAAAAAAAAAAATGCGTTAACAGGATTTAGAAGATGGTTTGTTGAAAAATGGGGAATCAAATTATGTGTTATAAATCTAGTTTTACTATAATGATGCACCGTATTGATTTAATGCACATTTTTTTTTTTTACAGTTTACTTATCAGATAAGCATTCTTTGCCTTTGCAGGTCATAGATGGTGGTGATCTGGATGTCACCTTTTCTGTGCAGGCCCCTAATGGTCGTGTGTTGTTGTCTGATGTACAGAAGTCGGATGCTGTTCACAAGTAATATACTTGTTTTAATATACCTCTAGTAATACTGAGTTGTCTTTTTTTCTTCCGAATTTGTTAAGGTCCAACAAAAAAAAAAAAAAAACATACTTGTTATCTTACTATGCTTATGTCCATTGCTGTTCAGCAGAGTAGTCAACAATTATTATTGTATTGTCCTCGTCCTGACAAAGGGCACAATTTTTCACAATTTTATGTTTTCTGCTAATATGATGTATCAGTAACTGTGTGTTCTGAATATGCATATTGTGTGGGGTACAACTAGACTGATTGAATTGTGTTGTCACAGGTGACCTCTTGACAGTATTCTACCACTGGGAAAATAACAAACAGAATAGTCAATAGTTTCTGTTGTCCTGTCATTGATGCAGTCTGTAGTGATTGGTTGTTGCACTTGTGTTTGCAGAGGTATTGTAAACACATGATGAAAAAAATATGCAACATGCACATGTTCAATAGTTTACAGAAGTGACCTGACAAAAACATGTATAAATTTACAAATTGAAGTATTGAAGTTTGTCATTTTAAAAAACGAACTCAATGAAAATGGTAATGAAGTGCAAACTGTTGTTGGATAGGGGGTATTTTTTTCAAATAAAGACAGTTATTCTGTATGAAATATACCTTAGATAGCACATTGTCTTCCCTTAAAAATAGATACATTATACTCATCTAATTTTATAATAAATAATTAAAGCAGCTTAAAAGTTACTTTTAGGCTTTTTATAGAAAATTCTAAAGCAATATGTGTATCCTTTCAAGAACATGTTATGTATGTATTAAATAATTACTTGGTAGCTATTTGGAAAATAGACTTGGTTACCTCTCATTCGAGTTATTGAACTTTTTAAATTACAAAACTAAAATCTTGAAAAAACTGACAATGATAATATCAATATTTAGATCAAATAGTTTCTATATATTGGTATGTGGTCCTATACCTGTCAGATGTGTGTTGATTCTGTCAGCATGAAGTTAACTCATTTTACATGTCTTAATTTTTATATTAATACAAAAAGTGCAAAAAAGGAAAGCATTCCATGACCTGTTATTTTACTTTCTATTCAGTCAGATTGTTCCTCACAAAATGTACGCCTTTCCTCCCAAGGGTTTTTATGGATCACTGTCATGTTGTTTATAAATATGATGAATGAAAATAATTTGAGTGTTATGTGTTATTACATATATTATTGTAATTCTATGTGTACTGTTGCAATTGTGTGGTTTTTCAGGGTTGAAGCAGAGGTTGCTGGAGATTACAAGATTTGTTTTGATAACACATTCAGTCATTTCAACCCAAAGGTTGTTTATTTTGAATTGGTGTCTGATGATGACGATGATGAAGATGATGACGACAAAGACTGGAATTTTGCTAAGGAAGAATTGTCAGGATTAATTGATATGACAATTCTAGATTTTAAGGTACAGATAATGTTCAGTCTTTTGAAATCATATAGTTAACTTTCATGTTTTAACTAACGTCAGACATTGGTATTTTGACTAGGGATGCTGGTACTCATGTCGTTGAATGCTGAAATTTTTACTGTGGATAATGGTAAATTGACAGAGGGTGCTGATATTTAGACTTGGGATGATGATAACCGACTGAGGGTGCCGAAATTTTTACTAGGTAGAATGGTAATTGACCGAGGGTGCTGATTTTTTCACATTGGATGATGGCCTTCTGACTGGGGGTGCTGAAATTTTGACTGGGGAGGATGATAACTGACTGACAGTGCTGATATTTTGACTTTGGAGGATGATAACTGACTGGGGATGCTGAAATTTTGACTTGGGGTGATGGTAAACTGACTGGGGGGTGCTGATATTTTGACTTGGGGTGATGGTAAACTGACTGGGGGTGTGTGGATATTTTGACTTGGGGTGATGGTAAACTGACTTGGGGAAGGCAATATTTTGACTGTTGAGGATGATAACTGACTGAGAGTGCTGATATTTTGTCTTATGGTGATGGTAAATTGATTGAGGGTGCTGATATTTTTTTGACTTGGGGTGATGGGTATTTATCTAACGGCTTTACATGTATGCTTGTTATGTGACTAGGATTGTTTGTTTCATAATAAAGGATGTGGGGTGTTAGTTTACAAGTTGATGATCATGCTACTTGTTTAACGGCATCAAAATTAAAAAATATATATATATAACTGCCTCATGATATCACATTATATTTAAAATTTTATCCTCTCCTTTATAATAGGACTTTTAATCGGAGTTTTTAATTAAGCTATATGTGCTGAGATCTACAGGTACTATCATATAGAAACCTTAGATTAAGTTACATCTGACTGATCAGAGACATCAACTGGAGGATGTGTTATATATTCAGGATTTCAGATTACTGTTATAGATGGATACACACTCCTTCCCAAATCAATGCTGATATTTGTGTATTCTTATTTCAGCGAAAGATAGAAACTATGAAGGACCATTTGGACAAATCTGCACAGATTCAACACTTTTTAAAAAATTATGAAGCAAGAGATCGAAATACAGCCGAGGCAAATTTCCAGCGAGTGAATTGGTTTTCTGGAGTTCAAGTATTTATAATGGTGTCTGTTGGTCTCACCCAAGTTCTTCTTATACGAGGCTTGTTTGATGACAAGAGTAGGGTACATAATGTAATGAAAGCCAGAACATAAACAAATATAGTTTGTGCTTTTATGGTTACATTGAATCTGTGAAGTAATGTGATTTTTTTTGTTCAAATTGAAACTAATTGTAAAATCAAAAACGTGATTATGATCAATATCACAAACATGTTTCTAGATAGATCAACGAAGAATTCCTCAAATTTTCAATTTAATTGACTAAAGGAAATATGATTTGTTAGAATTTTCCAATCAGAAGTATGAAAGTCTTTGCCTGTTTTTTCTAACTTTAACATTTGAATCAGTAAGACGTATTAAGTATCATGTGGTGAACATTCTGTTGGGTAAATTTTGGGTTCTTGGTTGAGGGTGTAGAATAGAGTTCTTAATTTTTTTTAATAGTTACAAGGCACGCGGGTTATTGGTTTTTGCTGACCTTTTTATATTTTTCCCCAATTATCGGGATTTGTTTATTTCTGCCAAAAACAATTTGTAAGTTTTAACTTCAAACAAAAATTGAGAGAAATTCAAATGAAAAGTAATACCTGTAATAGTACAACGTTTCAAATTCAGTATTTTTACAGCTAAAAGGGTGCTCTTTTTTAATAGTTTTCTTTTCCATAATAATATAACTTAATTATACTGGTTGTTTGTAAAAATCAAAACAAGAATCTTTGATTTAAAAAGGAAAATGAAAAAAACTTGATGTTTTAGCATTCTTTTTATGGTATGACAAATGTGAATTGAGTAGAGCTAGTCTGTACGGTATTTTATACAGTACTCAATAAAGCATTCAGTAGTTTAAGATAGATTTTCTTGCCAAGGTTCCTTCATCCAGTGATTTGTAGGACTCGGATATTTAACTTCTGGAGTCATGATTTCCTGTAGGACTCTTAAATTCCGAGAACCCAATATATCTCTTAGTATTGGGATTCAGCAAAATTTTGGGAAACGGTGCTGCGGACTTGCCCGAAAAATCCTACAAAAACTGCTCATCTTGTTTGAAAGTCTTCTGTTAATGATTAATAATTATATCCCTTACTATGACCTGGTCAATGATGAATGGATGATATATATTTTTATAGTGTGAGAGAGTGTTTGTGAGGACACAGAAGGAGTACATGGAAAGGTATTATTTTATTCAGCTTGGAACTGGTACACAGATTTTGAGTCAATGTACATTTGTAGTGTATTTATCCTGTCTTCATTTGAGGTCCTAAATTGTTAGTAGTTATTCTAGTATTCCACTTACAATTAAGCATGTGATGTGATTCTAGCATTATCCTCTTGTTATACCCAGAGTTTTTAGGTCATGTGACCTTTGGTCGTGCTTTGTGCGGTGTCTGCTGTAAACTTTTCATTGTATTAAATTTCTTCTCATGTTCCACCAATGGGATTCAGTTGAAACATGCAATGAACAAACTTAAGATGGTGCTGACCAGGTGTTCTTATTTTGATGGCAGGTTAATTGCTCCCACTACTGCTACAGCAGCTGTTCTACACTGTAAATCACTTAGATTTTGTGACAATTTTTTTCTTGAACTCACCTCTTCAGAAATGATAGCAGATACATGATTTTGTCAACACTGATCTAGAAATGAGTTGGAATTTGCAAAAGATGAGCTATTAAAGATATGGAATTTGGAAAGCTTTTATATCGATAACTGATAGGTTCATACTAGGTTCATACTAGCTACCATTTTGCTTGTGAGAGTCACATGACTATACCTGAAAATTGATTCAGTCATGTGATACATGCTGTCTTCATACTGAATAGTATATGCCTGAGTAAAGGCAAGTACACATATGACAGAAATGAAGGTGAAAGCACCATATGCTTTTATATTTGGGGAGTGACGTAAAGAGTCTTCAAGAAAAGATGACATGACTTTAGATGTGTTTGAGCAGTGTTTAACATTTGGCTTTTTAAATGTGTTAACATTAATTATACAGCAGTTGTCCCTGCAGTTATGTCTTGGATGAATTTCTTTACATTCATTTTGTAATGAAATCATTTTGCATGTAATAAACAGTTTTGTGAATATTTAAGCACCTTTCTACCACAAAAATAGCATCATGGAGTAAGGTTTATATCTGTTATGGCACACATGCTCGACCTACCTCTGACCTAAAGTTGTACATCAGGTTGATGACACTTTGTGATATTCTATAAGATATATGAATTCACAGAAAATGTGTGTAAAAGCAAGATGATTATGAAGAAAGAACAAGGATGCCATCAAGAGTTGTTATTCTTGTACAAATACAAAAAAATGTAATTGCAAGGAATTGGAATTGATTCTTTTTGCATATTGATGTGAAAATAAATCCCACACAAAAAATAAGTGACTTACAGCATATGTCTTTGAAGTCCGATGACCGTCACGGCTCATGCACAGTTTGTTGCACTTCCTTCGATTTCTGATCAGTTTAGCTCAGAATTGGTTTTAAACTTAGGTTTTGTTTCAGTATATGTAAACTTCAGTAGCATGACTCAATTCAAGCTTGATAAAAAAAAAAAAAAAACTGATAAGTAATGTGATGGAGTATTGAACACCACATCATTCAGATTAACTGATGGTCTTTGTGATTTGAAGTTTACAAAATACTCATAGTGTATAAACATTGGTTTAAATATGAGATTATGAACAATTTGTGTATAAGAGCTGTCAAAGCAAGGGATGTAATTTTTGTAATATATTGAAACTATGAAATGTATAAGTGACTTTTTAACTTTATTTAAATTCAATTTCAATTCAAAATCATTACAAGATTCCAAAGTACATAGTACAAAAAGCACATCCTGTTAGATTTGATGTTTTGTGATGTTTTTGAAGGTATGCACTTGATCATATGGATGGTAATTCAGTTGCCTTGACCTGTCCTTGACAGTTTCGGAACAATGTAGAAAGCTTCTTTATACAAGCCATTTCTCTTGATTTTTTTCACCTTTATCTTTTAATCATTTGTCTGTGATCAAAGAATTGTGGACTTGAACAACTTTATTATTAATAATTTTTTTACATGTAACAAGAATGTCAGAATAGGTTTAAAAGAGAACTTGTAAGCTTTCATAGACAGTGTATTGTCACTATCTTCACCAACGATTTAGTGTGCTTTAGTTGGTTGCCTGAAATCCATAACATTTTTGTATGTTAGTGTAATTACACATTTTGTATCTATGCAAGTTTTTCTGTTGCAGTAATTGTTTACCTTAAATTGCTCCTTTTTGCAGGGTTGGGAGATTTCTGATTTGCTGTGATCACGTGTCCAGTCCTGTTTACACGAGCCATAATTTTCAAGTCCTAGTTATCCGGTGTTGTCCCTGTTATTCCAGAGTCCTCGTTATTCAGTGGTATCCCAGTACCTAATACTTTTGTTTATGTTTTTTTAATGAATTGATATCAGAAGGCATTTTTCCCCCATCATTTTTTTATTTCCAGTTTTAAGGATGTACAGACAGCTGTGCCCTTTGTACTGATAATAGGCATAATTTAGAAAATATTGAGTAAATATCCCAGTTTAATATCAGAGTACTATTATTTGTGACAAAAACTCACACCAAGTCACACTTTTGATCTTAGGAATGTCACCAACGTACAAATCACTGATTTTGTATGTCCTTCTGATGTAGTATACTTTCTAGAGACAATGTAAAATATTCAAGCCCACGCCAACTATCTATTGTAGAAAGTTTTCTGTAAAAACGCATTTGAATTGACAGTTTCCATTAAATTTAAATGTGTCTGGTGTGTGTAAATGATTAATTTCAATGTAACAGGTATCCTGTAAATACACCAAAGTATCTGATTGACTGTGTATGTCGTAACATAGAACTTTGGAGCACATCAATAATAAAAAAACCTTATGTTTAATCAGAACAGTCACATACAGCGGTATATCTATATATCACACAGGATTGACAGTTGTTTTTCTTAGGAGATTTTATGAAAAAAGTTTTAAAATTAAAATTAAAATTTTCCAGACAAGTTTCATAAAATTTCCTGAAATGAAAATAGATTTGAGATACTTTCTATCACATTTTGACAGGTTTTTGAGTGAGAATAGGAAGTTTTGAGAACTCAGTGTGTTAAAAGGTTTGTTTCTCAGAAGCTGAGAAAGGACTGGTTGCTGTATTCTTGGGCAAAACATTTTACACTGATTGCTCTGGATGACATGCTGCTTATTTCCAGTGTGTTGTTTAGTGAGATAGCCACCAGCTACAGGAAGACACCACCTTGAAAAGACCTGGGCTGTTGATGGGTTGAAACCAAACAAAGTTGAAATGGGGAGGACAAAATCAAACAGAGTCAGCCATTTTGTTGTGCCATTTTAAAATCATGACATAATTTTATTGTCCATATTATGACGTAATAATCAATTTCTGATTGGCAAGGAAAAACAGCCCAGGGTATAATAAACATATGATATATGCAAATACATTACATGGGGGAATCCCTATATAACAGGTGAAGTATGTGATAAATTTGTTTATCATTCTTATCCATGATTTTACAGACTGATTCATCTTGTGGCCAGTTTGTCAAAAAGTAGATCTCATATACATTATCCCTCTGTTTAATATTACTGTCATCATTTGCTTAATGTGATATAGATTGTAATGCCTTGTAAATGTAATGGATGATAAATCTAAACAAGGAAACTACAGAGAAACTGCAACCACCATTTCAAACATCTACTTCTTTCAAGGGATGACAAAAGACTGTAACAGGCTATCTATTTGATGAGATGCGTTGTTAAAACTGTATATAGTAATGAAATTTCTCCCATTGACATCCATGCTTTACCACTTAAAACCTCATTAATGACACAAAGCACTGTATTGTATAACGATTGCTGGGTTTTGAAAACTAGATCAGTTTCTATAGGATTAGAAATTAAGACTTTTTGTTAAATTTTGGAGACAATTCTTGTTTGAAATGGCAGAATTTTTCTTCAATCTCAAGATGTTACCTCTGTTATCTATTCTTCATTTTTTTTTAATGTACATGGTAAAACAAAAAATATTCTTACTGTATACAAATAATCCAAATCCAAGGACAGCTGAATTCTGTTGATCTCCATGTCCAGACTCATAAACTAGTTCTGGACAAAGCTCAAATTTTAAGAGCCTTCATTTGCCATAGATATACTATCTCCTTTAATGTATGATTTAAAGAGGAAGCTGTCATGACACAGAGGCCTGGTATACATACATTCAATTCAAATGCATTATGTTTATAAAAAAATCCCACTAGAATCCAAAAAGATACTTCATTATGACATACTGGCATAAAAGTGCATATTTATCATCACTAGAGGTTCAAAACTGTTATAGACTTAATGACATGCTCTAATATTATTTATGTTTGAAAGGTTGATTAAGAATGAATTGCGACTGTTCAAGCTTGAGTGATTGGGAATATTTTTGTGTGATTTCATGACCTATTTTTGTCCTGTCAGAACTTATATATGCAATTATAACTATGCCTTTGTTAGAACCAGTTGTTGATCAATTATATCAGATGAATGAACAATAAAATTTGTGAACAAATTATTTCCTAGTCTTTGTACTTTGTTATAATATCTGTTGACTCACATAGTCCAAAGGACTACTGAGCATATGCTGTGGTGCTGTCATAAGTCTGTCACTCCTGATTATTTCAAAAATACACATCCTGAATTGCTGCATGTATTTTGACTCTATTTGATGTCAATAAACCTTTGGTGGTGGGAATTAAATATTGTATAATTTAAGATCTAACCTCAAGGAATGAAGTGGTTGCACCCATTATTTGAATTTGCTTTCCACCAATTTTAAGAATCAATTTTAAACTGATAAACTCAAAGGCAAATTAAATGACATTGATGAAACTTTGTAGGAATGATCAAGTAGGCTAGATGGTTTTGTACAAATGGTGTTTATTTCATGTTCATCAAAAGTACAATACAGACCCAAAAGTATTTATTGTCAAATGAGTCATAACTTGAGACTAAACATTTAAATTGGAATTGATTTCTTGTCAGTACATATATACGAACACATTGTTAAGGTGGAGAGTTGGATGAAATTTGGGATCATTTTAATTTCAATTCATTGTAATTTTTGTCTATTAAACTATATATATATATATAGGCTACAGGTAAGATTTGTTGTAACTGGCCTTACCTAAGGGAATTGTGTTGATAAAGATTGTGGCATTGAAATATTTTGCCGTGAGGGGTCCCATATAGAGAAAATTCATCTCTATTTATAACTTATTCTATATAAGCCTAGTATCTTTTAAGATAAGAAAATAAAAACCAGTGTCCTGTACTGTCAGCTTAAGTGGAAGTACTGAAATTGGAAATATAATTAACAACATAATCAACCAATCAATATCATTAGCATAAAGTATTGAAATTGATGACATATTTTAAATGTGACCTTTGGTGACCTATTTATTGACAGTGGGTATAACTTTATACAATGTAATAAGATGTGCAGGTGAACACTATATCATATTGATTGATACTGAGGACTTATTTAACCTGTGACCTTTGGTGAGCAATATGTTGACTTTTGGCATATGTCATGGTTTGATAGAAATTGAGGATCAGTGTGATTTTAACCTACGGACCTTCGTCGTGTAATTGAAAAGTATGCCTCATTGATAAGCATGGATGATCAATGTACCAGTGACCTTTGCTGACTTTGATGATGTTATTTAAAACTCCCTGTACAAGTTGTTAGTTGACGTAATTCTGTTTTTTTTTTTTTTCTTGTTCTTCTCTGGAGATGTATTGAAATCACGAAGTCTGACCATCCCGACAATTATCTTCATTTCCTTCCTGATTTGATTATCCTCCATCATAATCGTCTGCCAACCCCTTCTCGTATTCTTTTGTTTTATCCCCAGTTATAACAGGTCGATCGTCTCTTTTTTTGATAACTCCTGATAGTCCTAACTTGTCACGACTTTGCTATAAGATATACGGAAATGAATAGACTGATATTGACAAGAATTTGTGGTCTGTTTGACATGTGACCTTTCGTGACCTATGTATTGGTTACAATGTACAATGCTGTATTTAACGTGTGACCTTCAATGACATAATAGTTGTGAGGTTTCCCTGGTAATGATCCTAACCAAGACTAGTAGGATGATTAAGGAGGTATTAACATATATAAACAATAGGCAGTAAAGAAACATTACTCTACCCAAGAATAGTTGAAATATTCATAAAGTTGATCGAAGGAAATTTCAAATAATTATGTTTAGAATGGCTGCTTTAGGCATAGATCACTAATTACTTTGTCAGTCAAGTGAGCTTTAAGGGTTATAGGTCTCTGGTTTTAAACTTCTTCTCCACCCGTGAAATTCGCCTCATAGTTGCCTGAAATGATCCCAAGATAGCATAATCTAAGTGCTTATTTTTTGGGTCGGTCCGAAATCCAATATGGCCTCAGTGACCGCCATTTTGAATAATAAGGAAGAATCAAACTTTTTCTCTGCAGGTTCAAATGATGCAATTTAGCTGATAATTCACGGGAATCGTAAGAAATGGAAGAGAACAGAATGCTATTTTGCGGCCTTGTCAAACCTTTGACATTTCAGCCATGGCGGCCATTTTTCTACATGAACAGGCATTTATAGCTTCCCAGAACAACATCAAGTTACATCAGTTGGATTCATCTCAAACTTACCTGAAATATTATATGTTCTCAATTAGCGCATTAGTCTTAATTAGTCACTTTATACGTGCAATGTCAACAGTCAATTTCATATTGAGGCGAGCGTCTCCTTGTCAGTAGTTTGTAGCCATTTAATTGTAGTTATTAACGACATTTCATTATTTCTGCGATAGAACGACCTTTACTTCTCATAAAGAACAAAAAAAATAAATAAATAAATAATAAAAAAACCAAAAAAAAAACTATCGTCTTTGTTTACGTAATGTTGTTATATCGGTCTGTCGTTACGAAAAAGAGATTCGGACCATCAAATCAAATTAACATATACAAATCCTTTACTAATAGATTAGCATGTTGTCTAATCAAAGAGCCAATTAAATGGAGAGTTATATCGCGAACCTTTCACGTAATTATGCGGGGTTTTTTTTTCGCCTAGGAAAGTGAGCCCAGCTGGCTTTTGTTAACTGAAAAAAAGTATTAATAAATAATATGTTTGTTCTGTGGTGCCATTTGAACTTATTAATATCATAACATAAAATGAATAAAATGCACTCTTGATCTGATTGGAATACTTAAAATATGCTCATTCAAGCAGCTGTCAGGGTAATTAATTTTCTAAATATCTACTAACAAACAAACATCAAAGATAAACATCCGTGTTTATCTTTTTACGATCTATGAACGAAACACATGTTTATATCTGTTAATGGTCAATGATTCACAGGTGTAAAGTGAATTGATAACTGTAATACTTTGACAACAATGTACCATTTGAGCCGGGGTGATGATAAAGTGAACAGCTATGGATTGTATCTGGAGAATTCTAGACAAGTTCATTGACGAAAAGAAAGCTGCGGAAAAACTGAAGCTCTTGGACCGGAAGCAAATGTAATGTATATAGTTATTTAATATTACGTTCGTGTAGACATACAAATATATATACATATATATATATGATCAATGAAGTAATAACGACAGTACGGACAGCTGAATTGTTAAATGTTTTGAGGCAATCTGCCCCTGTATCAAGACACAAATATTACAATCGTGAACAGTAGTGTAAATCTAGGTGTCTCGATAAGGCCTGTATAAGGAACAAAAAAATATCTCAAGTTGTGGTATGAAAGATGGTGATTTAAATATCAAAAAATGTTTAAAAGGTATAGATATATATTTGTGTTAGCACGGTAACCCAGCTCAGAGACTGCCGCTTGTTATTTGTTGTACATATCTTATAAACAAAAACCAACAGGGAAAAGAAATGTTGTCAAATGGTCATTTATTAAATGACAGGAACATTTCAAATACAACCATAATATCAATCACTGTTGTTATATAATATATAGATCTGAATGACATTAACTTCAGTCTATACGTACAACAAAAAGATGGGGTACAAATTATCGGCATACAAACATAAGTTTGAATTTAAAAAAAAAAAACAAAAAAAAACATGGATATACAAGCTGGCTCAAGACAAAATGTGGGAGTGTGGTATGGGTGGGACTTCGAAAGATAACGTAATCACAGCAGCAGAAAAATTATGAGGAGTGATGAAGATATGACGCGGTCAAAATCACGAAGAGGTGCGCGCCTCGCTGATTGGTCAATCCAGGCCCTGACCGCCTAGCATCACGGCTACTGCCGCTGGTCACGTGAACAGCCCCTCTGACTGGTCAAGCTAAAACCGTTACCGCATGGCGAGTTGCCCTACACGGCCCTCTTAGCTAACACGTGCGCACACATAACATCCAAATAACAAGAGATACAAACTACATAGGGTAACAGATGGTCACCAGGTGGTCAGAGTTCAAGATCTTATTCCAAATAACAAAATCATGCAAGAGCCAACTTACATAACATTATAATGTGAAGAACATCTGTAGGATTATGACAATTATACATATATATATATACTTGAATATATAAAGTAACCATCTAACACAAATGTATTTATTTCATGAAATAAATTATATATATATATAACCGTAGTAACTATAATCAAATGTAATAAACAAGGAAATTAGGATATTGATCACCCTTGTTGCCAAGCATTGAATGTTACTGTGGGAAGTCAGCGGGATACCCGAGGGAAACTTATGTTGTCAAACAGGTAATTCAATACCGCCCACAGAGAAAAGTAAATGCGTTTACCACTGCGCCTCGACTGTCCAAATATCAATGGATATTGTCAAAGAAAAACTCCATAGATATTGTTAAAGAAGAACTCAATAGCTATTGTCAAAGTCAACTAGGACATAGATAAAGACAACAAGGAATTCAATGGACTTCTGACTTCTGGAAATTCAATTGGTGTATCAGATTAGAACTCAATAGATTCAGAAAAAGCGATATATTAAACTATACAGCGTAGAGGTTAGAATAAGTATGATACAGACAACGGGTTAATAAGTCCTTATTCTAAACCATTATAACTTAAAGTTAAAGAATCTCAGCGAGTGCTGATATTACAGACTAACCCTTTTCTATTCATCACTTGAGAGGGCGCTAAGCTAAAAGGCCGAAGGCAGGCCTTCCCACAGAAGACGTCGTGAAGGAAACGGTCTTTTGCGATCATTATTCGTCCTTTCACAGGGACGTTGTTCACCTTTTTTCAGGAAAAGTTTTTTTCTGTTCTTTTGGATTATGTTGAGTATAACGATACCAAGGTAGCATTGATTTATTATTGCTAAGAATGACGAAGGATTGGTGAAAAAAGCTCTTTCACTAGCTACATTACTCTCAGTCATTGCTGTATTCAATTAATATACATAAATAGAGTCATATACTATTGTAGTAGTGAATTAATTATTATTGTATTTAACGTTAACAAAAATGAATGCACTCAGTTAGGTGGATTTGTTAGAATACAAATCCTTCAATACTAACGTTGGAATCAATTTTTCAGCAATGAACCGATTCCAATTGATAACATTGGGATCTGGTCCTACGTAACCATTGGATGGCTTTCTCCGCTTATAATGAAGCTCTTCAGAGACCGAAACAGAGAAATAAGAGAGGACGATGTATGGAGATGTTCAGAAATGGAGGCATGTGACATCAATACAGAAAGGTAAATACTGTTAACATGTAGAAAAAAAAGTTATTATAACACAAGCATTAGGAATTTGGAGTGTGACGTTTCGTTGACAACACGGTCATCTTCATCAGACAAATTACTAGCACTGACTACTGTACGAAATGCTAAAAGTTGGTCGATTTCTTACCATCTCTCACACTACTTACGTCGGTGCTAGTACGCTGTTCAATTGTCTGATGAAGGTAATCGTGTAGTCATCGAAACGTCACACTCTGATCTTCTACTGGTTGTGTTTTAAGAACTTCTATTCTACGGACATTACCAACCTGAAGAAAAGTCTTCACTAAGAGAACGTTAGAATAATATGATCATCACCTGCAACCTTTATCCCTCAACAACGATAGTATACGCTATTTACAACATAACACTTGTCTTTCTACACCTCCATCTAATACACCAGAACATATACATACCGAAAGTGATTTGTCGGACTCAGAAAAGTTAATATGATAACCTCTATTTTTCTCCTTGTTACGATTGCATGTCCGACCTAAACCACAAATTAAATACATATCAAATTACTTTTATTTTAACTCAGTAATATTCCATTAGAGATATCAATTTGGTTTGATTGGTCGTCGTTCAGGATAGTGTTGTAACAGTTTATCTAAGCCTAGTTGATTTACCGTATGTATCTCTCGACAGATTGGAAGCATTGTGGATTGACGAACTACAGACCCATGGCTGCCAAAACTGTTCTGTCTTAAGGCTTTGGCTGAAATTTATTTGGGTTCGGCTACTGGTCGTCTTCATAGTTCTCTGTTTTAATGCTGTTATAACCTTTCTGTTTTCGGTTAGTATCATAGACTTTCCTGTTAGTATCATATGCTGTAGTATTTGTTTGTAATTTCCAAATCAACATATTGATTTGACTCTGAAACAAGTTTTACAACTGCAAAGATTAGAAATCTTTTAACGATGCTTTTTCATATCAGATTCATGTCACACAAAATTATCTTACAACGTTTACAACTAGAAAACATTTGAGTTGTATCATTTCCTATAATTAATTTCCGATATTACCCATCTATTAACTTTGCAGATATGACAAGAACTTATTCTCAAAGATCTATTACAAGCAGACCTGATGCGTTGAGGTTGTTTTTTGTCTTACATTTATGTTCTTCTGCCTTCCAGGGTTATATGATTGATGTGATAACACGATATTTAGAAGGTCCAGAGACATCCGTATCTTACGCAGTTGTATTGATAATATCCAGCCTCCTTGGCCAGCTTCTGAGGATATACTCTTTTACATTTCTCCATTTTTATGGCATTCAAACAGGTAAATCATACTGAAAGTAGATTCTTTTGCGTTAAACTATTTCACTTTCTGCAAATCATTTGCGTTTTTTTTAGAAATATAGAAATCAATAAATTCATATTCAGAAAAAAGAAAATCAGATGTTTTTGGAGATACGCCATGTTTTTGATATCTATTTAAAGACTGAACGAGAGACACATATTTCAATAGAATTTTAGAAGTAACTACAGTATAGATAAGTAGTTAATTAAATATTACATTTGTGATACAGATCTTTGCTTTAGAAGTTTTCCTTTTCCTCTAGGAACAAGATTTCGATCTGGAATACTAGGAATAACATACAAGAAACTCCTAAAACTCAAGAATGTTAACGGAAAGACTGCTTCGGAAGTAAGATTTTACTCAGAAAATATAATAAATTTCAATATTATTGATTTAAATATCGTTTAAACATCTCAAAAGTGTATTTATATGATAAAAATTGGGGTAAATTTGGTTATATCCCGCTTTTGCCTCGACATCTTTCAGATTTTTTCTGCAATAAATGTATTGACCACGTTCATCGTATATATACAGCGAAATCGGAAATGAAGAAAAGGCCACGACAATCTCTTCTACATCGGCCGCTTACCTACAACGAATCTAAAATTGTCAGCTTTCCACTAAGCTGTATGATAAGCGAGATGATATATAGCCACACCACAGTTTTCCCAACTTATGGTGTCCACATGGTGCAGTAGATTTGCTATTCAAGTGTTTTTTCCCTCACGGTTTTTGTTCAAGATGTTGGCGACAAACTCACAACACATGTTCGTCAATGAAGATTACCAAGTATTATGAATACTCTAATTCATTGTGGGATATGAAGGTGGACGTGTTTGATGCTCTTTGTATTCGTTGATCGTGATGATTTTTTTCTTTGTTGATCTAGGTGTGTTTCAGTTTCGTAAATAAAACACAATTGCAGAACTACAACACTCAATGCTAAAACCCTACCGACAATTGCTGAGTCAACCAAGCGAAAGATAGGTGGGACTTCAATGTCCAGGGACATAGATATCTAGCATATGCTAAAAAAAACCCAAAATCGTAATAATTTCATTTTCCAAACTTCAAATAACTAAAATGAGGGCAAATATGAACAAAAGAAATAATCATATGGAGGTTTCCGACAAAGCACAGGGAAAATAAGTCCAGGTGTTGAAAGAGGGAGTGGCTTGTAATTTCTTCTTAATATTATTTCCGGTTTACATCGGTGAAATAAGTTTTTGGATTCCCTAAAGAAGGGCTATATAGACCTAGTCAAGGGAAACCAGGGACTTTCCTTTAATTCACTATTCTGTATGGTAATCGTAGATTTAAAGTTGATCATATTATTGTAGCCTTTCGTTCGTAACGTCAAGGTGCGTTGTGTACAAAACATATTTATGAACTTTGGTTTCATCACTTGTGACTTGTATCATACAACAGAAGGTGTAATTTAAGTGTGCTTGTTTACTTCTATGCTGAATTAGTCGCCCCCTTAAACAACGATGCTGCTGTACTTAAACTTGTGTAGTCATTTCCTTTTCTTTAACGACCATCAAACCGCCATCGACTTCTATTTTCATGGTTACTGTAAAACATAACGGAACAAAATAAAGTGTTGAAGTTATCGCCTTTTATTAATAGAAAACATTTTGTCTGCTTTAGGTCATTACAATATTCGGATCGGACGCCTTAAGAGTGCTGCTCAACACAGAGATGTTCGTCTACATTTTATCCGTTCCCATCTACATGATAATCGGAACAACCTACCTTTACCATCTTATTGGGATTTGGTGTTTTACAGCATTTGTATCATTTCTTGTGATGTATGCCTTACAGGTAAGGCCGTAATTAATGCCCCTGACAAGTTTTCTACCTTATTAATTTTCTAAGAGGCTGTTTCCATAACTAGTTCGACATCCAGTTTAGCATGTTATTTCTTCGACACGATTAAATGATTATTTCACTTCATTTTTCTTGGCACAATACTTAGAACGTAAGTAGAATGTAAAAAGTCCACAATTGATACGTATGAACAAAGTAAGTGACAGGACTGTATGAAATAAAAAGATGTAAGAGTAACGTTGGTGTTGATCAATATGATCTAATCTTGTATGATGTTTTTGAAATAGAATCTCATATGAAGCGGACATGAGTGTGAGAGTATAAGATAATAAACATCGACATTCAAAATCAATATTTGTATCTTGTATTGTCAAACGATATTCTAAACGTAGAAGCTCAGCTAACTTTCAATACTGGATGTACATCAGAAGATCAGAAATACGTTTTTATACTTTATATTCTTATAAGTAACCATGGAACTTCTTCTCGTATTACTTCGCGCATGAAGTTGTATTACCAAGGAGCAAGTTGGTGTGTTTATAAGTACGGCCAATATTACACATACAGAAATGTCAAATAATTTAGATACTCTTGCAGACTTTTTTAAAACACAAAACATTACTAGAATATCTAAACTGGCAACATCTTTCTCTATATTTATTTCTTTTATGACGTCAGACGGAAACAAAGTGAAGCTTTAGAAATAGAGTTTCTTACATGTATTTTATGTAATGTCACTGAGATCAGTATATTTCTGTGATAAGCGATTATAATGTTCTATCTGAGACATAAGATGTATCCATTGCAAAATGGCAAATCAGTTTCCACTTGAAATTACAATATACAATGGTTTAATCATTGATGATCTATTTTTTCTAGGCCTGTCTAATTGAAGTTATTGCTTGTCTCAGACGACGGACATTAGGTTGGACGGATTTGAGGGTAAGAACGTCATAGGTTTAATGGCTGTATCAGAAATACGTTTTTATACTTTATATTCTAATAAGTGACCATGGAAGTTCCTCTCGTATTACTTCGCGCATGAAGTTGTATTACCAAGGCGCAAGTTGGTGTGTTTATAAGGACGGCTAATATTACACAGACAGAAATGTCAAATAATTTAGATACTCTTGCAGACTTTTACAAAACACAAAACATTATTAGAATATCTAAACTATCAAAAGATTGTTTTGACATTTGGTATGCCACTGGTTACTGTTAAGTCACAATCGGAATGTATGTTTGTATGTTCGATTTATCAATTTCTTATAAATTCTAACGATATTAGATACAAAACGGGAAACGCATTTCTGTTTTTGTGTTTGTGCAAGTAGACAAATACAGTCAAAGTGGAAAGATACACCCAAATGTTAACTACTTATTCGGACGTCTTTGGACAAGATGTTATGATATAACAAAAAGGACTAATCTGACCGTAAGATCTTCAACAAACTGTATATAGGATTACACATAGAAAACTTTGCTTCTCTTTTAACTAAATTTATCGAAACGCTTATAAATTATGTCAAATAACAAAGAATTTATTGACCATGTCTATCGTGGCGGGTGTCTTCGATGATGTAGAAGACGCCTATCCTATTGGTCTTATTCCCATTGTACTTTTTCAAATATTTTTGTCATACTTCACTTTGGTTTCACCGAGTTAACATTTCGGTATTTTCCAATAACATTACGCAGCTGCAAAACAAAAGATTAAGGGATAATGTATTTACTTTTGACAGATACAAAAGACATATGAAGTTCTTGCTAACATGAAGTTGATAAAAATGTATGCTTGGGAGGAACCGTTTCACAATTCTATAAAAGGTACGTACATACATATTAGATATTTCTATATAATTCTATATAATTTGATGTAAGATTAATGGGCTTTGTGACACTTTTGTAATAAACTTTTTATGACGTAACTTTTGCGAGAATTCATGAAAACAACACATCTACAATATAGGGAATATATTATCAATGTCTTAAAATATAATCTGTACTTTGGCGAGGATGGAGAAGGACACAAGTGGCAAGTCTTTGGCGAATCATTCTGTCCCGAGTCAAAGTTGTTCAGCCTTTGTTAACCTGATGTTAAATCGAACCAGATGATTAAAAAAAGTGTTAGATTTTTTTAATGCTAATTTAATTTGTAACATTCATTTTAATGGATTAAAAGTTAGCGATATTTCTCTATAGACCGAAAAGTGTAGCGTCTGAACGATGTCTTTCCGCCTGTCCGCTTTTGATCTTTCAATGTAGAGTATAGCCCTAATGTTAATAAGAATTACCCTTCAATATTTTGTTTGTTTGTTCTTTTGTTTCTTTTTTTGTTACAGATATACGAGAGACGGAAAGTAAGCCACTAATGAAATCTTCGATATTACATAGCATTACCGGTGCTGTTATTCCGCTCACACCATCACTTGCCACGGTAGTAACTATAGCCTCCTATGTCTACGCAGGGAACGGACTGACAGCATCAACGGTAATCTATCATTCTGCTGTTTGTCAGACTGTATACAAAATATGCTGAATATTTAGTCTAAATTTGTGTCATACCCACTGGATTTATTTACCTATAATGTCGAATTAATTTGTCATGAAAAATGATATTCAAGATATTTTGAATCAAGATAAATCAGCTTACATACTTGACGAAGGTTGTAGATATTTTAAATCTGTGCTGTCCTTTTCTTTCAGGGCTTTTCAATTGTTGCTACCCTTACTTTCATGCGGAATATAGTATCCTTTGTTCCATACGCTTCTCGAATATTTGGAGAAACACTGATCAGTTTTGAAAGAATAAAGGTAAGTAATGAAACAACAGGAAATAAACCCTGCGAACTCTCTTCCCATTCAGAAAGCATGCTTCCTTTCTCATATATTGAACATTTTATTGGTCATAGAAAATGCTATTATCTATTTTGTGACTTTGATATTTTACTGCGATCAAGTATCACGTAAACAAGAAAATCATGTGCTGTAAAGAAAAACAGACATTTAATTTTGCTGACATAGCTAGTTTCAAATTCTTTATATCTGATTTCGGCTAACTGAATACCAACCTCTATCCTTCTATGTTTGCTGGTTAATCACTTGAATAAATCTTATTTGCCAAACAGTAAAATATATTACAGAATTGCTATGAGTCTGCGAGAGTTATCGCCCTTAGCAAACATTTTGTAGTTAATTTACAATCATTACCTGATTTTCATTATCGGAAAAAACCAAAATACACTAGAATAGTCCAGTGTCTCAAATATTGCTGACCAGTACATTTTAACGATGATATTTTTGGTGAATGAATTAATGACAGTCATCAATACTGGAAGAATACTGACACCTGATCGTACTCTTACTACATTATAATAGAAAAGTTTTTTCGAAGGATTGTGTTTTCGTTATTTTAGAAGAATAAAATCTAGAAAGAAATTGACAACTGAAATAAAATAAATAGCGAAACCTTTAATCCATCTCATGAATCCCCATGAAAATCTATCCTTTTCAAGATTTATGTAAAACTCAAAAAATGAGAAATATTCCGCTCATTACGATTTTTTCCGTCACAGCGTTTTATGTTGGAAGAAGAATTCAACCCACCAAGGCGAGATGTCTTAGAATCGAACAATGCTGTTGAGCTCCGTGATACGGTATTTATGTGGGGAAATGATAACAACAATGACCCCAATATAAACAACGATCACCGAATGTCAGAACAGAACATCAAAGGTAAAGGCATTTAGTTCATGTTTTTTATTTTCTTCAGGAATTGCAGGATATTGTCCAAATAAAGAGAAATCAGGTATGTATTTAAACGGTTGGTTTTGGTGCCCTTGAAAAGGAGGGGCGGGACCCAATAGGGGAATTAGTCAAAATTCTTTAAGATTCTCTTCCTCCTGTAGACATGATTGGATTTTGCCCAAATTTGGTCTTGGGGGAGGGAGAGGTAAGGCCACAAAGGCTAAGTATAGCAGGAAGGACAGAGCTCGATAGGATAAACGGAGCAAATTCTTTAAACGACTATCCTTCTGTAGGAATGGTTGAATTTTGCACATTTAATCCGAAGCATTCTTTGTTGAAGGGAAATCAGTTTTGTATTAGTACTTGGTCTCGGCTCTTTGGACGGTAGTTACAGGGCCCAATAGGGAAAATAGAGCAAATTTGATAATATCCTACTCCTTCTGTAGGAATGATTGGATTTTAACTAGATTTGGTTTGCAGCATCCTTGGTTAAAGATGATAAAGATGAATCGGTTTGCATAGACGGTAGGTCTCAGCCCCTACGGCGGGAGGGGCGGGGCCCAATAGGGGGATTAGATCAAATTCTTACTCTTTCTTTTTTGTATGAATGATTGGATTTTGCCGAACTTTTGTCTGAAGGATGCTTGGATGAAGTGGACTCAATTTGGTATAAAAATGAGTCTCTGCTCCGTTTGGCGGAGCCCAAGAGGTGAAATAAAGCAAATTGTTAAATCTTAATCCTATTACAGGAATGATTGGATTTTGCCCGAATTTGTTCAGTGTCCTTGGGTGAAGGGAATCCGGAGTATATTAACGGTGGATATATCAAAATTTGTAGATTCTTTGATCTGTGTGTCAGGATTTGGTCTGATGCATCCTAGAGTGAAGCTTTTAAATCGTTTTCATTAAGTTTTGTTGAAGCAAATTCAACTAAATTCTTGTACGCATTATCTCGTAGATCCCTGGAATTATGCTTATCTTCCAGTTTAAATGGTCAAAAACATTTAAATTTACTCAGTTCAGAAGTAGCATTAGGTAAAAAGTGTTTGACAGGAAATATTTAAACATCCAATGCTTTGTTACGTCATAGTATTATGTACATAGATATAATACATGGAGTTTTCTGCAGCTTTTATATCTTAATTTTTCATAAAACGTATGTAATAAAGTTAAAATGAATTGCAAGTTACCTGATATGTAGCACACCAAATAGAAATTTATGAAGTACGGTCACTGGTGTCACCATTTTATCATATCAAATCGTATGAATTTTAAGATCGATATAAAAGTTATCATTTCTTTTATTTTTATGCAGATATCAATGGACGCGAAACGATGACGACGTCGCTAGTGCTACGTAACATCAACCTAACACTCGCCAGGGTAAGGTTGTAAGACTGGGAATACAGTTGATAATTCTTAAATACACGAGAGATTTTTTTTTCAGAAATTCAACGATGTCCATTAATGTAGGTCAACACTGTTTATCAATCCTTAAGAACACGAATTCTTTTAGCAGGATCTCTTTGTCTCTACTTGTGTTGATGTAGTTACGTTTGTTCATTACCGTAGCTGTTGGGCGGATGTACATCCCCTACTGTTTATCTGACCTGTTTCTCTTCATGTACCATACATAGCCAGTTCATAGAATAAAACAAATTTGTGAGATTGTTTTATCTATTGCCCTGACCAGTCAATATCCCTTTGAGGCGGAATCTCCTTGTATTAGCTGGTGGCTATCTCCCTGAATAACATATGGGAGGCCCGTCACATGCTATCGAGAGAAATAATTGTAAAGTGTTTTGTCCTTTAAATCAACAACGGTCACACAGACAATACAAACCGAAATGAGTAGGGATTGTTGAACCATGTACCTCGGACCAACATCTGAGGTTAAATAGGCCAACACGGCTTGATGTATTTTGTAATTAATATCGATTTCTATTTGTTTTAAAACCAGTATTGTTATCTATTCTTTTACATAAAGGGGAAGCATATAGGAATTTGTGGTACGGTCGGCTGTGGGAAGTCCTCTTTGTTACAAGCAATGATAGGACGGGTAAGTTATGATGATGACAAGCAACCATTCTTTTACTTAACCTTTGGCTGTATGCTTTAAATGAACTTTTATTCTGCTATGTTAAGGTTTGGATTAGTGATTTGCCTTTGTCGGACACTGTAAAGGCACATAATGACGAGAGATCGAAGTATGTTTCGTTCCTGTATGTCAGTGGTGCTACACAGAAATCCATCAACTAATTTTATGCATTTTAATTAATTAATTTATTTATTTTCTTTTGCAAAAATACGTTTTAAAGAGGATGTATACATACATATACCGCCCTATTTCCTACCTTCTAACGTTTGTGCGTTTAAATTTATTGATTCAAGCCTCAATTAAAACGTTTTAAAGATTAAGGGATTTTAGCCACTTCATATTTCTGACAACAGATGCCCCTGATCACAGGTCACCTTGCTGTCGGTGGTACAGTTGCATATGCGGCACAACAAGCCTGGATATTTAACGCCACGCTGAGGGAAAACATCTTATTTGGAAGAGCCTATCAACAGGAATGGTAAGTTGTTTTCTCACGATCAAATTGGGATGGTTCTCTTGTATTGTATTTAGGCAGAAAGTCATTGAAGCAGACAATACAGACTTGTGATGACATAGATGTAACTTGTTTTTGTTTTTGTTTTTTTCTCTACAGGTACACAACTGTTTTACAAGCCTGTTGTTTGTCTCCAGATATCAGTATATTGCCAAATGGTGACATGACTGAGGTAATAACATTCAAATTTATTCTTAGATTAAAAAATAAAAACAATTCCGTACCCAATAATCTGTACATATTTGTAAAAAATATATAGAGAAATGTGATTGTTTATTAGAAATGAAAGAATGGAAAAAAAAAAAAAAAAAAAAAAATTGACTAATAGGTATGTCTTGTATGATACCGTTAACTTTTTTGAAATTTTTATTGTTCTGATAATTTTCACAGAAAATCGACACTGAGGTTCTTTTTATTTTAAAGACGTTTCAGGATGTATATTTGTCGCGATTCTATTTAATTCTTTACGTGAGAAATAGAATACCTTTTAAAATGAATGTCATTAAGATATATATATTTGAATACGTAACCCAACAGTTAAGATGTCCAGAAATATCGTGGATGATGAGTACATCTATGGATAACAGATGATAATAATTTTTTTTATGGTGAAGAGAAACTGATTTTGTAAAAACGTCCTTTGATGAAGTCAGAAAAGAATAAAGAAGATAAATATGAAAATAATGAGAGCATATATTTGAATTTTAATTGTTATTAAACTGATTGGGAAAGAGATTTATGCATTGCTAAATGTGTCTGGATCGCCGGTTTTGTATATATATACCTTGTTTGAATGACGGATTGAAAATTTAAAATAAAATTGAATAATAATAATTGTAAAATAATTATGAATGTATGTGTAGTTACTATAAAAAGTAATCAAAAAAATTAACCAGTTAAATGCTTCAAAAAAATATTAATTTGAATATGGTCAAATAGGCCCCAAATTCGTCAACTCGCCTACAGAAAACTCGTCCACAAAATTAGAATTTCTAATACCGTGTCAGTGTTAATAATTGGCGCCAATTTTAAATAGGAAGGAAAGCAGAATTAGGAACTAAATAAAAAGTGCATTGAATTTATATAAAACTCTCAAAGTGTGAAAGGACGGATATTTGTAACTAGAAATCATACTACCTATTGATTTGATTGGTGTTTGTGAGTGATCTACTGATTATTGATATTATTTCAGATTGGTGACCGAGGACTAAACCTAAGTGGTGGTCAAAAACAGCGCGTGAGCCTGGCACGTGCTGTGTACAGTAAAAGAGATATCTATATCCTAGACGATCCTTTTTCGGCCGTTGATGTCCACGTCGGACAGCATTTGTTCCACAGATGCATCAACGACGTTTTGAAGAATAAAACAGTTGTTTTAGTGACTCACCAGCTCCAGGTTAACTTAATGTTTAATTTCACCTGGAAATAGTACTAGTATGCAAAATCATTTATGGAATTATAGGACCAGTGAAACGCCCACCCATCCCACATCATGTAGATTTCTTTAAGTCAATGCTTTTTATTTTCCTTCTGGGTTTCGAAATCAAGACCCTTAGCACATTTACTTTAGTAACTGTTGATGTAGTTTAATCATTTGGCTGTATCTCATTATTAATTTGTATTGAAATGTATTATTCAATTATATTATTACCATAGATATACGATAATAGTCGTAGTGTTCCTTGTTATAAATATACATTAAACATATTACATATAAAATTGAGTGTAGTTATTAAGAATTATGTTTATATCAGGTTATATTGTCACTCTATTGGGATTTACATATCTATGATTAATTCTATATAACTATATTGCTATCACTAGGGATGATATTGCCAGTGAATCATCTCTAAAGCTGTGAAACATTTTTTTTACTGTTTAAACGTTTTACATTTACGAATCTCCATCTCCATACCGTCCGTGAGACGTGGTGACTTGATACTGAGTGTGTGTTATGTTATTTTGTAGTATTTAAAACACTGTGACGAAATTTACGTTATGGATGAAGGTGAAATAGCTGAACATGGAACCCATGATTCGTTGTTGTATCGGTCTGGACATTACAAAAAGTTGTTGGAACAGTTCAATATGACCCATACAAATAGTACAGGTACTGTGGGGGTGGTTTTGCTCATATATCGTGTTACAGTCAAAAAGTCCAGTTTTGACCGGACCTCATTATCATATCGATAAATTATATTGATACATTATTTCAATTTTATTTGATTCCACTACAGTTATGTTTATTTTTATGCCTAGACATTTTTTTACCTTTTTAAATTTAGGATGGACAAGGAGAACTTGTTCAGACTTAACCAGTTGACTTGTAAAATATCTGTATCATGAATCTTTCAAAACGGAAAATAATTCTACTGCGAGAAAAAAGCCCAGCGTAAAATTTTGTGTCATTTTGAATACGTTTGTATAATTCTATCTTTAGCTAACTAAAGCTATTAGAATAAGGACAGATATTTGATATATAAATAAATATATTGCAGATGATAAAACTCAAGCAGAAGATGACATGGATTCGAAATTAAGAACAGGGAACGCCAATCGGCAACAGTATTCCGGAACAGACAACTCTGAGGTCAACAACGGAAAAGGTTACAATTCTGTGCCAATTGTCGTCTGCTATTAACAGAACAGATTTATGTTGTTTATATTTACACTTGGTCAAGGTTAAAGGGTCAAATGTCACCGTCAACCAATTTTTGACTAAAAGGCTTGTGTACCTAATATCTCATAAACATCCAATTCCCATTCACAATGTAATGTCATCCAAGTTCTACAACTGATTAATTTTGACGGTAATTAGTTCATTTTTAAGTGTCAGAGGCTACACTTAACCCAATTTGGAAATGCAAAAATAGGAAATGTGAGTATATCCTAAAATATGTAAGTTATATTGCTACGCTCGCTCCAAACGACTTTGCCATACTTCATATCATATCGTATATATATATATATGTGTGTGTGGCTTTTAGTGTCAGACTGTATTCTGGCTATACAATAAATTGATATGCTTCCTTGGTTAAAAAAAGAATAGAATATTGATCATAATCACAACAGTTTCTTATTTTCTCCGATTCATTAAAAAAAACTTGCCCAGAAAGAGTAAAAGTTCGTTTATGCTCGATTGTATGGATGATGTATAGGTGTCTACCGCCTGAGAAACTCTATATTTGGTGTTGTATACCGCCATATTCAAGTATCCCTGCCGCCAGATGCGCTTCTAAAAGTCGATGGGTTATTCCTATATATTCTGGTATCCTACCGCCAGAGGGACTTCTAAAATATTCTGGTATTCTACCGCCAGAGGTCCTTTTCATGCTGATGGGTTATTTCGTCATATTCTGGTATTTTACGGTCAGAGGGGCTTCTAAAAGTTTATAGGTTATTTCGTCATATTCAGGTATCCTTACCGACAGAGAGACTTCAGAGAGTGGTAACATCAGTACAGATACATGTATGAGTTATGTAAACGCCGCTGGAGGTAAAATAGTGACTGTTGGTGTGTTGCTGCTTTACTTATGCTCCATTTCTTCAATATCGTTTAGTGAGTGGTGGCTAGGACTATGGATTGATCAGACGGTAAGTCTATTGAAATGTTGAAAGCATAGTTGTCAATAATGATATTAAAAAGAATATTAAGATGCATTGCATTTTTAAGATCACTTTTTGAGAAGTTTTATAATTTATTACTTTTATAATGTTGTCAAGCATCATCACGATAATCATTATATAACTAGTATGATACATCATTCAATAAAGAAGATTTCGTTGAATTGATAATATTTACAGACTATTTCTGGACAAATGGAAATTCCCCCCGAATCTAATGAAACGAGATTTTCTGTTGATGAGAATGCCACCACCTTCTCATTACCGACAATTATTAATTCTACACGGGTAAGAGAAGATAAATCAGACTACACAGACTGGTATTTGACTGTTTATATCTATGCAGCTGCAGGAGTGACTGGAATGGCTGTATTGAAAGGAATTGTCATTGGAATGGTAAGATAATAAAAATAATTTAAAAGGTTAAATAGATAAATGTACAAGTGTACTGATTTGTCTCCGTTCAGTTTAACAATTTCTCCTGTTCCTGTCTGGCTAGGATGGATCAGTTACATCACATTCAATACACAATTTAATGTCATTTCCAACTTCCTTTGAACAATACCCCAATTTAGTATTTCAATTGGATTTCTATGTACAAGAACATATATCAAGATTATGATAACGTGTGCAACATATATATTCATTATGCCTAAATTTCTTGATCTATCTTATAAAATCATGACCAAATATGGGATAGGGTGTCTATTTATCAAGAAATAAATTGAATTAACATATCAACTAAATCTACAATGTTTTACAGGTGGTAATAAATGCATCTGTGAATCTTCACAACAAAGCCATTAAGAGAGTGATGGGTACTCCAATGCGGTACTTTGACGCGAATCCACCAGGTAGAATCCTGAACAGATTCTCGCGAGACATTGAGGAAGGCAAGTATATTTAACCGATTGAGATTCAAATTTAAAGTAAAAATGATTACAGGAGACACGGAATTTTGTAATAGACGAATAAAACTATAAATAGATCTCAACAAGCTACAGGTAATTTTTATCCTTTAAAGTAATACAGAAATTGTATTAACATCTACATGAATTTGGCGCGTGGATATTTATCTTTTTTCTATCTTTTTTTATTACGTTTGACGAATCTTTAATCCTTTAAATATATCAAGAAATTTGTTTTTCAATTTTTGAAAAACGTATCAAAACTTGTTCTTTATTCTCCAAAAGCAATAATTCATTAAGATTAAATAAGAACAAAATTCTGCGATGCAATCAAGTTGTAAATGTGTATGGGACAAACAGTGTATACTACTGTTTATGTGTTTCTTGTTCTGTTACAGCTGATGTGTTTATACCATATATGATGGATCATCTCCTTCAGATAACAATCATCGTTATTACCTCCCTTGCCACCATTGCCTATAATTTCCCTTGGATTCTCTTACCGATTATTCCAGTTGTTTTTTGCGTTTACATCATACAGACCATATCATCTGTGGCAATCCGAAATTTCAAGCGTCTGGAAAATGTGGTTAGGTCACCTCTCCTAAGCCATGTGACCACATCATGCATTGGACTTAGTACCATTGTTGCTTACTCCGAAGAAAACGACTTCATTAATGGGTGAGTGAAAGGTGATTTTTTGCATTACTTGATATGAAGATTGCAACTAAATACATCCTCAATATTTCTTCCTGCTTAAGCACTAATTAGTTGTATTCATTGTACTGCATTAAATAAAAGGAACATGCGTAAACCATACTGAGGTCATATAACTGTAATATCAGAATTTCCACTCTCGTATATAAGATATGATAACAAGGACGAATAATTACGTTGTTAGCAAAACAATGAAGAGCTGTAGTGATATTAAATGGAGAAAATGATACCATGGCAGATAACTGTGTTTCAGGTGTAAGCAATACTCGGACAGGACTACAGTTGGGATATTTCTGTATGAAACCTGCCTTAAGTGGATAGGCCAGCAGATGAACATGTGCGGTTTGGTTTTGTCACTTACAACAACCATTGTTGTTTTGTTCACTAAGGACGCCATATCGCCAGCTTTTGCAGCTATGTCCCTAACGATGGCTATCAATGTAAGTGTAGCTTGAGATATAGAGATATATCACTTTGATTAACTGTCTACAAAATTCACTACAATAAAATACAGATAAAGATCAACATAGACTTTTAGTAATTTAAACCGCTACATATGGACATTTAGTCTCCTGTTAGAATCTAACTTGAGTTTGCTTCTTATATTTACCTAAACCTACTGCTCTACTATAAATGCATTTCACTCTAAGATATTCATATGGACGACTTATTCCAGGTAGCATCTTTGACACAGTTCTTATCTCATGCTCTAAATGACGTGGACGCCAGGTTTACATCGATAGAAAGAATCCACGAGTACGAGGTAAATAGAAATGACGATAAGATTATTTCTATATTTTCGATAATCATTATAATAATTATTGTGATTAAGTTATTTTTACTTATGGTTCGGTCCATCCCTTCCTCTTTCTGCAAGTCTTATAACAGGTAAATAGATCCCCTATTACACGGCCGTCATAACGATCACGTTGGGGAATTTTGTAGCATTTTGAAACATGACATTACTTACTTGGATTGATCAAGGTTTACAGGGTGTGTATCACAGGTAAAGTAGTATAAACCTTCTTCTGGAACAACAGGATTTATCATACTTGTACTTTTTAGGAGATTCCGTGTAAATATGTCTTTTGTTCATATTATGATATAGTTTTACCGAATTTGAGTTTGAATCATGTTGACATGTCGGTATTTTCTTTGCTGCGTCAACAAAAAGCATAGCTGTACATAATTAGGCCACTAGGATAAAAGGAAAATACTATCACCCTCTTGTTGCTGAGATGGGGGATTTCTACCCCGGGGAAAAGATTATTACGTTGCAAACACTCGGCAAGCCTCGTTTTGCTAACCCCTATCTGACCATCTATAAATTTCACTCTGGAAGGGGAAAGGTTGCTCTATGACGATACTCACAACAGGGTAATGCCATAATTCCATGTTGCGCAACCATGTCGCAATTCCGGTTAGAAATATCATTGTACATGGAATAGAGATTTCCTTGTCTCCTCTTAGGATTAAAACGAAGAATTCATATCGATCATGCCACTACAACGATGCGAGGCAGTTGGGGCAACGGAACTACATACTTTAGTTAGAAGGACAGTTGGTTGAAAAGAAAATGTCCAAACGGCAGGTTTGTTTTTGCCAAAATCCACAAATCTCGCCTACAAACAGTATGCAAAAATGTTGTTAGTTTTACCATTTTCATTCGAAATTTTACTCCGCAATATATATATAGATATTTGTTTAAGTACTGTGTCATGATTCTTCCACATATACATATCCAGTTTGTTGGTCTTCTGTTTTGAAGAACCTTGAAATCGAAAAGGAAACCGGAAATTTACAAGTAGATAAAACATGGCCAAGTCAGGGACGAATCACATTTTCAAATGTGGAGATGAAATATCGCGAGGACATGGATCCCACTCTTAAAAATATCAGCTTCGATATTATTCCCAAACAAAAGGTCGGCATTGTTGGCCGGACAGGAGCGGGTAAGCTTTAAATCAATTTGTGAATGTTGCGGTGAAAGCAACGTATTTAAAGATCAGCACATACGACTTTTGTTTTAGATAATTTCTGATAAATTGTATTGACGTTTCCATGTGTCTTTATATATTTCATATTTAAAATCTCTTCTCTATACCTAAATAAGACGACTTTTACAACTCGTTATGTAAATGATATAATTAGTGTTCCTTTGCCTGATACCGGGTTATGAATGTATTATATGATATGTACTTGTGACTGTTTTGATATTGTTATATATGTAGGAAAGTCGTCATTGACAGCTGCGCTGTTTAGACTGACTGATCTATCGGGAGGTCACGTGTTCATCGATGACGTAGAAATTTGCTCTTTATCTCGGAAATTGCTGCGTTCAAATTTATCATCAATTCCACAAGACCCCGTCCTATTTGCCGGTACAATAAGGTTAGTTTATTGAAAATAAATAATTATTTTTTCATTTTGCTGTGACTGATTTTGACGTGGTAGAATTTCAGTTTGTATAAGAACGTCTTTTAAGTATTAAAGATTTTTTTCTTTTCTCTCCTATTTTTCTTTTTCTTTAATTTCCTGTTTCTTTTTCGATTCACGAGTGTGATGTTTATTTGAACGTTTAACGAATATTTTTCATGTTTGACGTTTAGGTACTGATTTCATCTAAGTTATTTCAATAATCCAGACATAAAAATGACGTCAAGTCAAAGACATCCTATGAAGTATAAATACTAGTACAGTTTCACACGTCCAAAGAACGATTCTTTTTTCAAAGCATTTTTTGTGTTTTATATAATAATTTTAATCTTTTTCTTTTCACATAAACATTGAGATATTGTCCACTTAACCTGGACATTGATTGATTTGAGTTTGATCCTTTCAATGGCAATTTTTAAAGGGACGTGAAAAAACAAGTTAATATTTGTTAATGTTTTATCCTTATTATATGTATTGATAATTACATACGATTTATTACTGCTCCTATAGAATCAGGGATCTATTTGGTAGACATAGATGAAATCAATATATTTTGCTTCCTCAATGCAACATTTTGTGTTTATACGAGGCTGAATTAATTGATAACCTTAGTTAAACATGTCATAAAAACCTACTGATCTTTATATTGGTCTTTAATTAACAACAGATTTATTGATCACGTCCGTCGTATATACTCACCAGTATGGAAAATCAAGGAGGCAACAGACTCTTCATCAACCAACTTTTTTCCTAATAATTTCAATTTACCTGTTGCGATTTTTCCATTTCTGAATAGTAGCATGCCTACATCCCCAAAATATGGTGTTCGCAGTGGAATCAATATTCAAGGATCTGTTCAAATTACTACTAGTTTGCAAATAATACGTAATACGAGGCTTCAAAGGATGCAGCTTGATTAAAGTCATGGGAATTCCGCATAGTGATCTCATTGAGAAATATTCTACCTTTACTTGCGATATTAAGTTGACTGTATTTTGTGCTTGTAACTTTGCCTGTTGGTGAATACATTATACTCATTTGAGAACATGATATTACTTAATTGGATTGACCAACATTTACATGGAGGTCGTTATCGATGAAACAGAAACCGCTTACTTCATCGGAACACATGGTCTTATTCGTGTCAATTTTTCTTTAGTTACTATTAGTTACTATACATAAGTTACTGACATTTCGTTGTTGTCGTTATATTTCTTTTTTTTTTTTTTTTTTTTCCTTTTATGTCTGCAGATGACTTTTCTTCCATTGCGCCTGATCTTTGTTGCCAGTGTACACAAATATGGCGTTGTATTTGATATAAATATTACATTTAAAGATTGTTTTTATCAACACAGATATAACCTTGACCCCTTCGACAAATATACGGACGATCAGGTATGGGCAGCTCTGGAACAAGTCCATATGAAGGAAAAGGTAAGTTTCAAGACTGTTTGTTTCAATTAAGATATATACTAACTTGTCTTAAATAATTCTGGATATTTCAATTCAATAGTTTTTTTCAATACAAGACATCTAAGTAGTCGACATGTAAATATTTTTTTTTACGCAAGCTTTTTTTTTTAGATGAACCTCCTTGAGCAGACTCTTGACTTCTATGTTGAGGAAAGTGGAGAAAACTTTTCAGTCGGTGAACGACAACTAATATGTTTGGCACGTGCAATTCTACGTCAAAATAAGGTACAATTTCATTTACGATATCAATATTGAGAAAAAGTCCACTCATTCTTCCATTGCAAAATCGCAAACTCGTTATTATTTAAGTTTCCAACTCTTCCCATGTTTTTATCCTACATTGTAACCATGTAGACAATGATAATTAACGAACAGACAGTATTAGAACTACGAATGAAGGATGACGGTTTGATGGTATGTCCAAATTTATCCCCCAGAGGCTGATGGGCGTGAAACGCGTTTGCAGGGGATATCAATTTGGGCTTTGTGATTGCGAACGTCCGTCCGTGGGGTTTTCCGGGCTACAACTTCAAAACCTTTCCAACTCAACATAACTTTCTGTATATATAAAGTTAGTGCCTTGGTTCTGCTGCTTGCTATTGACAACATTTCATTTTTTTAAAACATATTTTCTGTTCCCATGGAAACATAGTTTAAAAAACCCCACAAAATTAGTGTTAATTCTCCTTCCTGGGCTACAACTTCGAAAGCATTCCACTTAACTCCACAAAACTTTGCGTATATATTAGGTTAGTGCCCCAGTTATTTTTTTTCTGTTACCAAACAAATATCCCTCATCACAAATTTCAGTTTTCTTGGACAAGTGTTCATGATGGTTGCTCAATTATTTTACACTTATTAAGCCAGTAGTATCTTTTGCTATGGAGAAGTTCTCCATTTAAATACTTTTTTTGTTACTGTGGAAATAAATCGGCCAAAATCACAAAGTGCAGTTTTTTTCAGACCAGTTCTGTTAAATATAAAATAATTACGCGGTTCTTAAAACTTTGTATAAGCACCAAGAAAGTTCTCTAATAGAAGTTATCCATTTTAATTCTTTGCATGAAACAAAAATAATAATAATAAATAAAAAATTAATTTGCTGTAATATTAAGTTATATACATATATGATTGTGTGCTTTCCTCTTAAACAGTGGGGCGCAGGGGATAATGTCACGCTTTGCCTTATTTTGTTGTTAATTCATTGTTGATATATGTATTTTATTTGGTATATAGATTCCAATTTCCTGTGCTTGTCTTGCTTCAGATTCTGGTCCTGGACGAAGCCACAGCGTCCATCGACACGTCAACAGATGCCATGATTCAAAAGACCATCCGGGATAGTTTCTCCGACTGTACTGTCCTAACAATCGCTCACAGACTCAACACCGTCTTACACTGTGACGTCATACTCGTCATGGACGCTGGACGAGTGATAGAAATAGGCAGCCCACAGACTTTACTAAAGAGTCCATCTTCTCATTTCAATTACATGATACGCTCTCAAACCGCGCTTCCGACAGACGCTTGAATTCATAAATCAAACATTACAGATTTTGTATATAGTTTATCAAATATCTTAACATTAATTGTTTTGTTTTCTTTCGAGGCCGTGTTACTGACTCTAGCAACGCACCCTCTGTGAAGGTGGTTGGTGGATTTGTAGTGTTTAAGTGCGTGAGTGTGTAGGGAGATTGTACACAAAAGACACACAAGTGAATTGTGCATTTCATTACAAATTTAGAATAAGTTTTCAGTCCGTTGGATGAACAGGTTTTCACTGGGTGTCACATAACTCTCCCATATATCAATTTAAAGTAATGTGGAGATAATTGAGGTGCTGAGAATGAACATCAAGTTGTGAGTCCGCAATATTTATTTATTGTTTAGATATTGAGATTGTAAGGCGTAGTTTGTCATTAAAAAACTGCCATATTAGCGTCTTAAATGGTAATTAATATATCCTCTTCAAATATCGGATTTACACGTCAAAAGAAAACTGAATGTTATTATGTATATTTGCGAATCATACTGTTAGCATATCAAATTTTGATTCATAAACATCCTTCATAATCGTGTCGTCACTGAGTACTGCAGATAAAAAAATGTTTAAAAGCTTCTTGTATTCAGAGTTAGTTCCCTTTCCCTGTTACAGAAATTCGTACCTGATTGTTTTTCAGTTCATAAAGATATATATCCCATTACAATATATGAGTACTAACTACAATGTATGAGTACTAACTATAATATATCAGTACTAACTATCAGTACTAACTACAATGTGTCAGTACTAACTACAATGTATCAGTACTAACTACAATGTGTCAGTACTAACTACAATGTGTCAGTACTAACTACAATATATCAGTACTAACTACAATGTATCAGTACTGACTACAATGTATCAGTACTAACTACAATGTGTCAGTACTAACTACAATGTATCGGTACTAACTACAATGTATCAGTATTAACTACAATATATCAGTACTAACTACAATGTATGAGTACTAACTACAATATATCAGTACCGACTACAATGCATCAGTACTGACTGCAATGTATCAGTACTAACTATAATGTATCAGTTCTAACTATAATGTATCAGTACCGACTACAATGTATCAGTACTGACTGCAATGTATCAGTGTGTCAGTACCGACTTTAATTTATCAGTACTAAGTGCAATGTATCAGTACCGACTACAATGTATCAGTATTAACTACAATGTGTCAGTACCGACTATAATTTATCAGTACTGACTACAATGAATCAGTAATGACTATCAGTACTAACTACAATGTGTCAGTTCCGACTACAGTACTGACTACAATGTATCAGTATTAACTACAATGTATCAGTACTAACTACAATGTATCAGTATTAACTACAATGTATCAGTACCGACTACAATGTATCAGTACTAACTACAATGTATCAGTATTAACTACAATATATCAGTACTAACTACAATGTATGAGTACTAACTACAATGTATGAGTACTAACTACAATATATCAGTATTAACTACAATGTATCAGTATTAACTACAATATATCAGTACTAACTACAATGTATCAGTACTAACTACAATGTATCGGTACTAACTACAATGTATCAGTACTAACTACAATGTATCAGTACTAACTACAATGTATCAGTATTAACTACAATGTATCAGTACTGACTACAATGTATCAGTATCAGTATCAGTAAACTACAATGTATCAGTACTAACTATCAGTACTAACTACAATATATCAGTACTAACTACAATGTATCAGTACCGACTACAATGTATCAGTACTAACTACAATGTATCAGTACTGACTACAATGTATCAGTACCGACTACAATGCAACTAACTATGATATATGAGTACTGACTACAATGTATCAGTACTAACTACAATGTATCAGTATTAACTACAATGTATCAGTACCGACTACAATGTATCAGTACTAACTACAATGTATCAGTACCGACTACAATGCAACTAACTATGATATATAAGTACTGACTACAATGTATGAGTACTGACTACAATGTATTAGTACCGACTTCAATGTGTCAGTACTAACTACAATGTATCGGTACTAACTACAATGTATCAGTATTAACTACAATATATCAGTACTAACTACAATGTATGAGTACTAACTACAATATATCAGTACCGACTACAATGCATCAGTACTGACTGCAATGTATCAGTACTAACTATAATGTATCAGTTCTAACTATAATGTATCAGTACCGACTACAATGTATCAGTACTGACTGCAATGTATCAGTGTGTCAGTACCGACTTTAATTTATCAGTACTAAGTGCAATGTATCAGTACCGACTACAATGTATCAGTATTAACTACAATGTGTCAGTACCGACTATAATTTATCAGTACTGACTACAATGAATCAGTAATGACTATCAGTACTAACTACAATGTGTCAGTACCGACTACAGTACTGACTACAATGTATCAGTATTAACTACAATGTATCAGTACTAACTACAATGTATCAGTATTAACTACAATGTATCAGTACCGACTACAATGTATCAGTACTAACTACAATGTATCAGTATTAACTACAATATATCAGTACTAACTACAATGTATGAGTACTAACTACAATGTATGAGTACTAACTACAATATATCAGTATTAACTACAATGTATCAGTATTAACTACAATATATCAGTACTAACTACAATGTATCAGTACTAACTACAATGTATCAGTATTAACTACAATGTATCAGTACTAACTACAATGTATCAGTATTAACTACAATGTATCAGTACTGACTACAATGTATCAGTACTGACTACAATGTATCAGTACTAACTACAATGTATCAGTACTAACTATCAGTACTAACTACAATATATCAGTATTAACTACAATGTATCAGTACCGACTACAATGTATTAGTACTAACTACAATGTATCAGTACTGACTACAATGTATCAGTACCGACTACAATGCAACTAACTATGATATATGAGTACTGACTACAATGTATCAGTACTAACTACAATGTATCAGTACCGACTACAATGTATCAGTACTAACTACAATGTATCAGTACCGACTACAATGCAACTAACTATGATATATAAGTACTGACTACAATGTATGAGTACTGACTACAATGTATTAGTACCGACTACAATGTATCAGTACTGACTACAATGTATTAGTTCTAACTACAATGTATCAGTATTGACTACAATGTATCAGTTCTGACTACAGTGTATCAGTACTAACTACAATGTATCAGTATTAACTACAATGTATCATATCAGTACTAACTACAATGTATCAGTACTGACTACAATGTGTCAGTATTAACTACAATGTATCAGTACTAACTACAATGTATCAGTATTAACTACAATGTATCAGTACTAACTACAATATATCAGTACTAACTACAATGTATCAGTACTAACTACAATGTATTGGTATTAACTACAATGTATCAGTATTAACTACAATATATCAGTACTGACTACAATGTGTCAGTACTGCAATGTATCAGTGCTAACTACAATGTATCACCACAAATAAATCTTTATTGTTATCCGAGTATGAAATATTTGAACCTGTCAAATTAAGTTTGTCTCTATTCAACTGATTGATTTCCTTTGATATATTGATGTTTAATCAATTGATTTTATCTGTAATAAATTAGATTAACAACAACCTTTATCTGCTGACTAGAAAGGATTAATGTAAATCTCCGGGTTACCATATCTATTTCTTTGAAGATGGTCTTTGGGCCGCTCGTAGCGTCAATTAACCAGTAAACCCCACAGTGACTGGTTCGAATCCAGCTGTTTTAGATGTCATATTTGATCAATATTTGGGTGAAATCTACTCATTATTCCTAGTGATAATTGGATCACTATTGTTGTCAACTGTGGAAAAATGATTCCGTGTCGCCTCCGCAGCTCAGACCTAGTCCAGTCCTAGTGACTATATTAATAAAGCATCAATGTGTCTGAACGGCTAAATATAATTACTGTGTCATGTTTGACCATCTACTTAAATGATACAGAGAATACCGGTAGCATGTCTGACGATTCTGTGAATACTGGTGTCATGTCTGTCCATTTAGTTATGTGATAAAGATAATACTGGTGTCATGTCTGACAATCTAGTGAATACTGGTGTCATGTCTGACCATCTAGTGAATACTGGTGTCATGTCTGACCATTTAGTGAATACTGGTGTCGTGTCTGACAATCTAGTTATGAGATACACAGAATACTGGTGTCATGTCTGACCATTTAGTTATGTGATAAAGAGAATACCGGTAGCATGTCTGACCATCTAGTGAATACTGGTGTCGTGTCTGACAATCTAGTTATGAGATACACAGAATACTGGTGTCATGTCTGACCATTTAGTTATGTGATAAAGAGAATACCGGTAGCATGTCTGACCATTTAGTGAATACTGGTGTCATATCCTACCAGTTAGCGAATAGCGGTGTCATGTCTGACCATCTAGTTATATGATACAGAGAATAATGGTGTCGTGTCGGACCATTTAGTGAATACTGGTGTCATGTCTGACAATCTAGTTATGTGATACACAGAATACTTGATAAACTCGACGATTCTTAGAACAAAGAAAACACTAAAATGGCTATAACAATTTGCAGATCCGAACTACTGAAATGACCAGGTTGCTTGAGTTGATGACATGCAAAGTACGACCACTCCCATTTCGGTTTTGAATTTCCCGTATTCTATATCCTGTAACTAATGATTCCCTATCAAAGTTCTCGACCTATATCTATATTCTGTATCCTGTTACTAATGAATCCCTAGAGATCTCGACCTATAGCTATATTCTGTATCATGTAACTAATGAATCCCTATAACAGTTCTCGACCTATAGCTATATTCTGTATCATGTAACTAATGAATCCCTATAACAGTTCTCGGCCTATAGCTATATTCTGTATCCTGTAAATAATGAATCCCTATAACAGTTCTCGGCCTATAGCTATATTCTGTACCCTGTAACTAATGAATCCCTATAACAGTTCTCGACCTATAGCTATATTCTGTATCCTGTAACTAATGAATCCCTAGAGATCTCGACCTATAGCCATATTCTGTATCATGAACTATAGCTACCTATAGCTATATTCTGTATCCTGTAACTAATAAATCCCTATAACAGTTCTCGACCTATAGCTATATTCTGTACCCTTTAACTAATGAATCCCTATAACAGTTCTCGACCTATAGCTATATTCTGTATCCTGTAAATAATGAATCCCTATAACAGTTCTCGACCTATATCTATATTCTGTATCCTGTAACTAATGAATCCCTAGAGATCTCGACCTATAGCTATATTCTGTATCCTGTAACTAATGAATCCCTATAACAGTAATGAATCTAATGAATCCCTAGAGATCTCGACCTATAGCTATATTCTGTATCATGTAACTAATGAATCCCTAGAGATCTCGACCTATAGCTATATTCTGTATCATGTAACTAATGAATCCCTAGAGATCTCGACCTATAGTTTTATTCTTAATCCTGTTACTAATGAATCCCTATAACAGTTCTCGACCTATATCTATATTCTGTATCCTGTAACTAATGAATCCCTAGAGATCTCGACCTATAGCTATATTCTGTATCATGTAACTAATGAATCCCTATAACAGTTCTCGACCTATATCTATATTCTGTATCATGTAACTAATGAATCCCTAGAGATCTCGACCTATAGCTATATTCTGTATCCTGTACATAATGAATCCCTATAACAGTTCTCGACCTATAGCTATATTCTGTACCCTTTAACTAATGAATCCCTATAACAGTTCTCGACCTATATCTATATTCTGTACCCTTTAACTAATGAATCCCTATAACAGTTCTCGACCTATAGCTATATTGTTAACATCTAATGTCATTTCTGACAATACTTGGTTTTAAGTGCGCTGTCCTAACTTCAGCACGATATCTATTCACCAAAGTCACGAAAATAGAAGCGTTTGAATTTTGGCCTCAGTGTTACAATGGGCAAAGATATTGAGATTTGGCTGTTGGTGACTTTGTAAGCTAATATTTTTAACCAAATGTTTGGCTGTTGGTGACTTTGTAAGCTAATATTTTTAACCATATGTATGACCAACTTAGAAATCACAATATTTAGGTCTAGCCACAGGCGGGTTTTGATTAGTTTAGTAAAGACATTAAAGCTGTAATAGCAGGAGAAAATCACGTGTTATAACCACACTTCTGCCCTGAGTGCAAGCCTTTCGACTTATTACGGATATTCTGTTTTCCGTTAATGTCATTGTTTTAACCACAGATCATAACAGCTGTGGTCAGGTCTGTTAGTAAGTAGCCCTAGACTGACCACTGTAAAGTCATTACTACTGACCAGACAAGGTTTATTTATTTTCCGCAATTAGTTCTCTCTCACTTCCTCACAATAAGATAAGGGACATTGTCCCTAGCGGTGTCCTTCACTCCGGAAATCCTTCTTAACTGATCGTGGAGCTGGTTTAGTGGATTATATTTACAAATACGTACATAATTGATGAAGAGCTAGGATATCAAGCTCCTTTCTTCTGCTAATTCCCTATGACTATTTTATCTTCTAGATGAAGTGAAATGTTACAGTATTTAGGCACGGTTTCCTTGATTAATCATTGGAAACGAGCAACCGAAACCTCTTCTTAGAAGATGAAAATGATAGTTTCCAGCGTCATTCATTTCATTTTGAAATTCTTCTTTTGTGTAATAATTGTAGCGTTTAACTATTTTGACTGTTTAACCGTCGTGGAATTGGAGATTCCTAAACTTATGTGACGGAAAGATTCGAAGCATTTTAAATGCCGTAATTTCGGATATTTTTGTGGTTTAAGTTCTAATCAAAGTTTTTTAAAGGTGTAGTTTTCTTCAGTAGGTCAGTTATTTTTCCTTGCGGACTGCTTAAGCGACTAACAGAAAAAATAGACTGCATCTGTAAATGTTTATACCAGTGCAAAGGTTGTCGCTACCCAAGAACGTTTATACCTGTGCAAAAGGGTGCCTGTTCCCAATAACGTTTATACCAGTGCAAAAGGTTGCCGGTACCCAAGAATGTTTATACCTGTAGAAAAAGTTTGCCGATACATATGAATGGTTATACATGTAAAAAAAAAAAAGGTTGCCGACACGTATGAAAGGTCATACATGTAAAAAAGGTTGGTATTGGAAAATGGAACTCAACGTGAAGTCTGATTCACCCAAAGGCCCAATGCTCCTTCCAATAATAGTTCATTACAATAGGATGAGGGTTTAGTTAGCTTTTTGTTGTTGTAAAAATAGTCCTAGAAAATGTCAAGTTCTAGGTCGATAATTGAATCTAATTATCAAGATGGAAGCATTCCTATCAGATCATTCTAGTATTCTGGTTTCCTTTAAACTAGTCAGAACTTTCAACAATGACGGGCGTAACTGCCAGCCCTTGATGGAGTGATCTTGTCTATTGAGAAATACACAACACCACACAAAATCAAACAGGTGAAGACATTTATTTTAAGGGGGAGAGCTTTCTATGTAGTTCTTAACTTATTTATTGTTCGACAGTTTTATATCCGAGATTTTTTAAAAGCATTTCCTTGATGGATTAATACTTTATCCTTCATTATCTTTAAATTTTATTGTTACGTAAATAAAGATTTCACACAGGAAAATTTGACGAATTCCAAATGGTTGTCACTCCTGCCCTGTATATAGTCTTCAATTCTGCATCTCCAAATAAGGGCACTTTTGTAGAACGGCCCTTAATGAACGGTCCACTTACTGAACCATAAACAGCAACTACCTACAAAATAAAATATCTTATAAAATACTGCCGATACCATCGGGAAATCCAGGTCAAAATTCTGTTCTTAAAGTAGAAAATCAGGTAAAGGCACAGACCAAAGTCACGTTTATAGGATGTCATTCAGATAGTTTCACAGACCATAGTATAATGTTCATAGGGTAACATTGAGATAGTTTTACAGACCAAAGTATAATGTTTATAGGGTAACATTGAGATAGTTTTACAGACCATAGTATAATGTTTATAGGGTACCATTCAGATAGTTCACAGACCAAAGTATAATGTTTATAGGGTAACATTGAGATAGTTTTACAGACCAAAGTATAATGTTTATAGGGTAACATTGAGATAGTTTTACAGACCAAAGTATAATGTTTATAGGGTAACATTGAGATAGTTTTACAGACCAAAGTATAATGTTTATAGGGTAACATTGAGATATTTTTACAGACCAAAGTATAATGTTTATAGGGTAACATTGAGATAGTTTTACAGACCAAAGTATAATGTTTATAGGGTAACATTGAGATATTTTTACAGACCAAAGTATAATGTTTATAGGGTAACATTGAGATAGTTTTACAGACCAAAGTATAATGTTTATAGGGTAACATTCAGATAGTTTTACACACCATAGTATATTATTTATAGGGTAACATACAGATGGCTTCGTGATGTGGTAATTTCTTCGGGTTCAGGTTTGCTTTTAGTTTTGATATCTGATTTCTACATATATCTATATAAATGTGTTATGTAACATAGACGTTTATACACTGAAGTTTACACCAGAACATAAAAGTAAAGACACTCTCCCATCTGATGCATGAGTGCATCGATAGGCGCTAAGCAGACTTGTATCCATTGGTCGTATTTCTGTCCTGAATTCTAGACTAAATTATGATTGGTTTTCCTCTCCATGGAATACAATGCCATGTTTCATGTAATTGTGTTGTGTCTACTATCATATATCTCATGTTTTATGCTGATTGGTGACGTTAACCTTGAGCTGTGTAACGAAGGACGACACTGTACAGGGACCTGGTCACGATAATTAACCTGCACGTGATTGAAGGGAAGGGAGGTGTGGGGGTGGAGTGGGGGTGGGGGTCAGTATCCAATCTCTCATTTACTTAATGCATACATCCCATCTATCACACATGACCTTCTCACCTAACTTACACAATTCTTTCTTCTACCTTACACAGCCCGATAATCTAACTTACTCGAACCTCTCGTCTAACTTACACAACCCCTTCATCTACCTTACACAACCCCTTCATATAACTTACACAACCCCTTCATCTAACTTACACAACCCCTTCATCTATCTTACACAACCCCTTCATCTACCTTACACAACCCCTTCATCTAATTTACACAACCCCTTCATCTAACTTACGCAACCCCTTCATCTAACTTACACAACCCCTTCACCTAACTTACGCAACCCCTTCATCTAACTTACACAACCCCTTCATCTAACTTACACAACCCTTTCATCTAACTTACACAACTCTCTCGTCTATCTTACGCAGCCTGCTCGTCTATCTTACGCAGCCTGCTCGCCTAACTTACTCGACCTACTCCCCTAACACTGCCATCTCCTCTAACAAGACCGTCTCCTTCAACACAACAAAATTCTCTAACACAACCACATTCTCTAACACGAACATCTCGTCTAACACGACCGTCTCCTTTAACAAGACCACATTCTCTAACACAACCATCTCGTCTAACACGACCATTTCCTTTAACAAGACCACATTCTCTAACACGACCATCTCGTCTTACACGACCATTTCCTTTAACAAGACCACATTCTCTAACACGACCATCTCGTCTAACACGACCATCTCGTCTTACACGACCATTTCCATTAACAAGACCACATTCTCAACACGACCATCTCGTCTAACACAACCATCTCGTCTAACACGACCATTTCCTTTAACAAGACCAAACTCTCTAACACGACCATATACTCTTACAGGACCCGATTTCTGGTCAGCTTTGGGAGCGTATACGCAATGCGAAACAGAACAGAGAGTGGCGACCTCCCGAAACAGTTAGGAGCTCTGCTCAAAATAACATGAAGTTGTAAATGTGGTGTTTTGATATCTTTCCTTTGGTGTTTTTTAACACTCAATACTGCGAATTTAGAATGATCACAAATGGAATTGTAAAATTTATTTCCAAGTGGAATAGAACTTGGTGTGACTTAAGCTGTATTTAATACTCAGGCTATCGCCTTCTTACCAACGATAGCGGCTATTATCTCTGTCTCTCTGGGGTTACATCAACAATTAATTATAGCCTTTTTAATGGCACTTAGTTCCAATTACATGTACCTAACGGAAACAAGTCATAATTTGTGTAACACCGTTCGTTACGTTTTCCATAGAGCAATTTAAATGATTCTCAACAAAGCCCATTTGACTTCATAAATATTTGTGAAATATCAATTTGAATATCAAAACATTACAAAAACTCTGATTGAGATATTTTAGCACAACTGCTAGCTATAATGAAATGTAAGATATTTCAGTAAGTGGTTAAGTCGACGCATGAAAGATTTTATTGTTTGTGTAACTGTGACTGTTATTTTAGTGTGAAGGTCTGTGTATTCATTTCGGGGTAATTTCCTGAGTAATTTTCATTACAGAGTGTAACTGTCCGTTTTGCTTTATGTATTTTATGTACGATAAATAACCATATTGCTGATGCTGGTTTATACCATGAGTATAACGGAACTACATCACTTCTTTGTTATTATCTGAACGTATATAGAAGAATCTATTAATAGTCGGGTAACTACATAGTTAACATCCTTATATCATATTAAAAAAAACACAGAAGAAGAAAAAATCTTACATACATCGTTTGCAATATCGAAGAAGAAGACAGTATATTCTTGCGCAAGCCTATTATAGCAAGAGGCCTACTTTGAGCATCAATTGTAGTTACATTTGACGTACAATAGAAGGGGAGAACTCACTTTGATAAATTGTAATGCGCATGCGTAGTATGTAGGTCGTCATTATTTGGGACCGATATACAGAATAAGCCACTTTATACCGCTTTGTTTAGATATCTTGTCTTTTTTATTCGGTTAAGATGGGATTTTTATTCAGTCTTTTTAAGATCAGAATTTATTCAGTCTTTTTCAGATCAAATTTTTTTTCGGTCATGTTGAGGTCTAATATTTATTCAGCTTTTTTAAGATCAGGAGATATCACATTGGCATATTTACCTTTCCACTCTATTTCCTCCTCGTTTGAGCGCCACCTGTTAATAACATTGTGATCATCTTTGCTCTCGTTTCGTCATCTATTGGCCCCTGATACGACGGTAATGTTCTTCCGTCCCTCTTTTTGCCACTAAATCAAGAATAAACGCAAAAGCATGTATTCTTTGTATATTACCAATCATTGCAAGCATCAGATATCAAACTGATATTTGTCAGAAGTTAAATTGTAGAGTTTATAAAGTGACTCAAGTAACTTGGATAACGTTAAAACCTATGTTTCCTGTAGTATCTTAAATATTTCTTATTGTGTAGAAACCTTAGTAGTGTGCTGATGTTTCATGTATCTGTACTTCTGTAGATACAGTAGTGTGCTGATGTGTCACGTATCTGTACTTCTGCAGATACAGTAGCGTGCTGATGTGTCACGTATCTGTACTCCTGTAGATACAGTAGTGTGCTGATGTGTCACGTATCTGTACTCCTGTAGATACAGTAGTGTGCTGATGTTTCACGTATCTGTACTTCTGTAGATACAGTAGTGTGCTGATGTGTCACGTATCTGTACTCCTGTAGATAAAGTAGCGTGCTGTACTCCTGTAGATACAGTAGTGTGCTGATGTTTCACGTATCTGTACTTCTGTAGATACAGTAGTGTGCTGATGTGTCACGTATCTGTACTCCTGTAGATAAAGTAGCGTGCTGATGTGTCACGTATCTGTACTTCTGTAGATACAGTAGTGTGCTGATGTGTCACGTATCTGTACTCCTGTAGATAAAGTAGCGTGCTGATGTGTCACGTATCTGTACTTCTGTAGATAAATTATTGTGTTGATGTCTCACGTACCCTTATTTTTGAAAACTTTCTGTAGAGAGAGAGAGAGAGAGAGAGAGAGAGAGAGAGAGAGAGAGAGAGAGAGAGAGAGAGAGAGAGAGAGAGAGAGAGAGAGAGAGAGAGAGAGAGAGAGAGAGAGAGAGAGAGAGAGAGAGAGAGAGAGAGAGAGAGAGAGAGAGAGAGAGAGAGAGAGAGAGAGAGAGAGAGAGAGAGAGAGAGAGAGAGAGAGAGAGAGAGAGCTTACTTTAAATATTCCAGAATTTTATTTGCGTTTAAGACCTGTTAGTACGGTTACACAGTGACTGGCTATCGCCGACATCAACTTAAGGTAATGGACAATCTGCACGAGACCATTATGGATAATTATGATTAATATCTTTTTATTATCATGTCTCCTTTATAAGACAAAAGAGGAATCTAACAATGATCAGCTGCATTTCTTCCTTGATAAAAAAAACTTTCGTTTGAGAAAATATCTGCCATTTTATGATTTCTTCTAAGTTGAGTTGTTAATCAATATTTCATCATTTGACTAATGTTTGAAGAGGTAAGAAAATAAAAAACACCACATCGGCCATCAAAGTTCAATTAATTAATGTATAGCTGTCATTTGTGTTAATGCGATAGTCGCATCAGTTGTTTACATAGAAATAAACGAATAACTTCTGGTTGACATGATGAGTGACCAATGTAACTTATTTAGGCGAGCTTCAATAATGACGTATTTGTACTTAAATTGATGTGTATTGTACCTAGCCATGCGCGTGAATTGCCCTCCAGTTCCATGTGACCGTAACAGATGGATAATGATATGATTCATGCGCCTCCGTTATTCCATCAATGTCATAGTGGATCCGTAATCCGCATTTATTGTATCACAAATCGTCCACTGATATCTATCTTCCTTTAAGACATGTATCGCAACTTTTAGCTTGTTATCTGTTGTCAATTAAACGGTTTGGTAATTGGGACTATATATAGCAAGCAGTCAACCTGGACATCAGGTCGCAACGATGGCAACCGGAAAACCATTTGCATCACGGTCACCTCGCACCCCACCTACTTCCGCTTGAAACACGTCATCGAATCCGCCCGACCGATCACCATGTGGTGTAGAGTTACACAGCGTGTCAACAAAACACATTTGTTGCAATTTCACCAACTCGGTTTTGATCATATTCATTATTTAACGAATGACTAGAAAGAGTCGGTAGGATGTGTCTGTTCAATGACGAACATACTTGTAAATTTCTAACTCGAAATGACCATTGTATGGCATCTAGCTTGTAAGTAGGGTTACGAGAGTAAAACAAGCACACCAACACACATGCATTTGTTAGGTTAAGTATGGAATATGAAGTCATCTAATTCACAAAGAAGCAAACACAATGACATGAAATTAGTTTGATTCATGAGTGCCTAAGTACCCGGAAATGCAAACACGGTCATCGTGATCGATGGCTCAGTATGAGCTGTGACAACTCTAAATGGATTGTAATGTTTCCTGTCAGGTTTGTATTTCAAGTAGAAGCGAAAACAGGTATAAAAAGTGTGCGAGCATGGTAATATGTTAACTGTAATGGACAATGTACGAGCCTGTTGACTGGTTAACAGGAAAGAACAATTTACAGCGCTGGTGATTGGTGAACAGGGAAGAACAATATACAGCGCTGGTGATTGGTTAACAATAAAGAACAATATACAGCGCTGCTGATTGGTTAACAATAAAGAACACGATACAGCGCTGTTGATTGGTTAACACGAAAGAACAATATACAGCGCTGGTGATTGGTTAACAAAAATTAACAATATACAGCGCTGGTGATTGGTTAACAAAAAATAACAATATACAGCGCTGGTGATTGGTTAACAAAAAATAACAATATACAGCGCTGGTGATTGGTTAACAAAAAATAACAATATACAGCGCTGGTGATTGGTTAACAAAAATTAACAATATACAGCGCTGGTGATTAGTTAACAAAAAATAACAATATACAGCGTTGGTGATTGGTTAACAAAAAATAACAATATACAGCGCTGGTGATTGGTTAACAAAAAATAACAATATACAGCGTTGGTGATTGGTTAACATATATGAGAGACGTACTTGCCTGGAGATTGGTTAACCAAATAAGAGAGAGGTACGGGGCTGATGATCAGTTAACAGAGAAAAACAATACACGAACCTTCTAAAATGGTTAACAAAAATAAGCGGTGTGCGGACCTGGTGACCGGTTATCAGAAATAATCGTTGTACGAGCCTGTTACCGTAATCAGTAAACAAATATGGACGATATACGACCATTTTGATTGGTTAATCAGATTGAGCTTCGGATATTATCGGTTAACAGAGATGAACGATGTAAAAAGCTTGCCAATGTAAGAGGAAGGAAGATTGTACAAAAAACACACAAATGAATAGCACATATTAACGCAAATTAACAGTTAGATACAGCAGAGTCATAAATTCCATTATACAGCTGCTTTGTCCTTCTAGAAATTGTCAGTAAAACTAAGGGCCTAAATTTTGAAACCTAGGAGAGGTGACTGTGGAAAACCGCCAGAAAAGTCAAAACCAAGATGGGAATGTCCAAAAAAACCCCGTAATTAACTAGAAAGACGTACCGGGCGGTAATTAGTAAACGGGAATGGGCGACGAACAAACTGGGTGATTGGTTAAGAAAGACGAATGATGTACATACTGTGTAATTTATCACAGAAATAAGGTCTTTGTAATTGCTTGATGGAAAGGAGAGAACAAGAACATCATTGAGTCACAACGTAAAACAAATATTTTACATTATTTTAATCAACCAGTGAATAAGAAAAACTTATTAAAATTTGAAATCAGTTCGGTGTTGTACTTTTGTTAACTCAAGTACCATCTCAAGAACAGTCTTTTGGAGAATATTACTTCTTCCAATGCTTCTTCTCCCAAATGACTTAAAGGAATTGTCCATGTTCGGAAATGAGAGTCATTCCCGAGGCTTGTTTAATCTGATAGAACAATACAGAAAGACGCCAATGACTGCGCACGTTTGAAAGAAACGAATTGAATTTCATTTTTGTTTTCTAATCGATATGACAAGTTGATAGGATATCCAATATATCTGGTAATATCGTACGTGAGAAAATATTGACTCGGCGTGTCTTTCTATGGTGTTGTGCCTAGGGTTGGCATGGGGCAGGGTTCCTATTTGTCCAGAAATGGCCATTGTTGGCCGAGCTTTCTCAACCGGAAACCGCGGGCCTGCTAGAATTAACTTCACGAGGCCCTTTATTGTGCATCTCTTAGCTCCTTTGGAACTAATAACTTCGAGAAACATGACCCCAAATATTTGTATTGTGATTGTATTAGAAAGGAGTACTCAAGTATACCGGAATCTAGGCCGGTGAGGTAGAGACCACGAGCTTTGAAATGTGCACTACACTATAGAAACAATATGTTACCGGAATGCGTTATCGAGTAATATAAAAATAGATGTCTAATATAGTAGCCTTTAATGGCTTATCAATGGTTTAATATTTACCGTCATCACTGTTAAAGCCAATAGCGTATGCTTATAGAAAAATGTCAATTTCATGCGTTGTCAATGTTACTGTCCCCTTACAAGTCTGAATAGTAACCAAAGACTGTAGCTTAATCACGTTACGTAACAACCGCCATCACAACAAAGGTTAGTGACATGGACAGTTGCGGCCAGTCAATTATTGCATATGATTACTGAGAGTAATGACAATAACCCGTGGTATAATCAGTTATAGTATTCAGTATATTATTGATGATTCGAAGGTGATGTTCAGCAATATTGGTGTCACAATGGCCATTAGTAAAGGCCCCCCATTTTACGTATCTTGACCTTTAGACGGCCTGGTGGTCATCTGAACGGTTATCTAGCCTGCAGTGTCCCCTCCCCCACACGTCACTAACGTACTTACAGTAATTATACAGCACCCTTTGAACTTAAGTCAATGACCCGTGGTGTTCCATTATCTAAAACGTGTCAATTAACTGCTAATTTTCGCGCGAGATCAACGCACCAATTAAGAATTAGGTATGCCATTATCACCCCTGCCTCTAGAATAGTGTTAAATACGCCGTAACCATCGATTACATCCGTTCTGATCGTCCCGTGAAACTGTCCAATCAAACATCAAACCAGGATTTAAGCATTTCCGACAGCTGTAAGCCTGATTGACGAATAAAGATTCTGGAATTGCAGTCACATGACACATTTGACTTTTAATTCTGGTACAGTTACCCAGCGGACATGTTTAAACTAAATCGGGTGTAGGCGTATACGAGTATATCTGGGAGATAGAACTCAGGTCAGTACTAAAGTCATGTAAGTGGACATTTCCGCGGCCCACAAAGTACAAGTCCTCAGATCAAATCAATGGAAGTAATAATTGTTGAGAACAAACCAAATTTCTTAACTTGTCGAGAGACGGAGCTGATTTCTTAACCTATGAGACACTTGTCGAGAGACGGAGCTGATTTCTTAGCCTGCGAGACACTTGTTGAGAGACGGAGCTGATTTCTTGGCCTGCGAGACACTTGTTGAGAGACGGAGCTGATTTCTTAGCCTGCGAGACACTTGTTGAGAGACGGAGCTGATTTCTTAGCCTGAGAGACACTTGTTAAGAGACGGAACTGATTTCTTGGCCTGCGAGACACTTGTTGAGAGACGGAGCTGATTCCTTGACCTATGAGACACTTGTTGAGAGACGGAGCTGATTTCTTAGCCTGCGAGACACTTGTTGAGAGACGGAGCTGATTTCTTGGCCTGCGAGACACTTGTTGAGAGACGGAGCTGATTTCTTAGCCTGCGAGACACTTGTTGAGAGACGGAGCTGATTTCTTAGCCTGAGAGACACTTGTTAAGAGACGGAACTGATTTCTTGGCCTGCGAGACACTTGTTGAGAGACGGAGCTGATTCCTTGACCTATGAGACACTTGTTGAGAGACGGAGCTGATTTCTTAGCCTGTGAGACACTTGTCGAGCAACGGATCTGATTTCTTTACCTATGTATTACGAAAAAAATTGATAAACTGACCTGATTTCCTGGCCAATGAGAAACTTGTAGAGACGCATAACTGATTTCCTGACCAACGGAAAACTTGTAGAGACACATACCTGATTTCCTGACCAACGAGAAACTTGTAGAGACACAGACCTGATTTCCTGACCAATGTGAAACTTGTAGAGACACAGACCTGATTTCCTGACCAATGAGAAATTTGTAGAGATACAGACCTGATTTCCAGACGAACGATAAACTTTTAGAGACACAGACCTGATTTCCTGACCAATGTGAAACTTGTAGAGACACAGACCTGATTTCCTGACCAATGAGAAACTTATAGACACAGACCTGATTTACTGACCAATGAGAAACTTGTAGAGACACAGACCTGGTTTCCCATGAAAAACATGTAGTGAGACAGACCTGATTTCGCCATCTATAAAGTGTTTTGACGAGTAAGTTACCTTGGTACTATATCTATCAGAAGTTCATCATATCAATTTAATGAAAAGTTTCTCACCTTTGTACGACATCTATAAGTCCACATCCTACTATAGTACAGCCCATTGGTCTCCTCTCTAACGCCAACCGCGCTAAGTATTCTGCTGTTTTCACATCTCCTGCTTGGCGTCGTAATCTTGAAAGAGAAATACAAAAATAAAACAGGCATTCATAAATATCACCATACCTGGTTTAATATGCCGAGTTCAACACATTTGCCTGTTCAATCGCCAGATAACTGTTTCGTTAATTTGTTTTGCTGACACGGATTCAACAAGATTGTATATTGGCGAGTAGACGGATACCATGTTGACAAGGTGGTATAACAGATTATATATTGTCGACATACAAAACTTTAAAGTCGGTAGTCGCATGCATAATTTTACCGCCATACTAAGTCATAAAAGTTAACTAGTTATTACAACTAAGTGTTTTAGTATCAAGAAATATCCAGTTTATGAAAATTGTACTTATCGTTTTCTACTACCACCTTCTGCAATTAACTTCATATCTATATAAAATAACACTATTTTGATACCACATTACTTAATGGTAATAACTGAGTCATCGTAGTAAGCAGAATGTAAAGTGGGGTCCTTAGGAATAGCTTAGTTTTACGCTGCATTTTTAGTAACCGAGCAAGGTCACATGATCATTATTTGTTAGAGGAAATATCGCCGAGCCGAGTGTTCACGTTTAATCTACTGCGGAGAATGTTATTTTCTTTGATTAGAACAATTACAGCCGAACTGGTATGAGATTTCTTCTGAGAAGGTGGGGTGGATTTGACAGACTCTCAAACCAAAACCCGAGCAGTGTTCAATGCAGATGTAAAATAATGAAGATTGATAGTGAAAAAGATTACTGATTACTGTTTAATTTTTAAAATTGAAATACTCTGGTCTGTTTTAAAGTCCAAATAAGGACTAGTATGATATTATGATCATTGTGATATATGATTCTCGGTGAAGTTTGTACTTAGGGGATGACTTGATGTCCCATCATAATTTATTGAAACGAGTGATAACATACCAAGACCACTTGGTCGAGATAATACAGATACTACAGTATTTAGCTGGAGTTTACAGATACCACAGTATATAGCTGGAATTTACAGATACCACAGTCTATAACTGGAGTTTACAGATACCACAGTCTATAGCTGGAGTTTACAGATGCCACAGTATATAGCTGGAGATTACAGATACCACAGTCTATAGCTGGAGTTTACAGATACCACAGTCTATAGCTGGAGTTTACAGATGCCACAGTATATAGCTGGAGTTTACAGATACCACAGTCTATAGCTGGAGTTTACAGATACTAAAGTCTATAGCTGGAGTTTACAGATACCACAGTCTATAGCTGGAGTTTACAGATACTACAGTATATAGCTGGAGTTTACAGATACTACAGTATATAGCTGGAGTTTACAGATACCACAGTCTATAGCTGGAGTTTACAGATACTACAGTCTATAGCTGGAATTTACAGATACCACAGTCTATAGCTGGAGTTTACAGATACTACAGTATATGGCTGGAGTTTACAGACACCACAGTATATAGCTGGAATTTACAGATACCACAGTATATAGCTGGAGTTTACAGATACCACAGTCTACAGCTGGAGTTTACAGATACCACAGTCTATAGCCGGAGTTTACAGATACCACAGTCTATAGCTGGAGTTTACAGATACTACAGTCTATAGCTGGAGTTTACAGATACTACAGTATATAGCTGGAATTTACAGATACCACAGTATATAGCCGGAGTTTACAGATACCACAGTCTATAGCCGGAGTTTACAGATACCACAGTCTATAGCCGGAGTTTACAGATACCACAGTCTATAGCTGGAGTTTACAGATACCACAGTCTATAACTGGAGTTTACAGATACTACAGTATATAGCTGGAATTTACAGATACCACAGTCTATAGCTGGAGTTTACAGATACTACAGTCTATAGCTGGAGTTTACAGATACTAAAGTCTATAGCCGGAGTTTACAGATACCACAGTCTATAGCCGGAGTTTACAGATACCACAGTCTATAGCTGGAATTTACAGATACCACAGTCTATAGCCGGAGTTTACAGATACCACAGTCTATAGCTGGAGTTTACAGATACTACAGTATATAGCTGGAGTTTACAGATACCACAGTCTATAGCTGGAGTTTACAGATACCACAGTCTATAGCTGGAGTTTACAGATACCACAGTCTATAGCTGGAGTTTACAGATACCACAGTCTATAGCCAGTGTTTTCAGATACCACAGTCTATAGCTGGAGTTTACAGATACCACAGTCTATAGCTGGAGTTTACAGATACTACAGTATATAGCCGGAGTTTACAGATACCACAGTCTATAGCTGGAGTTTACAGATACCACAGTCTACAGCTGGAGTTTACAGATACCACAGTCTAAAGCTGGAGTTTACAGATACCACAATCTAAAGCTGGAGTTTACAGATACCAGTCTATAGCTAGAGTTTACAGATACCACAGTCTATAGCTCGAGTTTACAGATACCACAGTCTATAGCTGGAGTTTACAGATACCACAGTCTACAGCTGGAGTTTACAGATACCACAGTCTAAAGCTGGAGTTTACAGATACCACAGTCTAAAGCTGGAGTTTACAGATACCAGTCTATAGCTAGAGTTTACAGATACCACAGTCTATAGCTCGAGTTTACAGATACTACAGTCTATAGCCGGAGTTTACAGATACTACAGTCTATAGCTGGAGTTTACAGATACCACAGTCTACAGCTGGAGTTTACAGGTACCATAGTCTATAGCTGGAGTTTACAGATAACACAGTCTATAACTGGAGTTTACAGATACCACAGTCTATAGCTCGAGTTTACAGATACTACAGTCTATAACTGGAGTTTACAGATACCACAGTCTATAGCTCGAGTTTACAGATACCACAATCTATAGCTCGAGTTTACAGATACCATAGTCTATAGCTGGAATTTACAGATACCACAGTCTATAGCTGGAGTTTTGATACTATTGTACTTATCTTACAACATATATTTCCCAACCTTAAACCGGGAATCGAAGACTAGCGAGATTTTGTAAGTGCAGTAGATGTAATGAAGAATTCAGAGTGAGTTGCACATTGGACAAGATCATCGTTTCAGCTGTTTTGCTAATATTTGTTACACTTAAAAGTCATGAAGACATAGACAGATTGGTTTGTTTGTGTAATGCTGTTTTAACTGGCATACAATGCTCTTTTACAGTAATCAGTGTAAATAAATACACGAAATTATGAAATGACATTTATATGACATTTTCTCTAATGCTTTTAGGGAACGTCATTAGTAAAAACCCGGCAATGCAGTTTTCCCGATTGCTAGTTAACAAGTGTAAAATCGTTTAATGACAAAAGGTTGTGATTTCACAGCAGTATGTTTGAAACAAGAACAAGCAAGGCTAAATAAAGTCTATGGACCTTGATACTGTTAAGGTTACACGAGTAGTCGTTTTTGCAACATATACCACAAGTTTTATAGATGAATGTCCGATGGTTGTCCTTGGTCGCTAGACTTGTATATGGCAACTCGGATAGTGGATACCGCTGCGGAAACCAATATCCGTTTCCATATTGTACCTACTTCATTCCTCAACCTGATAGTTACAGTGAAGTACGAGAGCATTAATTTCGCCTTAATGGATCAGAAACTGTATCACTTCACAGATTACAAACGTCTTGGAGACCCATATATTATCCTTCACTCGATCTCGATTCTTCATTCATGTTTTCATCCTGGGCTGTCTCAATGGATTTCCCCACCATATCTTTAAACCACGACCTGTTATATGTCTCACAGATTCCTCACTCTGCCCTTACTGCCTTCACTTATCGTTCTGTTTTCTCTTCCATACCCTCCCCGGTTCTACATGGTAATTATGACTATATAAACCTCTGTAGTGGTATATCATAGATACATCAACATATGGAAAACAATAACGCCTGGTTAAAATCACTCTCCAGCCGGCGAGAATTCCGGCCCGACCCCCGGGGCCTGTCAGTCTAGCTTATACATATATATTGATCTCTCGTGTTTTGTGGTATGGATCTATATGACTATATATACGACTTTGTAACTGACACGTGTTGGTCCATTAGGTGACTGTGCTAATGAAAGCCTATTAACTTGAGGCTCACGAGAACGTTTTATCTCCTAGATTCCATCTCTCATTAAATACTTCCATTTTAAGTGTATCCTATTTTGTGATGGGCCACTTCATCACTGGTTTATGTATCTGAATTTATTACATAGATATGGCTATTTTTTATATCATACAAACTACCAATAGTAGGATTATATTGCCCTGATATGGCACTGTGGTAATTTGAATCTGGTTTACAAAACCATATCATATTTTCACCAAATGTCTTGGGAACATACTGTAGAATCATTGATGATTTGTCTGATAAATCGACATGTTGTGTATCGGTCAAATAATGCAATAAGATAGATGTGTTTTTTATAAGAAACATGTACGCAAAGTTATGAACATCTACAGACCATTGCTGTTTTGTCTCTTAAGTATATATGCATAAAAATACGAACATTACAAAATTCCATGAAACTTGCCCGAATGGTGAAATAAAAAAAATGCTAAGGAGACGCCTGAAAAAGTACGTATGACAAGACCAGGTACTCAACGTATAAAGGATTACAGTTAAGTATAAATTTATACAACTAATTCAAGTTTTGTAAATATTATCAATATGTGGCTGCAAATATCTGCCATTTTTGATTTGCATATTTTGTTATGTAAAAGACAGTTACCATGTGTCGCAAATAAAGATATGTGCCGTTTATAATGTCGCTGTTTTGTTTCTGTGTAGACCAGTTACCACGTGTCTCATATAAAGATATGTGCCGTGTGTCGCTGTTTTGTTTCTGTGTAGACCAGTTACCACGGGTCTCAGATAAAGATATGTGCCGTTTTTAATGTCGTTGTTTTGTTTCCGTGTAGGACAGTTAACACATGTCTCAGATAAAGACATGTACCGTGTGTCGCTGTTTTGTTTCTGTGTAGACCAGTTACCACGGGTCTCAGATAAAGATATGTGCCGTTTTTAATGTCGTTGTTTTGTTTCCGTGTAGGACAGTTAACACGTCTCAGATAAAGACATGTACCGTGTGTCGCTGTTTTGTTTCTGTGTAGACCAGTTACCACGTGTCTCAGATAAAGATATGTGCCGTTTTTAATGTCGTTGTTTAGTTTCCGTGTAGGACAGTTAACACATGTCTCAGATAAAGACATGTACCGTGTGTCGCTGTTTTGTTTCCGTGTAGGCAGTTGAAATATGTCTCAGATATCACTATCTACACTATTTGTAGGCCGCCGTTATTTTCTGTATTGGCTGTTCGTTATATTTAATTGGTTCTTGATTGGAAATGAAATAGCTTGTATCTTGTTTATTAGACGGGAACCTCGTTTGACCCCGATGTGAAGTAGTCTGACCATCGTGTTCTCTCTGGCATCTACGAATGTATGAAACCGAACCAGATTTCTTGGTAACATGGTTGGTTTCGCGGTATTTGTTTGATCAATAGGACACACAGCTCACGTGTCACATTGAAAGTTTTATCTTTTAATCAGGCATTAAACACAAATAGAATAATTTAATGTAATAATTATGACAACCGTAAAATTCCCTTTAAATCTTCATCATTCTAAGCCCTCCACGTCCTGTATTGTAAGTTGCCGGCATTTTGCACAAAATCGTAATATTGAGAATACGTCCCAGAATATCGATGTAACTGCGATATGTTAACACCATATGTTGTGGATGCAACGCTGTTGCAATCCGGAAATGAAAATTTCATAATAGAGAAAGAAAACGGCACACTGTAAAGTTTTTTTCCTGCCTACTCTATATGATTAATTCGCCATATGAAATTTCTCTTTTACATGCCAACATATAGGTATCGACCGAATTTCTACTGTAAAGAACAGTTTTGACATCAATGTAACGAGCAATATTTTCTTAAACTATTCATAATCTTGGAGCGATGCACACCTCAATACAGCAGGAGAATGAAATGGTGAGAATAATTTAATCTCTGTTTGACGAGATTTCCGTCGAATGTGATAGTAAGATCTACAAACACAGTGCTGGTATATAAGATAACTGCTGGGCTTCTCTTGCCTGACCTGGTTTTGCTTTTATAGCGCGAATGGGGATTATTTGATTGTTTTATCATGAAATAATCTTTTTCCTTGTACAATAAGAAGTCGGGCCTTGTAGTACCTATGGTGACTCCGTTGTTGTTAACTTGTTCTCATTTGAGAACATGTCGTTACTTACTTCAGCTGACAAACATTTCAAAGATATTGCCGAATTTTTCACTTAAAGATATATTGTCTTGTCTTATTCCTAGGTAGTAACATACCTGCTTTTCCAGCTTACGACGACGTTTACATGTTGTTGGTTCTTCTACAAGGAAGATTGATAGTCGTCATTATGATCGCTTTAGGAATTATTCTGTTTCCTCGTGAGTTGTATTATGAAGTTAAATGCGGTTGATGCGCTGTTGGAATGGCTTATTTAATTTCAACAATGCTTCGTAAAAAAAATGTTGGTCTTTTACTAATACTGCATTAAAACATGACTAAATACTGACATGATGATGCCACACAAGAAGAAATTAAATTGATTATTTTCCGAAATAAACAGAAGTTTGATTTTAGTGTAATTCAAAGCTCTGCCTTTAAAACGTGTTTGTTTAAGAGGGAAATATGTGAAAATAGTACAGATTCAATACCTTAGATTTTTTTAATTTGAAATTTTGATTTCTTATCTTGTTTGTTCAAGCGTTTTGGCTTTACATTATTATTTTACACTCCAGGCAACATGACTTTTATTGCGTTCTAGATTACAAGTAGGAAATCATTCAGATTTATAATCAGAGGTACCAAGGTTAAGAATCTTGCTATCACCTAACATATACAGTACCGCAATAGGGATGAAAATGCAACAGCTTCGGGAGGCATTTTCAAAATTATCAACCGAATACAGTCGAGTTCAGGAACATTTCACTTTCCATCTACACATGAAGCAGGAAAAAAATTCCTTAACTGGACTATTAATCTTAAACTATATCCTGAAGCGTGTTTCTTTTCAGTTGTTCGATTTATCATTGCAAATCCAGTCTCAAATATTGTTATTTTATCAAAATAATCATCGTTACCTTTTCTATAAGCCGGACAGTAGATATCCAACTTCCCTTTTCAACATCTAGTAATAAATACAGTTTGTATTTATATTAACTTCGTGATAAGGTCATTTAGGAATTAACTTAGTAGGAAACAACTGAATACGAATTCTTAAAACGGTTTCTTTATCGTTATCATGGGTCGAAATAGGTGTTTAACAGAGAAGCACAACTGTAAGTACTCGGTGAATACAATGTCCTACGATTTTGTTAACGACATCTGCACCAATGTCAGGAAATGATGATTTAAGTGTGCTGTAGATGTCTACTGGTAGTATGGTAAGCGTAGGTGTAATAAGACAGTCATAAGGAATGTTATATACAATAAGTTCCTGTTCTATAATACAGGTTGTCGTCACAATTATTTCAGACACTTACGACAATGATGGCAGGATATCTCGCTTGAAAAACAGTCTGAGTACTCAATTAATTTTTCATAGCTAGGAGAGCTTGAAATGAAAACGACATATTCGATTATTTAAATTGATAACCAAATTACAGTAAGTATAGACCTAACAACATGTTACAGACATTTTTTTTCTAAAAGGAAATTATCATCGCCAACGATCTAACGAAGGTTTGGTCAAGATCCGCTTAATGGGACATTTAGGTTCATATATATCCTTGAAATTGAAACGATATAAGCGTGTCTTTGATTTAAATTGATAACCATTTGGAATCTTACATTATTCATTCTCCTGTTTAGATAAATCACTTTAAACCTGCCATACAGGGATGGCTCCATTAAGGTTATGAGGCATGTCGTTAGTTATTGAAACTTTGACGTATGTTATATAAGAAACTATATATATGTATCTGTGTAGAAAAGCGTTACTACTGCGAATTTATTCAATTTCGTTGATATCTTAATAAAAAATGGAAGGAAAAATTATGTACATCTCGTTGCTACTACAAACTGGCAAGTAGATAGATATGTTGCAATGGTGACAGGCAAATGGATAAAGAATGGAGAATTTCAAAATGTTATATTGAATCGATTTGGGATAAGCCGACATATTGCTTTGCGTACAAATGACTAAATGGATACAGCAGAGAGCCAGAAAGTAGATTGCAAATGGATTGTCAAGGAATGATAATTTATATCTAACTATTGCACAAGTTAGGTAGTTACCCCAGTGGATTGTACAAAAGACACGAGTGAATAGGCTCTTTCAGTACAAAATTAGATAAAGTTGGGCCAAAAATTAATTAAGTTGTATCATACAAGGGTTTCGTCCTTCTACGACACGTAAATGATGCTGAAGGTTTAACATGTTGAAAAGCAGGAACCTGCTTTTTTTAAAGAAAAACGGCCAAACCCGGAAGTGTAGTAACCCATTAATATGATAGATTTCATAATTTTCGATATTGCATTATTTCAGAAGCTTAACCATGCCAACATTTAAATAAAGTGTAGCGTGGAGGTTATGACAAATCTCGGGAACACTGGTAATTAACATCATTCAAATACAAGTTTAGAAAAGAAAAAAAACCATTAAGATCTAGTACAGTCAATAAACGCGTTACAACATTAGTGTTCCTGCAAATAGCATTATCACAAATTATAAAATGTAAACTTTAAATTGAAAAAAAATAAGAAACCAAATGTCGAACTCTACAAAACCAGTATAACACACAGAGGAACTGACATACTTACAGCATATCGTATCATTCCCATTTAAATCGATTTCAGCACATTTACTAACGATCACATCGAGAATAAATCTAACCGGTTTGTATCGTCGTCATATAAAAAACAACTTTTCAAAATTAATTTCATAACCTTGACACCGATATCGGTTGGTTGTCTATTCAGTGTTATAGATCAAGTAATCAGATCTATTAAAAACTAGAAAGTTTCAAAGAAAAAAAGCAGAATTTTCAACATATGTCAAAGATTTTGACAGGACAATAAATACGATACACTCACCTTTTGAGTTTTCCTTCCACAGAACGACCGCACGCTAAACAGCCAAATAAAGCACACACCAGAATGACTTTAGCGACAGTTTTTGTGTATACCATGTTTGTATGAAAAGTCTGCTAAAAGCGATGTAATATGTTATTCGAATATGTGATGAATCCTTGTAAGGCTAAATCTATTGTCCGGAATAACAAGCGATAAGTCGTGAAAGGAGGAGGTTCACGTGCTGTTATCAGTTTGCTTTACCGTAGTCCGTAGCTGCGGATACTTAAATACCCAGAGTTTTGATGACAGTCTGTTCGACGTCACGGTCAAGCGACAGAGCGGCTAAGCCTTTCCAATTAAATGGGTAGGTCGTAAACTTGGAGGGGGGTAGCAGGAACACTTATTACGTAGGACAAAACATGTAATATTCAATTAATGAAATAAAATTTCATCCGGACTACAAGTAAGATCAATTCTGTCAACGAGGCAATGAATCCCAGCTCCGCGCGCGCTTCCTTCCTGTCTATTGATAATACGGAGTGCCGCTCCGAGTTTACATCTCGGGTATGGCGGGAGTTTTCCATTTGCGCGTGCGCAGTGATATAGAAGCGTCCCATTAACAGTAATTAATACCGGCCGGTATCAAGTGATGAAAAATACCAGGATCTGATTAATCTTACACGGATCCGTGGACATTCGTCATTACTGGACATTCGTCATTACTGGACATTCATGAATATTCACATTGTCGATTACGTAGAGATTGTGTATCGGCACTCGTTAATCTTGCTGGACAAACCTTTGTCAGGGAAGGGAATCGTGATGACAAGGGACGGTTTACGATATCTAAACAAATATGAATAACTGGATTGTATTTGTGATATTTCATCTCACCGGACCAGATCATTGCCATAACATACTTCCTCGCCAATTCTTATAGAAACATTCTTGTTGTCATTACGGCTATACTTGAATATTCATACCTTCGAAGAACAGTAAACAGATACGCACGTTCTATTTCGTACCGTATCTAAATAATGATATGTTTGACATTCAAAAGGATTTGCATTTTCAATGTCCTAGACAAGACTTTTTTATCTAAAACAAAAACTTACCAAATAATAAAGAACATGAATGACTTTAAGGAAGATATAATTTAAAATAAATTGTCATAATGTTATTGTCGAACTTCTATTTTCAGTCTGTTGTTCACCTTAAGGGTTGAACACAAGTTTAGTTAAAATCTTCTGTTCGCATGCATGCCTATGAATACAGTGCCTGGGAATATAGTAACTAGGCGCTAACAAAAAACAACGAAGTGAAGACAATGGTAAACGTTTAATGTTGTGTTCCCAGTTCGAGCTGTTCTATGTTCCCCAGTATCACTATTACATTTAGAGTAGGACTTATATATTATTTGTGTGGGTAAACGTGTGAGCTTGTCGTCATCAGTAACGATCATATGAAGACGTCGTCCATGATAAATGAGATTCCTCAAAGGTAATTTGTAGTGCCATCACACTGAAATGATATATTCTAGACATGGTAAAATAACACTTTATATTGTACACACAACGGATTAGAATTCTTGTTTATGGCTTGAGCAGTCGCTAAATAATCTGGTTGTTTTCTTAATTGTTTGCCACCAAGCTATGTGATAAACGTGATGATTTCAATTTCCTTATTGTGAATTCTCCATTTCTGGAGAGCAATATACCTGTATCACCACCCTATGTCACAGTTGATTCGATATTAAAAGTCATGTTTCCATTATCACGATCTTCGTGCAAGAAGACGTCAACTGACGGACAAACTCGTAACACAGGGTTTCAAAAGATGCAGGTCGATGAAAATATTGTTTTATGGTCGCCAGTGTGATCTCATTGAGAAACATGATATTTCTTTGTGCGACATGAAGCTGGACGTGTTTGATGCTCATTAGCTTGTCTGTTGGTTCCGTAGTTATATACCTTGTTCTCATTTGAGAACGTGACATTACTTACTTTCATTGACCAAGGTTTACACGGCGGGTGTCGTCGATGAAGCAGAAGACGTTTACTCTCCTGGGACACGTGGTCTTATTCTCCTTGTACTATTTCAGGAGTCTTTGTGTAAATCTCTCTGTGGTTTATATTTTGCAGTCGTTTTATGGAATTTGAGTTTGGGTTATGTTGACATGTTTTCCTGGTGGTTTTTTATCACACAATTATGAAATGAAAAGTGCCGTGCAGAATTCTCGAATAACAACAAATACGTTGAAGCATATTCGATAATTTTCATACATAAACTTTCAAGTAATAATGTAATTGTGATGTACATAATGTACACAATGATATCAAAACATAAACAATAATACAACTGTCTTGATTTAAAACGGGACCGAAATATGTATCGATACAAAATCACTAACATATACCTGTATTGAAGAAAACATTGACACATGTTCTCCTTTTTTTCAAAACATGAAAAAAGAATTAAAAACGTTTTTGTCTGATAAGCAACTTTTTTATCTTCCGAATGCTATTGCTATGACTATCCTAAAGACAAGTATACAGTAAAGGTTTTTAATTCAGTCATAAGTAGTTTTTTTATGGTATCTAACTAGGTGACTTGTGGACTTTTTGGAAGATGACGACAGATTATATCTCTTAGTCTCGACTTTATATCCTAATCAACAGTTTAGATACAAAATACCGAGTGTTAGAGATCATAAACGGGGTTATTGCGCCATATGCTGTGATTTTGATGGTTGATACAGTGTTAGCTGTCTACATCGACTTTCTTTATATATTGTTGTGTTTTTGTCTCGCTATGGTACAAGGTCAATACAGATTGATAGTAAGTTCATCAAGTTTATCAGAAACATACAATATACATCGCATAATCATTGCTGAAACATGTCCCTGAAATGGACAGAGAAAAACACGTGCATCAAAAGTATAAACTATATATAAAGCGGGATTCATCATAATCAACTATACGCGTATAAAACAATCAATTCCTTTGTCTGTTAATCATAGTTTCTTATGGTATTGACCTGATTCACTAAACCGTTTTATTGACATGTTAAACCGTTAACTGTTTTCTATAGTGACATCGATATGTCGAACCGTTAACTGTTTTCTATAGTGACATCAATATGTCAAATAGTTAACTGTTTTCTATAGTGACACCGATATGACGAACCGTCAACTGTATTCTATAGTGACATGTCGAACCGTTTACTGTTTTCTATAGTAACATCGATATGTCGAATCGTTAATTGTTTTCTATAGGGACATGTCGAAAAGTTAACTGTTTTATATATTAACATCGATATGTCGAACAGTTAACAGTTTTCTATATTAACATCGATATGTCGAACCGTTAACTGTTTTCTATAGTGACATCGAAATGTCGAACCGTTAACTGTTTTCTATAGTGACATCGATATGTCGAACTGTTAAATGTTTTCTATGGTTACATCGAAATGTCGAACCGTTAACTGTTTTCTATAGTGGCATCTATTTGTCGAACCGTTAACTGTTTTCTATAGTAACATCAATATGTCAAACAGTAACTGTTTTCTATAGTAACATCAATATGTCAAACAGTAACTGTTTTCTATAGTGACACCGATATGACGAACCGTCAACTGTTTTCTATAGTGACATGCCGAACCGTTTACTGTTTTCTATAGTGACATTGATATGTCGAACCGTTTACTGTTTTCTATAGTGACACCGATATGACGAACCGTCAACTGTTTTCTATAGTGACATGCCGAACCGTTTACTGTTTTCTATAGTGACACCGATATGACGAACCGTCAACTGTTTTCTATAGTGACATGCCGAACCGTTTACTGTTTTCTATAGTGACATTGATATGTCGAACCGTTTACTGTTTTCTATAGTGACACCGATATGACGAACCGTCAACTGTTTTCTATAGTGACATGTCGAACAGTTAACAGTTTTCTATATTAACATCGATATGTCGAACCGTTAACTGTTTTCTATAGTGACATCGAAATGTCGAACCGTTAACTGTTTTCTATAGTGACATCAATATGTCGAACAGTTACTACCGATGAAGGGAAGGTGTGAACGTTTCAAGTACTGTAGTACTGAACAAAGTATTGATAGTATTGTACTGAAGTACTTCACCAATCGAATTCCTTAAATTTATGCAACAAGCTCTCTGATTGGCAGAGCCAAGTCTAGATCGATTGTGGGTGGAGCCAGGTGAAAAAATACTGTGCAGACATCGGCATTTTACAAACACTCGACTGTCGCGAGAGGTTAATTGGAAGAGTCCAAGTCACAGGTGGCTTCAGATCAGACCTAATTGGGTTGTCCCATTTGTTTCGTTCTACACCCAATGATACCTTGCTTTCCATCGATGGTACAACGAGAAAACGAAAGTTACTCAGTACTAAACTAATTTACATACAAAATATATATCAACAGGGTAGATCACTGGGACCGGAGAATTCATAACATCTTAACAGTGAATATAGTCATATAGTCATTCTGTAATAGTTTTATTTATTTTTTTTTTTTTGAAAGGGGGGGGGGGGGGGGGTTGGCTCAAAATATTTCGGTTTAAGCCCAAGCTCTATTATATGTAACAAAGAATTACGATTTACCTGGGACCTCCTGATATATGCCGATAATTCATACTGCATTAAAAAATAAAGGAATTCTGTGGTCCCATATATTTTTTATTTTATTTTTTATCTTTCCATCGAAAATTATACATATCCGCAACATGTGAAAAAACTTTGAAGTTGGTTGGGCGGAATATCTAGAGCATTTACTACTGCAAGTTCCAGAAATTCTGACACAAGTCGGATATTTGCCCGAAGCCTCTGTCTCATGACATTGAATACATATTCAGTTACGTTGTATTCCGGGGAATAAGGCGGCTGAAAAACCAGGGACACGCCATATTCTTTCAGCATATTTCTTAAAATGCGCTCTCCCTGTCTATGGTGATGGAATCCACAATTATCCATCACAACCACATCGCCTTGTACAAAAACAGGATTCCCCATATCGTTCGTATCGGACATAACTTCGTCGAAGAAAATTTTGCGTACTGTTGCCGTCGTCGGACATTTTTCCAGCGATTACTTAGTAATTGTTATGTAACTGATAGTGTACATTAACTCCGCCTACCGGAACAAATTGGGTGTCAGATCAACTATTCAGGTTGT